ACTCCTAACATACTATAAAAACGGCAGGAAGATCTCGTGCAAAGCTTTTTAGGTCTACCTATTAAGGGCCCCACACACTACGTTCTTTGTATGGTAGGAAACCGTCATGTTTAAAATTTAGTTCGAGCTTGATTTTTGGCACGAAGGTTTAACATTTCGTTTCTTTAAAACTGTTGTATGTGGGTCCAACTGCCAACAAATCGCGTTGTGTATGGTGAAAACAGGCTGACGATGAAACAACGTTGTGTGTGGGGCCCTTTAAAGGTGATCCCCAGGTTTAAAGGATTGTCAGGGATTGTGAGTTGTTAAAAGGATAATTCCTAAACAAAGTTATCTATCTTGCGCCAACTGGCAAAACATTCTCAACCCGCTGTTTGGGATACCAAATTCAACTTCCGAAAGTACATTGATTTAACTTTCTAACCAGTAAAATTGACCTGCTCCACACAAAAAATATGTATAATAATATGCTTAATAACAATACAGGATGTTCCATTTACAAAAAAAATAAATAAGTATATATATAATTTTTCTCACATTTCTTTATAGAACACCCAACACCCTGTATACTCAAAACCACTAATCTTAAACCATGACAGAAACGTCAAATTAACAAGTAATCTATTAAAATGTGGCCAATGATCTCTGATTATTTTAGAAATCAGTGGATTCAAAAAAGAAATCCTGTTGAATGGAAACCCAGATGTGCAGACCTAAGGCCACTGGATTTTTTCTGTTTGGCTAAAGTCTCTTGTTCCTATTGGAATATTTACTTGCCTAAATAGTTCAAAATAGGGTAATACAAGTACCATATCAGTTGTTCTTAATCATTATTACAGTAGGGTTGGCAAACAATTTTTTCCAGGATTTTTTCTACTCTAATTTTTGGATGGATTTAAAAAAAACCACAAATGAAAAATCACTTTTTGAACAGACTCCTTTTACAGAGATAAAATTAATATAAAATTTTAAAACCCATAACTTGAACCGCTAGAATGTTCCAATAAGTTATCAGAAATTTCCGAAATAGTCTTAAGCGTTCTTTAATACTTCTAAATTGAAATTCTAACGCCGGAACGTGTTTTAGAGTGTTCTATGTTCATGAAAGTTTTAAGTTAGTTCCGAGGTTAGTTCTAAAGTATCATGTAAGGCCGGAGTCTCATGCATCCGTTTTCCGACAAAAGGTGTCCGAAAAACCTCCTATTTTGACATATTTTTATACGATTATGTCAGAATAGAAGGTTTTTCGGACATCTTTCGTCGGAAAACGGATGCATGAGACTCCGGCTTTTCACTTTTCAATATATTCTGAAAGTTTCCAGTTTTAGATTAATTCAAAAAGTTCCATATGATTTGTAGAATGTTCTACAGCGTTCCAAAATACTGCTGGAAAGGACCCCGCAATATTTAAATGGAAATTGGTTCCCGTGATATTTGGATGAAATTTAAATATGTTATTGGGGATGCCGTAAGCAACATTTTTTACCATGGGCACAATCCAGTATATATGACAGATGAGGCGTGGTTAGCTGTCAAATATTGGAATCTTATATCCAAAAGCAGAGTAACTATGGCAGATTTTAATGAACAAAAAATCTATTCCTACTAATTCCACCAAGTTAAGTCGAAAAATGTCAACCATTTTGACACCTGTCAAAATCCTGCCAAACGGCAGCACTCATCTCTTCCAGTTTTCAATATTTTATGATGTCATTTGACATTTTTAACTTGTATGTAAATTCTGAAATCAAAATTTGAAAAAAATGACATCATTGTGGATTTCATTTGTAAGTGTCAAAATGTTTGAGTAAGTACTTTAATGATTTCATTATAGTACTGAGTACTATAATGACTTTAATGAAATAAAATCCCTTATACTAAAACTACATACTTTAAAATGAAAATTGACATCTCTGTCAAAATCTGAAACCTGCGTATAATGTTTTTTCATGCTTTATCATAAATAAGCCTAACTTAAATTGGAAAAGAACTAGATTTGATTCTTTTTTGAATTAAAGCTATTGACAGATTTTGAAAGCTGTCAAAATGTGACGTGCATGAATTTTGTTCAATGTTTTATCACCAATAAACTACCTTAAAACGAGAAAGAACCAGATTAGAGTATTTTTTTCTACTAAAACAAATGACAGGTTTTGAAAGTTCTGTAATTTTTTTTTTTCAATTTTTGAATTCAGAATTTACATACAAGTTAAAAATGTCAAATGACATCATAAAATATTGAAAACTGGAAAAGATGAGTGCTGCCGTTTGGCAGGGTTTTGACAGGTGTCAAAATGATTGACATTTTTCGACTTAACTTGGTCGACTTAGTAGAAATAGATTTTTTGTTCATCAAAATCTGCCATAGTTACTCTGCTTTTGGATATAAGATTCGAATATTTGACAGCTAACCACGCCTCACCTGTCATATATACAGGATTGTGCCCATGGTAAAAAATGTTGCTTACGGCATCCTCAATAACATATTTAAATTTCATCCAAATATCACGGGTAACCAATTTCCATTTAAATATCGCGGGGTCCTTTTAACTTGGATCTATTTTTTTTTTTAAACCTAAACTTTAGAGTATCTCAAGCTTTCTTAAATGTTCCTGAAAGTTCGGAAGTGTTCTGGTCTGTTCTAGAATGTTCTGAAGTGTTCTGTAGTGTTTTATAATATTCTTAAAGATTCCAATTTGTCTCAAACCAATGAGGAGGATTGACCATTGAATTAAAAGTCTTCTGACGCTTATCAAAATTCTGAATGGCATGTATTATTGACAGTTGAGTTGAACAGGGCGCTTCTATACTTGGAGCATGTGAACAATCGAATGTTAATAATTTTAACTTCAAAAGTCAAGTTTGATGTGTGGTTCCAAGCTTGTTTCAAGATAAGCTGACGCGACGCTGACACTTTTAACAATATTCTTTAAGGGCCACTGAACGTTTTGGAAGACACTTTAACTTATTCACTGTTCATTATTCATATGTAGTCATCTTTCCTTCTACTTATTGAAACGGTTTAAAACTATTGACATTTACCGCCAAAATTCAAAGTTCACTTGCGCCCTCTACAAAATTTTGGGAAACTTAACTGGATATTTGCTGCCATAGCTCCAAAGTCCAGAGCATCTTGAAATGCTTAAAAACGTTCTAACTTGGCGCTAGCGCATTCTGAAGCTTTTCAAAATGCTTTCCAAAGTTTTTAATTACCTGATTTTCAAGCGATGGAATGTTCTAGAAGTTATCAGAAATCTTCCAAATGTTTTTGAGAGCTTTTTGATACCTCTGTAGTTATCTCATATACATAAAAATGGGTATACAGGGTGTATATTTTAAGTAATACCACTATTGCTATATCCGATATGGTAAGTGCTACAGGGTCGGTTAAATTAGAAAAAAGTTGCCATTTTTGATGCCCATTCAAGACTCGTTTACAGTGTTGCCAAATTTCATTTAGTTTATGAAATACAGGGTGATTTCTAAGAAACGCCTAAAAATATTTCATCAATTATTTCGGAAACTATTGAGTTTCGAGACACAATTTAAATTTGAAAGTTTTATAATTTCTTTCGCTCTACAACGTGGCATCTTCAAATGTTAAATCTGACGTTTCGTGATCGAGCTACCATCATCAACTTAATTTTTTAAAATACGGACCTGGATTTTTTATGTCATTTTTAGAAAGCGCCCTTTATTCCCTTTTTAACGATATACCTCTTAAGTATGATTGGCCGACGTTTCTGCTTTAAAAAGTGATCATCAGTGATTTTTACGCAAATTTTACCTTCATTCGGCCCTAGTTATGAACCTGTATTTCATAAACTAAAATGAATTTGGCAACACTGTAAATGAGTGTTGAATGAGCATCAAAAAAGGCAACTTTTTTCTAATTTATCCAACCTTGTAGCTCTTACCCTTCGGATATAGCAATAGTGGTATCACCTAAAATATACACCCTGTATATTAAAAACACAAATATCCACCAAAAACATCAAAAATCCAATTCTCTATTAATCAAATAACTTTTTAATGTGGCTCCTATCAAATCCTTTTAAATTGTATATCCAGCAATGTTTGTGTACCTACAAGAGTTGAAATACATAGAGGCATTAGAACGGTACTACCAGAAAGTTGACCCTTGAAAAGAGTATTTCGATAGTTTATTTTTTTCCAAGATAGATTTTGACATTGTCAACTCTGAAACATAAACAATGCCGCTTATTGGTCGCAAAATGCCATTTGCGCGACATGCATTGTAATATTGATGTCAACCTGCAGGGACACCCAATGAACTATAGCTAAAAACTGGAATGCGCATACATTGCCATATCTGCCAAAAAAATGTAGCCATGAAAGACAGATGCCACAAAGGGGAATGTTGTTTTTTTCTGTTGCTCGCTGTCATATGACGTTTTCGAAAGTTTTGTCATATTTCCCTTCACAGGTTTCATCAATTGGAATACGTGTTGGAAGCAATTTTCGCCATTTAACATAATGAGTGCGACAAAAACAGGTATCCCCTCCGCAGCAGCCGCACTAGGCTTCACGTTCGTCCTTATGTGTTAGCATTCCAGTTTTTGGTTATAGTTCATTGGGGACACCTCATTTTATGTTTCAAAGTTTTCAATGTCAAAATGGTCAAAATCTATCTTGGGAAGAAATAGACTGTTTTTAGCTACCTGTGGTAGTTACATTAGTTGTATTCTTTTCACACCTAGGAGGTGCTCCGGAACAGCTCCGGGGCTTCACGCGCTTATTCCTTTCGAAAAGTGTTTGTTTCACCACGCATATGTTCCCTGCAAATCGGGGGCGACTAAGCACCGAAGCGAGTAGCTCGAGTGTTTCAAGCTCTTGAAAGGAATACATATACAATTATGAAGTATTGCGAGTCCTCATTCCTCATACGAACAACTATTTTATGGATTTTAAGGGTTCTCAACCTATTCTAATTAGGACATACATATTTTCAAATTATTTTAATAAAAAATTGCACTTACAATTGGATCTGTTCCAAAAGTTTTCCTTGTACTTTTTGATTAAATTTTTCAGCTACTGGAGAGAGTTGCACTGTTTTATCCTTATCAATATAGGCTCCTAAGACTAATCCTTTCTAAAATAAATAATATATTATTGTTAAAAGAGAAAAACAATTTCATTTCACTCACCCTGCTACAGTCATTGGAACAAAATCTTGTAGAAGGCCTAGCTGCTGAATAATATAACCTCATAAAACGCTGACAATTTAAAGATCCAGCCATGCTTTAATAGCCACAATGAAAATTTATTCTTAAATATAAAATAGACTAAAATTAAACAGAAAATATTGAATAAACCCAGGAATTTATAAAAATGTGAAATGATATCAGGAAATAGGGGTCACTCGCCCAGGCCCCACAACTGACAAACGCAAACGAAATCTGAACAGCTGATTAATGTTGGAACAGTCAGAACCCCAAAATTCAGAACTCGGAACAGTAATCAGAACAGCAATAATTTGATCAAATAGCTATTTATTTGGATCAAAATAGTTATTTATTTTAACGACGAAACTGGTTCAAAGTTTTAAAAATGGGAGTAAGCACTAAATTTGAAATTTACATTTACTCCGATCGGTATTTTTGTAAGCGCTTTTGAACTTGACAGATACGTCTTAAAAGAATATTGAGGTTATGTTATGCTATTTATTTCCGAAATAATCGATTGCTGGATGATTTTGGCTGGATTTTTGGTCCAATTTCACTTTTTGCATATTAAATTGTTTCATTTATTCAATAAGATTCCAGTTGCATAAAATAAATCCTCAAAAATGCCGCGTATAATGATAAAAGGTGGTGTTTGGAGAAACACCGAGGTAAGCTCCCTATTTCACATTAGCCCCAGCAAAATACTAAAAACCTTTTTTTTTCCAAGGATGAAATTCTTAAAGCGGCCGTAATGAAATATGGCAAAAATCAGTGGTCTCGTATCGCCTCCTTGCTCCACCGGAAATCGGCCAAACAATGCAAAGCTCGTTGGTTCGAGTGGCTGGATCCCAGCATCAAAAAAACCGAATGGTCTCGCGAGGAAGACGAAAAACTTTTGCATTTGGCCAAGCTGATGCCTACGCAATGGAGAACTATTGCTCCTATTATTGGACGTACTGCTGCTCAATGTTTGGAAAGGTAAAAAACATTTTTCAATGCATCAATATAAATTATGGAGTGAGCTCAATAATCACAAGCCAGTCAGAGCGAATTTCATTGGTTAAAAATAGTCAGAAAACTGTTTGTTGGCAATTTGCACCAATCAGAAACACTCTGACTGGCTTTGGTTTGTGATTTGTGTGACAAAAGACCTCTTGTTGTCTGCAACAAGGACCCAGCAACAACTTAAATTCTAAAAGAATATTGAAGAGTTATTAAAAAGATGTTGAAAGAGCCTCAATCCAGCCCCATCCCCCTGTTAAAGATCATAACCAAATTAATTGTAAAAAGAATATATTTATTTCTTTATTCAACAATAGTTCACAATGTATACAAATATACTACAACTGGATGTGGATATAAATAGATAAAAGAAACCCTTACAGCAATAACCCTTGCTGTAGTAAATCCTCCCTATTTTCCTACCTTTCTTTACTTTACTACTCTAACAAGTCGGCAGCTATTAACCATTAAAATATAAAAACCGAGATAAAAATAAAATTAAAAATAAAATTATAACAGCAACAGTACAGTAATACTAATAACACTTAATAAATAATAAACATTCTACTCAGAAAATTAATACCCACTATCCAGTATCCATTTATTTATTTCCCCCAAATCATTATAATATACATTTGGGCCAACACAGTATATAAGGGTCTGACAGGTTGTTTGTTTTGGGTTGTGCAGCTCAACTTTTCCTTGTGCAGTACTTCTAGCATGCTTTATATTCTCTTTGTAGTAAGAATTCTTACACATAAACCTTACCACAGATGTAATATACATTTTGTCTATGTTTAATAAGCTACTTTCTTTATAAACAAGGTCACTTGGGTATCTTTTCTTTTTGAAAAGGATGGTTTTTATTATCCACCTATGAACCATACCTAGTTTTGACAGTATTGTTGAGTTTGTATTACCCCAAACAGCCAATCCATAATTACAATAGATTCAACTTCAAGAAAAGTAAATCATTTTCAATGTTCTAAATGGTAACATATTTCTTAACTCATAAAACTCCTAAATTGTTTTTCTTACCTTTGCAGTTACATAATTAACATGTCCTTTCCAATTCAGATTTTCATCCAATATGGTATTTTATCGATGTTCTCCTTTTAATAAAGTTATCACACTCACATTGTATGTCCAATTTGCATTGTAGATTATGAATTTTAAGGTGTTGCATTTCAGGCAGGGTACGCTTGGAAACCGAGAAGGTAACAAAGTTGGTTTTGTCAGTATTCAGAGAGAGTAAACTCAAGTCTAATCCTTCTGTCTCACTAAATCTCAATCCCCCCCACTTATAAAATGATGTATCACTTGATCCCCCTTCCCATTTAAGATTTTCTAAGGGGTGGCTCTGGGGGATGGGGGGTTGAGAGGTGAATTTTGCATAAAAACTCATCTCCCTCATCGTTTAATAAATATTTTTTGCATTTTCATTCGCGAAATAATCCTCTAAATACCACTCGAGCTCTAAAATGGACCAGATAATTTTTCGGTAATTTTGAAGCTCTCATGATTATCCCCGAAAATTTTTCAACTACGAGATACTTAATAGGGGTGGTAAGTTTTAAAATGAACACCATGTATATCTAGGTATGTTGAAGTCGCTACTGCAGTGTATATTATGGGTTTCTGACATGACTATTATTTCCCCATTAACTACAAGAAAACTAAAAACTGCTCAAAATTCTGATATATGTTATGTATATTAACATGCCTAACATGTTAACATCCCTACATAGACCTAACTACTTTATAGTAGTTAGGTCTCTGATCCCTCCTATCACTATCATCAAAATAGTCTATTTGAATTAAGTCATCACAAATATATGCTTCTCATTTATAATCATCCAGAATATGGTTTGGTCCCATGAACTTTAAAAATTGATTTACTTTATCATACTTTGGTATCCTTTTATCACATGAGGTCTTCCTCTGACTTGATTTTTGTGACAGTCTTTCATCTTTAAAAATATTGTTGCATTCACACAGTGAGCAACTTGGTAGCCTCGTTGGTAGCCTTTTTGCTTGCCTTTTTGTTTTCGTACTTCTCTGATTTTCATGAACAGTCTTCTTTATGCTCTGTGGTAGGTCTTTATTGATGAAGATTTTCTGATCCGCACCCTCTAGTCCACATTTTCTTGTAGTTATGCCTTTCAATTCTTTAATTTCTGTATAGTTTTCTTCCAAGGGGTAAACCACCATCCCAGAATTGGTGCAAACAATTCCTCAAAGGGGAATTTTTTACGCAACCCAAACTCACCCAAAATTTCAAATTTTTCCAGTGGAAAATAACAATATAAGGAGTATTAGAAATCAATCCACAATAACTGAATTAATTGAAAATACAGTCTCAAATATTTCAAAGTTTTCCTGGAAAACTAGTGAAGGGAAAATTTTGAAACTTATTGCATGTAAAGAGGAAAGTGAGAAGCTCATATTCCCAAAATTTCAAATTTTTTCAGTGGAAAACAGCAACATGAAAAATCTTAGAAATCAACTTACAAAAACTGAATTAGTTGAAAATACAGTCTCACACATTTCAAAGTTTTCCTGGAAAACTACTGAAGGGAAAATTTTGAAACTTTATGCATGTAAAGAGGAAGGTAAGAAACTCATTTTCCCAAATTTTTTTCAAATTTTTCTAGTCGAAAATAACAACATGGGGAATATTGGAAATCAACCTACAAAAACTGAATTAGTTGAAAATACAGTCTCTTATATTTTAAAGTTTTCCTGTAAAACTAGAGAAGGGAAAATTTTGAAACTTTTTGCATGTAGAGTGGAAGGTGAGAAGCTCATTTTCCCAAAGTTTCAAATTTTTCCAGTGAAAAACAGCAACATGAAAAATCTTGGAAATCAACCTACAATAACTGAATTAATTGAAAATACAGTCTCACACATTTTAAAGTTTTGCTGGAAAACTAGTAAAGAGAAAATTTTGAAACTTTTTGCATGTAAAGAGGAAAGTGAGAAGATCATTTTTCCAAAATTTCAAATTTTTCCAGTGGAAAATAACAACATAAGGTATATTGGATATCAACCTACAAAAACTGAATTAGTTGAAAATACAGTCTCACACATTTCAAAGTTTTTTTGGAAAACTAGTCAAGAGAGAAATTTGAAACTTTTGCATGTAAAGAGAAAGGTTAGAAACTCATTTTCCCAGAAATTCAAATTTTTTCCAGTAGAAAATTACATGAGGAATCTTGGAAATCAACCTACAATAACTGAATTCATTGAAAATACAGTCACACGCATTTCAAAGTTTTCCTGGAAAACTAGTAAAGAGAAAATTTTGAAACTTTTTGCATGTAAAGAGGAAGGTGAGAAAATCATTTTCCTAAAGTTTCAAATTTTTCCAGTGGAAAACAGCAACATGAAAAGTTTTGGAACTCAACCTACACAAACTGAATTAGTTGAAAATACAGTCTCGCACATTTCAAAGCTTTCCTGGAAAACTAGTAAAGGGGAAATTTTGAAACTTTTTGCATGTAAAGAGGAAGGTGAGAAGCTCATTTTTCCAAAATTTCAAATTTTGCCAGGGGAAAATAACAACATGAAAAATCTTGGAAATCAGCCTACAAAAACTGACTAGAGTCTAGCCATCACATGTGGAGCAACTACGATTGTAGCCGAAAGACGAGCCGAGCGCATTGAATTCGAAGGAAGGTGTATATTCAGTTGCAGCAGAAGGTTGTTGACTGGATCAATGTAATACACTGCTCAAAAAAAAACAAAAAATGTTGATATTTATTAAGAACTCCTTAAATTGGAAATCAGGAGGAACCCATCAACAAAAATAAACCTAAAATTAATATTAATAATTTCCTCTGTGGAATGATTGGTACCTTCTTTGGCTCATTTGTAAGTAAGGGGAGTAGTTCATTTTGTTATCATTTTAAAGTGCTCAATACTGGGTTTATAGGCAGTCTGTTCTACCGCTCTAGCGCCCTATAACTTTCCACATTATTAACATTCATTGAGATTGAACCGAATTTCTTTTTCTGGATCATCCGAAATATTTGAACGCGATAACACGCCGGCTCTCTAGAAATATGAAAATATAGGACAAAAATAAACTAAACAAAAGGTCTTTCTTTTTGATTGTTTTTTTCTATATTAGGTACTATCCTAAATCCGAACTACAAAAAATCTAATATTTTTACAAATTATTATTTCTTGTAAAATGCACTTGTAATTTTGTTTTGATAAAAATGAGAATAGTTAAGGACACGATAGAAATAAATAAAAAAAATTTTTCTATGCACCAGAGTTCGCTGTTCGGCTATTATCGGGTTTGCTCCGGCTGTGACGGCTAGACTCTAGTCAAAAACTGTATCGATTATTATTTTGAATTTTTAAATTTAGACCTGTAAATCATGAAGTGTAATTTTGGGAGAATTTCTTTAATAAAAATGAATAAGTATCTAACGTCCAACACAAAACTATTTTTTTTTAAATTTCCAGTTATTACTATTTCTTATAATAAGAATGTGAATCCCAGTGACGTCATGACCCTAAAATTTCCTTTAAATTTCTCATGAATTCCTCACAAATTCTCCCAAATTCCCCATAAAAATTCCCTATAAATTCCCCAAATTCTCATAAATTCCGATAAGTTCCTGCAAGTTCCCCACAAATTCCTTTAAATCTCCCACAAATCCCTCTAAATTCCCCACATTTTTGGCAAAGAATTCCTAGGTGGTTTGCCCCTTGTTTTTTTTTATTTTCTAGGGTGCTGCCTTGTCAATTGACCCATGATTTTGACCAGGTCAAAATTCCCAGTCATTAGTTGTGTATCGTTTAATGTTAGATTAACGATGACATTATGTATTTTTGTGTTTTGTTTTGTACCTTAGAATGATTTCTTTATTTTCACTTTTCAGTCTTTCATATTGTTTATCGTTGCATAAACATCATGTATTTTTATGTTTTTTACTTGGTTTTTTTTTTTTTTTTTTTTTGTATCTCAGAATGATTTCTTCACTTATTTTGTCCAGCTGTTTTCCAATAAATACAGGTTTATATCTAATTACTAATGTCTTCATTTTGTTGGACAAAACTGAAGAATTTGACCGCAGAAGAGTAGTCAATTATCCCAATCCAACTATTCTTTACTTTTCAAGAAAGTGTTTCACTTAAATTTTTGATAGAATATTGAAGCATGATTAAAAAGACGTCAAATGAGCCTTGATTTACCTCTAGTCCCTCTGATAAGGGAGATGCCAAATAAATTGTACCTGAGGTTTTTTCCTATTTTCTAAATTTCAATAAAATTTTGATAAGCATAATGGAGAGTAATTCAAACGACGCTGAATGAGCCATGATCGAGATTGGTTAAGAAACAGATGGAGTGGATATGATCCAAGTGAACACAAAACTGTTAAAGAAGAATCCCAAAAAGATTAAGCTAAACGTCAACAAAAAGCTGAAGAACCAGATGCTGAGAACTCAGATGAAGATGAAAATGAAGACAAATATGTAGATGTAGTTGCCTGGCACCAAAGTGGACAGCAAACAAAGAATCACTGCAAGGAATTCACACATAACAGAGGACAGTGCAAAATATTTAAGAAATTTAGATCCAAATTCTGCTTATTATGATCCCCAAATAAGATCTATGAAAGAAAATCCGAATACTGAAGTAGATGAGACGCACCAACAAGAAAACTTTACATTTTACCATTTTTATTAAACGTTATTTTCTCCCCACTAATTTTACATATACATTACAATATATTTCAGTCGCCTCAGAACTATAACCATGTGAATGCATAAGAAAATAGGGGCACTGTTTCCATTGCCTCAAAATTAGGGTGCTGAAACAGTTGACCAAAAAAAAAAAAATTGGAACACTCAACCAGAACAAAGAAGAACACTGAACCAGAAGGAACATGCACGCAATTCTTGACATTTTAATGAAAATGCCTAAAACTACAAGTACTTTCATGTATTTCCAAATTATTCCCATGTACTTCTAGCTAGAGTATTTCCATATACTTATATTCTCAAGGATTTCCAAGCATTCTTGGGTATTCCCAGAGTATTACCAAGTATTCCTAGTACAGTGGTTTCTATAGGTCTTTGAAAGGTTGCAGGTGCTCCCTTAATCCCAAATGGCATTCTATTATAAGCGTAGTTCGTCCTGTGAATGTACTAAACGCAGTTTTATCCTTATCATAGTCGTTCATTGGAACTTGATGAAATCTTTCAGCTAAATCTAGGGTTGTAAAATAGTGTGAGTTACCTAGTTGGTCCAAAATGTCTGTGATGTTAGGTAACGGAAACGTATAACCTCCTGTAGTTATTTCATTAATTCTCCTGAAATCTATTACTAATCTATAATTAGGTACTCCCTCGGAATATGGAAAGAAGAATGAACAATTTAAAAATACTGATTTGTCAAGTGTATTGGGAAAATATGGAGGTGAGGAGCATTTAAAAGCCCCACTCTCTAATTGGCTCAAACTGAGGATTATATTGAGTGTTCACGTTCAAGCAAAATTATCAAAGGCCAAGACAAAGCGGAAATCATGTCAACAATATGAGAAAAATGTTTACATTAATAATCATACGAGTAGTCATTGGGGCTATAAATGCTGTACCTAATTCTTCTGTAAAAAGCTGGTATTGCTTATCAGAAGCAGGCGAATGTATAGAATAACCAATACCTGAATCTGTTCCCAATGAGGTTCTAGAAAAAGTTACAAGTGAAAAATCTGAAATTTCTTCTTCAAGTGACGAAGATGTAAGAACGGCTTCAGAAAAGCCTAGCAAGAAAAAAGATAAAGATAAATTGGCCGAAGCTCTAAAAGTAGAAGAGCAACAACAATAAGCAGATGGTCTATTGTCAGTAGATGAAAGAAAACACTCTTATAATAGTATGTTAAAGGCTAAAAAATCTACAGATAAAAAAATTGAAGTGTATTACCTCAAAAGGTACAGGAAAGATGACCCAATGGACCAATGTGAAATTAAATAATATATTCAAATATCACAAGTTTTAATAAAACTAGATAAATTTATTTTAACCAGCCATGATCTATCCCTCTACTATTTTTCAATTGTGAATCAGAAAATAATAATTTAATTTCAGGGAAGGAAACATGTATTTCAGAATGGAAGCTTGTAATTCGGAAACGAAAAATTGAATTTAGGAATTGTAAATTTAATTTCAGAATAGGGAACGTTGAAATTTAGAAATTGTCAATTATAATTTAGAAAAAGAAAAATGTGTTTCAGAAGGTGTAAATTTAAATTCAGATAATGGAATATCTAATTCCGAATATGTAAGAGAAACCAAGTACCTGCAGCTTTCACCTTTACAGGTAGAAAGGTAGAATGATTCACAAATTACAATGGAAATAGGTGTATTCCTTCTGATAAGGGATAAATAAATTATATAAAAATCTATTTTTTAATTGCCAAATCATATTTTACTCAAATTTTGATATCTTATATTTTACCCATCAACTTCCTAGATACGAATATTTATTGGATCAAGCTCAAAAGAAAGAAGATGGAGACGACGGTGACGATCCAAGAAAACTCAAACCAGGCGAAATTGACCCCAATCCAGAAACCAAGCCAGCTAGACCTGACCCTAAAGACATGGACGAAGACGAGCTCGAAATGCTGTCCGAAGCCAGAGCCAGACTGGCAAACACTCAAGGCAAAAAAGCCAAACGTAAAGCCAGAGAAAAGCAACTGGAAGAAGCCAGAAGATTAGCCGCTCTGCAAAAACGACGAGAACTTCGCGCAGCCGGCATCGAAGTTGCTCCTAGAAGAAGGAAGAAGCGCGGCGTCGATTACAATGCTGAAATTCCATTCGAAAAACGCCCAGCAATTGGGTTCTATGACACTTTGAATGAAGAATTAGACCCGATGGCACCAGATTTTTCAGAAATGACCCAACAGAAGCTGGATGGCAACTTGAGGGCCGAACAAGAGGATCGCGAAAGGAAAAAGGATAAACAAAAGCTGAAACAAAGAAAAGAAAACGATATCCCTGAAGCCATGCTTCAAAATCAGGAACCTGCCAGGAAAAGGTCGAAACTTGTTTTGCCAGAACCACAAATCTCTGACCAAGAACTACATCAGGTAGTCAAGTTGGGCAAAGCAAGTGAAATTGCCAGAGAGGTTGCTTCTGAAAGTGGTGTGGATTCAACGGACACTTTGTTGAATGACTACACTGTTACGCCTCATGCTACAGCCACTCCAAGAACACCGGCAGCACAAACTGACAGAATTTTACAGGAAGCTCAAAACGTAATGGCACTTACCCACGTTGATACTCCACTCAAAGGCGGCCTGAATACTCCATTACATAATTCGGATTTTAGTGGGGTTGTGCCTCAACAACAAGTAAGGATTTTTGTTTGTATAAATGAATATTGGTTTGATTTAATTTGTTTTTAGGCTATTGCCACTCCAAACACTGTGTTGGCTACTCCTTATAGGTCAGTTAGGAGTGAAACTGGTTCAACTCCTGGAAATACAGGTTTTATGACACCCAAAAGTGGAGCTATGGTGCCAGTGGGTGGAACATCTACAACTTATGTGGCACCATCTATAAGGGATAAATTAAATATTAATACTGAAGATGTAAGAATTGTTTTCTCGTGTAGGTATTTTGTTAGTGAATTTAATTTACAGGCCCTAGAAGTAGGAGATACTCCAGCACAGCATCTTATGTATCAGATGTCCACCAAGCAGCAACTTAAAATGGGCTTGAGTAGTTTACCAACGCCTAAAAATGATTACGAAATTGTTGTTCCGGATAATGAAGAACAGACTATTCCAGAACAAGCTCAAGGTTAGTACAATATTTATGGAAACTTAGTGAAATTGTATAAAATTATGTCTTTGTAGAAAAATCAATTGAAGACCAAGCTGACGTAGATATGAGATATCAAGAAGAAATGAAAGCCAAAGCTGCCAAAGAGCTTTTATTGAGATCACAGGTAATGATGATCTATATAATTTGTCATGGCATCTTTCTCTCTTAAGTCTCGCCCATTAAGTGTACCATTATAAACCAAAAACTGAGAGAGATATATATGTAAATTATAGGTATTATTGCTTAGGAAAAACAGAAAAATATATCGTTATAAGTTATTCAAATTATTTGACATTGTTCATAGGTGATCCAAAGAGATTTGCCCAGGCCACAAGATGTTAACCTCTCAGTTTTAAGGCCTGCCAATGAGAGTTACTCACTGACTGAGCTCCAGAAAGCAGAAGAACTTATAAAGTTGGAAATGTCAACTATGCTTCAATTTGATAATTTGAAAAACCCTGTGGCTACTCAAAGTAAGCCGTCTAACAAGAGTCAGGCTCAGCAGTTGGCATTTCTAGAGGAACATCCATATAGAAAGTAAGAATTGAATTGTATTATTTGTAGCAAATTGATTATTTGATTTTTTTTTTAAATTAGTTTCCATGCTGAAGAACTTGAAACGGCAAAGCAAATGTTGAAAAAGGAAATGGAAGTAGTTAAAAAAGGCATGAACCACGGAGATTTGCCGATGGACGCTTACACTCAAGTTTGGGAAGAATGTTTGGGTCAAGTGTTGTTTTTGCCTAATCAGAATCGTTACACGAGAGCTAATTTAGCCAGCAAAAAAGATCGTTTGGAGTCGGCCGAAAAACGTTTGGAACAAAACCGAGCCCACATGGCCAAAGAAGCCAAAAAAGCTGCCAGAATGGAAAAAAAATTGAAAATCCTCACTGGAGGATATCAGTCGAAAGCTCAAAGTTTAATAAAACAATTAACCGACGCCTACGAAAACATCGATCAAGCCAATTTAGAATTGAAAACATTTAAATTTTTACAAGAACAAGAGAGAAACGCGCTACCAAGAAGAATCCAAGGCCTAACAGAAGATGTTAGTAGACAACTAGAACGAGAGAAGGGCTTACAAACAAAATATAATGATTATCAAAATAAAATCATAGATTTACAAGAGCAATTGGGATACGAGCAACAAGAAACTGCAGAGCAAGTTGAGGATTTAGATGGGGTAAGCGTGCAGCCAGAAACAGAGCAAGTTACCAACAATTTAAATGCAACTGTTGAAGAAAATATCAGTTCTACAATCAATGGGCTAGATAAGGAGGAGGAAAATGTTGCAGTTCAATAATAATAAATAGTGTATTTTATAGAATTATTATTAATACAATAATCCAAAATAAAAAATCTTATTTTGTTTGCTTAGTTAGATATCTCTTTGTACTTTTGGGAAAGGATACTCTGGATGATCCAAAACGCTAAAAATCAAAATTAGGCAAATCTAATTAATGTAAAAAAACACTTACGTTTGATTGAAATTCATTAGATAACGTCTTCCTTGTTCACCTTTATCCAGACCAGTCAATAATTTAACATCCTCGACATCCAAAGTAAAATCAAACAAATTAATGTTTTCCTGAATTCTTTTTGGAGTTACACTTTTTGGTATGACAGCGATATTGTTTTGGACTAAAAATTTTAACAACACTTGCCCTGAAGATTTTCCATGTTTGGCAGCAATTTTCTTGATTACTGGATCTTCTAGGAGCTCTGTGCTCCCTGGACGTGGCCTAAAATTACAATTCGAATAATTGAAACAATAAATAAAAATTCCTTACGGTCTTCCTTGTTTAACCAAAAACTCATTTATACCAGGATTTCCTAGAGAAGCATAAGATATAGGCAAAATTCCATTAGCTTTAAGATACTTCACCAATTCTGGCTGTTGTAAATACACATGAAGTTCAACTTGATTGGCTGCTGGCTTGATTTTGGCAGTTTTAACTAACCTACTGACTTGGTCTTTATTGAAATTTGACACCCCAATGGCTCTTGTCCTGCCAAGTTCAACTTGCTCTTCAAGTTTCTAGAAAAATACTGCTTGAATAATATTTTCCATGGTAAAAATGGTTGAGTACCTTCCAAACTGCTCCATGATCTGTGGGTTGGGCTACCGAAGCTGAAGGATCATTCTTAGAAGCACCTCCTGCTTGTACGCAAACAGGAAAATGAATCAAATATAAATCAAGATAATCGAGTTGAAGTTGTTCCAAGGATTTTAAAATGTCTTCTTCTACTCGGTCAGGATGGACTCCTGCAGAAGCTAATTTTGTTGTTACAAAAAGATCTTCGCGTTTCAATTTCCCTGAATCGAACCAACTTTTCAGGACTCTACCGATTATGTGCTCATTGAAGTAAGCTGAAGCAGTGTCGATGTGCCTGTAGCCGGCTTTTAGGGCTTCGTTTAGGGATGTTTCTAGATCTTTTTCGTCTGTTACCTCGGAAAAATATTTTGATTCGAAACCAAGAGAAACCAATTTCGATAAAATTTAAACTCACTGTGAAAGTTCCTAATCCAACAAGTGGAAATTTGTGTCCATTGACCAGAGTGAAACTTGGCACAGCCATTATTGGGTGGAATTGTGTTTGGAAAGACACCTTTAGATGCAATTTATTTGAATAAATATGGTATTTTGATAAAATTATCAAACTATTTTCTAATCTAGAATATTTTAAATCATGAGTGCAATGTAAATATTGAATATTTGATTGGTTTGAGGGCTTTTAAATAGGTATTGAAAAGCTTAGAGATAAGACTGAATGAAAAATTGAAGCGATTTACGCTTTGGAAGTAATTTTCCACACTTCCCCGTGATGAAAATTTAATGGAATAGTTATTTACCTAACAAGTGCGGAAAGTTATACTTTTCCGCACGCAACGGCGCAACTTTAATGCTCCATGCATAATTGGTCTTCCATTTATTGAGATGTTTAATCTGCTAAAGAGAGTAGGATCGGTAGAACAGGAAGACAAAAATGTGATTGATAGTCTAGTAAAAAAATACGACCATATTTTTGAAGGCATTGGTGAATTGACAAATTCATATAAAATTCAGTTGAAGTAAAAGGTAGAGCCAGTTGTAGAACCTCCAAGAAAAATTGCAATCAGCCTTCAGCAGTCAGTTAAAAGTGAGCTAGATAAAATGGAGAAAATGGGGGTATTGAGAAAAGTAACTGAACCAACTGAGTGGTGCAGTTCTATGGTCATTGTGTACGTGAGTGGTATCAGCTTCCAACTTTTGAGGAAATTGCATACAAGATGGATGAGGTAAATATTTTTTCAATACTGGACGACAATAACGGCTTTTTATCAGATCAAGTTGTACGAAGAAAGTGAAATACTTACAACATTTAATGCTGGGTGTTATGGGCGATATTGTTATAGGAGAATGCCTTATGGACTGTGCTCTGCACCGGAAGTTTTTCATCGTACATTCAAGAATATTTTTGACGGGCTTCCAGGGTGGAAATTTACATAGATGATGTTATAGTCTGGGCAGCGAATAAAGAAGAACACGCCAAAAGATTGGAAGCAGTGTTAGACAGAGCTAAACGTGCCAATGTTCGTTTCAATCGACTCAAGTGTAAATTCGGGTTAAGTGGAGTACCTACGTTATATAGGTAGGTCATGTGTTTACAAAAAATGGTTTCTACGTCCTGATAAAGACAAGGTGAGTGCTATTTTGCAATTAAACAATCCAAAAAAACAAAAAAGAACTACAGATTTTGCTAGGAATGTTTACCTATGTATCTAAGTTCTTCTTGCCCAATTTGGCGGATGTTAGCAGCTCGATGAGACAACTGCTTAAGAAAGATGTAGAGTTCATTTGTTCTGATAAAGAAATATCTGATTTTGAAAAACTTAAAAAAATGCTCACATGTGCACCCGTACTAAAATATAATGTCAATACAGAGGTTGTTTTGTCAGTTGATAGCAGCAGCCAAGGCTTGGGAGCTGTGCTGTTACAGAATAGTTTGCCTGTAGCCTATGCCTCTCGAGCATTGACTGCTACTCAGAAGGCATGGGCTCAGATTGAAAAAGAATTATTGGCAATAGTGTACGGATGTGAGAAATTCCACCAATATGTTTATGGAAAAGTAGTGGTGGTTGAAAGTGATCATAAGCCTTTGGAAAATATATTTAAAAAGTCATTGAATGACACACCATTGAGATTGTAGAGGCTTAGGTTGCACTTACAGCCATATATTATTGTAGTTCGTTATAAACCTGGTAAAGATTTATTGTTGGCTGATGCCCTTTCTAGGAACTTTGTAAAGATTGATATTGTTGAAAATGATGATTTAGATAAAGAAGTGAATGCACATGTTAGTATGATAATTAATGCTTTACCAATTACAAAAACCAAGTGTGAAATATTCAAGAAGGAAACATCTCCTGATTTAACATTGTTAATTTTCTATATCCAAACTAAATGGCCACTTTATGAAAATATTCCAGTTAATTTAAAGTATTATCATTCAATCAAAGATGAATTGTATATATGTAGGTAATTGCATGATAATCTTCTTTTTAAAAATAATCTAATCAGTGGCGTAGCCAAACCAAACGAGGTCGTCGGCGACAAGAAAATTTCAATTATTAAAAAAACATACAAATTATTTTTTTGGAGGTTTGAAATACGTTTTGAGCGTGGCACCCGAAAAAAATTCTGCTTCCGGCCGCAACTACGGTGGGCATCGCCCACTGGGTCCTACTTTGGGTGTGAACCCCTTCAGGTTGTTGGGAATCGGGAGTTGACCGATGCGACGAATGTTGAGTACCTGGAGTTTTCCGCGCGCTCCAATCTCGTACTTCGATAATTTAAACTCGGTATTGTATAAAAATGATCCATTTATTAAAATTCTCGTTGAGGGGGGACACTTAGTTAAGAATGTTGAGAGGCAACCCGACTGTTCAGAGTGAAGCTCGAAATCTAAATACCTTGTCTTCAACTATCCTCCGCCGAGGAAGGCAAGGTTAGACCTACCTAAAGGAGGGTATTTTACAATTTCCTAAAATTAACTTATCCTAACAACATATTTTATTCAGGTGCTAAAATGTTACGGAACGTTTGTACAATTAGAAACCTAAAATTAGCCTAGGGGTTGTAATTCTCGCCATCTGTATTATAAAAAAGGTCTGGGAAGGTAGTATGTCTTTGGCGGCAAAAGTACTTCCCATGGGCTGTATTTGACTTAGTTTTTTGTATTTACAACAATTGGGGTTTCTGCAATAAAAGTACCGACTTTTGAGAAATTGGTGTGAACAGGACATTGGTTATATAATAATTCTAGCCGGCATCGCCTTTAAACCCTAACAGCATAAAGTATTGTTATAATAAAACTTGGGACTCAATTACACAGATGGTGGAACTTGTAGAAGAGAAAATGTAGCGAACATTAGGATTATTGATAATATAAGTAATAATAAATTCACTAGTTCACAACAAGGTATAGACCACGAGCCGCCACTGGTTGAGAAGCTCTACCCCCCCCCCCCCCACCAGAATGGTTGGTGCCATAGATCCGCCACTGCACGGTGGCCATATCTCTTGTGAAAAAACTGGATATAACGTCAGGGACGGGTAGTCAGTCGCCAGCAAGCCCTCCGAAGGTAGGGTTTCCATAAAGGTTTTTCGGAATTCAGGACAAAGGGGTCAAGAAATCCGGACTTCGCTGAAATAGCTATTTATGCAACAAGTATGAAAAAAGGTTGACTTTACACATGTATTGCATGCAATTTTTTTTTCTACTACCAATAAAATATGTGTTTAAAAAATAAATTTAGACAAATACCTCACGCACTAGTGCGTAAAGTGAAGTAATTTACTAGAAAAAAATGACAGTGTCGACATCGGTCATTGACATTACGTACGTAAAGTGAAATACTTTACGTACTAGTGCGTGAGGTGGAATTTAACCTCTTTTGAATAGTGCGTAGAGTGAGTACTTTACGCACGGTATCTAGTAGAAAAAATAATTAATTTTTTTTATAGAGGATGAACTTTATTTATTTTTTGCAAAATAGTTATTTAAGCAACAAAGTGTGTAAAGTGAACCTTTTTTCACGAATGTGAATTTTGACGCACGAGCCAAAGGCGAGTGCGACAATCACATGAGTGCTTAACGCACGTATTGCATACAAAATTTTTTCTACTACCAATCAAATATGTTTAAAACAATAGATTTGAATAAATACTTGTCGCACTAGTGCCTGAAGTATTTTCACTTTTAAAACTAGTGCGTGAAATAATTTACCAGAAAAATACTAAATTAACAATGATGACATCTGTCATTGACATTACTTTACGCACTAGTGTGTGAAGTGAATTACTTTACGTATTAGCGCGTGAAGTGTAATTTTACGTCTTCTGAATAGTGCGTATGTATTAATAAAAAACGGTACCGTAACTATTAAAATATTTCACAAAGTTAGGTTGTTTTCACAATCCCTGAGTTTTCCGGACATTGTTCCAAATTCCGGCCGGACTTCCCCGGACACCCTAAAAACCCAAACATGTCCGGGTAAATCCGGACTTATGGAAACCTTATCCGAAGGATAACCGCAGAAGGCGAGAATTTTTTGAGGCCCATCAACGGTAGGTATTCGATAACAATATTTAGTCAAAAATATCAATATTTTTCCGCTAACAAATCCTTCCAACAAAAAATTAATTTCTCATTTATTACATTATTACACAAACATGGGCCGACAATTTTTGGTAGAAATCAGGCAATTTTTTAGGTAACCTAAATAATTTCCGAATCTCTGTATGTTAGCAGGTTTGCTGAACGAAATCAAATGCTGGACGAATGTACAATACAGCGAAATACTGCACGAATTCTATGATATCAATTGCCAACCAGACGCCATTTGGACAAGTCATTGGATTGCCTAATTGGTTTTGAGCTGAGCTTACAAAACTGCAATTCGTTGCTAATTTGAACTTTTTCGTATCTGCTATAGTTTCTGATATCCCTATACTAAAAATCGAAAGAAACTCACCCTGTATAATGTCAAGTCCATACTAAAGTCTGTTTTTTTTTTTAAAGATAATTCCCCAAGTCAAAAATTTAGTAACTATGTTGGCAACACAAGCCTTTTCTACATAAAAAATTTGAAAGCATTGACAATTTTACATTGCATTGCCAACAATGTCAGTTTGACTTTTATCTTTAAAAAAAAAACACACTTTATCCTCGTTCTAATGATATGGCAGAAAGGCATGTGGGTATTTTTGAAATAATGCTCTAACAAAAATGTAATTCAAAAACATTTAGAACTCAAGTAGGTTTTGAATAAGCATTATCATGAGAAATCATGCTAAACCCAATTTTTTTAATAAAGGGGAGGTAGTAGATAGTACATATCGTCGCTTTCCTCACAAAGGGGATTATCTCAAAAAATTGAGTTAGGCCCTTGGGAGGCATCAAAACAGTTACCTGCAGCTATGCCATAGCTATGGTTTTTTACGTTATATTCAGGATGACGTCAGAGAACAAGGACTGACAATGGTGTCAATGCCTATTTGTTTTCTTATAATTTACCAGAATGTCATGAATTATCAAGACCACTGACAGCTAAAAAAAACGAAATAATTCGACACGCGTTATTTATTTGAAAATGTTTATTTAAATCATGCAACATCGCGCGCCGTTGCCAACCAGAAACAATCAGTCCTATGATGTATCATTTTCTGTTATTTTAACAGCAACCTTAAGTTATCTGTCACTGTTTATTCTACACGTAAAAATAGAGACAGGTATAGATTTTGAGCTATAACACAACTGTTAAAATAACAGGAGAGGATACATCATAGGCCTGATTATCTGAAATTCACCTACTTCAAATGTGTTAAGAAGTACTTTTAGTTTTGTCAGATTTGCAGCAGAAATTTACTAAATGTGACGTCATCCTAAATATAGCGTGAAAATTCCTCTAAAATGCGTATCTCAGATATAGGTAATCTTGAAGATACGCCTTTTTCAGTATCAGGCCTATCTCAGATTTGGCACGAAGATAATCTCACAAAATATTTGTACTTTTTTGTCTTTTGTCTCTCCTGAAAAATCAAAAAATGAGATAGGCCCCTTTGCAAGGAAGGCGCGATATTAAAGATAATGTTCATGATATGACTGAAGCAAAAATAGTCAAGGAGGGTAATGCACCACATTCTTATCAGGTTCAACTACATACAGGCAATGTTGTGACGAGAAATAGATCTAACATTTATAAAGCGTCGCCCAGACAGAAGTTTGAGGTGGTTGGATCTGGTTCAGATTCGCAAAGGACAGATGAGAAAGAGCAGAACTTGATTGAACTTACAGCCAATAATACTGGTCAATCTATAAAATTGAAAGAAACTATAAATCAGAATCTTGACCGCTCAAGTTTAGGTTTTGACCACCAAACTGGAGTTCTTCCAAAGGTTGGTATTTCTAGGTCTGGTAGAATTATTAAGAAACCAGAGTTTTATAGAGTTTATGTTTCTTAAGAACTTATTATTTTTTTAGATATTTTTGTTATTTTTATAATAGTTTATTGCTTTTTATTTTTGTTAATATTATCTATAATTTCTAGAGAAAGAAGGATGTCAGGTAGTTACTAATAATATGTGGTATGACATAGCAGGGGTGACAGATATAGTGACGGAATGAGCAGTTTAGCTTGAAATAAATCTTTGAAACTTCTTGAATTTGTAATTTTTAAGTCGCAAATAATTTTTTTAAAAACCCGGTTTACGACGTGTTAACTCACTAAAATAAACATTAATAAATAAAACATTACATTATACCTGAATAATTGTTTCTGGGCACACATTACCGAACAATTTCCATGGGTAATCCAGGAAGTTTTACTTATTGATTTTCACACACGCAAGCTAGAACAGGTATTTTTTCCTTTTTATTTTTTGGTATGTGTTGCTTTCACGTTAATCGCGGAACCACTAATCTGGCCTTGGTCCCGTCTGCCAACATATATGAGCATATTAAAAAATTGCTTTTTGTGCAACAACAATTTATTTCTATTTTAATAAATGCTTCGCAGAGAATAAATTTGTGTTATTTGCTACTCTCCCCAACCCACGATTTTGTCAGATTTATGTTATCTCTATATTTGAAGGTTTTTTTCCCTGACTACCATTATAACTAAAAAAGTATCCACAAGCAAAAACCACCGATTACTAAAAAATATAGAGTTCCTAGAACAATTTAAATACAATGCAACAAAGTAAAGTTCAGTTAGATGCGATGCAACTATTTATTGCACAAAATATACATAGGTACTTAGTTCTACAAATGTGAATAAGAAAGATTGAGAAGAGGATAAATGAGCAGTCTGAAAACATAACCTTCATATTTGAAATAGTAAAATAATATTGTCTTTATTTGATAAACCTATTAACAATATGAAAACCAACTATTTAAAACAACGACAGTAGGTATTTTTTTTGCTCAAATATCTCTTGGTATTCTTGGGAAAGGATACTCTAGATGATTCATTATGCTAAAAATTAAATTTCTTTTAAAAAACTCTAGTTAAAGTACAAAACGCTTACCTTTGACTAAAAACCAATGTAACACGTCGTCCTTGTTCGCCTTTATCCAGACCAGTCAATAGTTTAACATCTTCGTCATCCAAAGTAAAATCAAACAAATTGATATTCTCCTGAATTCTTTTCGGATTTGAACTTTTTGGTATGACAGCAATATTGTTTTGCACTAAAAATTTGAGCAAAACTTGTCCTGAAGCTTTTCCATCATAAGTCAATAATTGTATATTTTTTTCAAAGATTTTTACAATACAGCTTCACTCTTCAGAATAATAATTGAGTATCCTAGTTATCAATTTTTTTAGATTATTTTTCATTCCTAAGTGTTTATGCAAATACCTATTAAATAATTATTTGCTAGTTTTGAAAGCCTTATAGATAAGATTGAATAGAAAGTTGTGGAAAAGATTAAAAAACTACGTGGCAGTTTGTATTTATAATTACACTTTATTATAAGAGGAAATTTTATACATTTTTGTATGATAAGACTCAATATGTTGGGCATTTTTGGAATTTGAGAACAAAAAAATAGGTACTTTATCACATAATACCTACACATACAAATTACTTGGGTACATTTACGAGATAATAGTTTGTTAATTATTAGAAACTTGTAGAAGAATTTTATACAAAATTTGTCATTATTTTCAAAAACGAGAAAGTTTTCTGCGTTTTTCAAGGATGCTGAACTATTTCTGAGACAATTGTTTAGCAGAATAACTACATATGAATATTCTTCTAAGCATATTTTTTTCGAACTAACAAAATCTCGCTGGTAATCTGATTTTCTTTGGGAGAGCTTTCGAATCTTTGATTTTTTATTAGTTTTTGGGCCTTATCGATAATGTACAAAGCTTTTCTGAACCAACGTTCAGGATTACTTACTACCTGTTGCTGACTCCAATATAGCTTCATTTAAAAAAGTCAGCATATTTTATTGGAACTAGGCAATATCTTTTGTTAGGATAAATTAGAATTTATCATGGAAATACAAAAATATATTTGAATCTAAATATGTAAGTAGGTATACCTATAGAAGATCAATAGACAGTAGACGATTCAGTTAGAGTTAGATGGAACTATTGAACAAAATATAGTTCTGTGAATAGGATAGATTAAGAGGAAAAAATACTAGGAGTCTGAAAAGATTACATATTGTCTTTATTTAATAAAATTATTATTAGTAAGAGAACCATCAACAATTCAAAACAAAGACAGTAGGTACCTATATAGGTATTTTTTTGCTCAAACATCTCTTGGTACTCTTGGGAAAGGGTACTCTGGATGATCCAATACGCTAAAAATGAAATTTCAATTACTAAACTCTTATAATTAATGTACTAAACACCTTACCTTTGACTATAAGCCATTGTAGCACGTCGTCCTTGTTCTCCTTTATCCAGACCAGTCAAAAGTTTAACATCCTCGTCATCCAAAGTAAAATCGAACAAACTAAGGTTTTCCCGAAGCCTTTTCGGATTTGAACTTTTCGGTATAACAGCAATATTATTTTGCACCAAAAATTTGAGCAACACTTGTCCTGAAGATTTTCCATGTTTGCTAGCAATTTTCGTGACTACTGGATCGTCTATAAGGTCTGTGGGCGTTTTACGTAGCCTAAAATCGCAAATCTAAGTAACAAATTGAAAAAAGTAAGTACTAAAAATCCTTACGGCCTTCCTTGTTTAGCCAAATAATTATTTATACCAGGATTGCCTAGCGAAAAATAAGATATAGGCAAAATCCCATTAGCTTTAAGATACTTTACCAATTCTGGCTGTTGTAAATACACGTGCAGTTCAAATTCATTAGCTGCTGGCCTAATTTTGGCAACTTCAACTATCCTGCTAACTTGATCTTTGTTGAAATTAGATACACCAATGGCTTTGGTCCTGCCAAGTTCAACTTGTTCCTCAAGTTTCTGGAAAAATACTGCTCAAATAATAAATTCGATAGTAGAAATGGTTGAGTACCCTCCAAATTGCTATATGATCTGTGGGTTGGGCTTCAGCAGCAGAAAGAGCTTTCCCAGAAACAAATTCCAATTTTACATAAATAGGAAAATGAATGAGATATAAATCGATATAATCGAGTTGCAGTTGTTCCAAGGATTTCAAAATGTGTTCTTCTACGAGATCAGGATGGACTCCGTCGGAATTTAATTTCGTTGTAACGAAAACATCTTCTCGTTTCAATTTTCCTGAATCGAACCAACTTTTCAGGACTTGACCGATTACGTGTTCGTTTTTGTAAGCTGCGGCAGTGTCAAAGTGTCTGTAGCCAGCTTCCAGGGCTTCGTTAAGATCGTTTTCATCTGTTACCTTGAAAACAATTTTTAGGTATAGAAAAACAATGTGCTGCAATGAGCAAGATAACATTTTACGGCTACCTATACTTTATATAGTGCCATACAAGAAAAATCTTAATATAACTAAAACTTACTGTGAAAGTTCCTAATCCAACAAGGGGTAATTTGTGCCCATTGGTCAAAGTAAAAGCTGGTACAGCCATCACGAGTGAATAATTGTGTTTTTTTCAGAAGATTTTTACAATGTAGGCAGTTCCAGATTAAATATCCTGGTTATCAATTTGTTTAGATTATTTTTACTCATAAGTGTTTATGTAAATACCTATTAAGTAATATTTGATAATTTTGAAAGCCTCTGGTATAGATAAGAAAATTATGTGGGATTTTGAATGTATACGTTTTTCCTTATAGTCTTTGGGAGAGCACAATTTTTGATTTTTTCCAGTTTTTAGGCTTTATCGAAGGGTAAACCACCTTGGAGTTATAGTGTACCTACTGTACAAGCATGTGAAATTCCGTGGTATTTTGTGGAATTCCAGTGGGACTCTGTGGAATCCAGTGTGAATCCAATGGAATTCCTCAGTTTGCTTTGATGAATGAGTTTTGTTTTGTACCTACATACGTAGTGACGGCTAAACTGCAAGACTTTTTTGTCCAAAATCTTTGGAATTTCCAGAGGAATTTCATTTGATTCTAGTAAGATTGCGTGGGATTTCAATAGTATTCCGTGGGATTCCAGTAGGATTTCATAGGATTCCGTTAAAAGTGGGATTCTGGTTTAGGGACACATTTTTCAAGAAGGTTTAGGGCCTGGGCCTTATCGTCAATATACACAGCTTTTGAGAACCAACGTTAGGATAGGATTATTAGAAAATCGGAAGCTGAAATAACACGACGATAAGAACTTTGGACCCTATTCTCTCTTCTACATCTACACTATCGGCATTCAGAAGATTGGAGATACGAAGAAAGCCTTTGCATGCCAATAATTTCCACCAAAATGGTGCATCAAGGAACCGACATCCAAAGGTTTCTCTGGAATTAACTATGAATGCGAAACTGAGACACCAACCATTACTACCTACACCTGAAATCATAACTAACGATAAAGTTGGGACTATCATCTCTGAAACATTACATTGGTCAAGAAATAAAACTAGTACTTATAAGTTAAATACAAAAGCGTTCTATTTATGTTGTGCCTTATTCATACTGATAATAAGTACTTCAAACTCCTAATACTGATCAAATTTGCTGAGAAACGGTGCAATAGACGAAATATCTTCGCAATCCGGAATGATTCTCCCTTTAAATTTCACACAAGCATCCGCACAAAGTTGGCCTTCGAAATAAGGACCGAACATTTTTTTACATTGAGCACAATTTTTAATGCAAATTCCTAAAAGAAAAAATGTTTAAGGAAAAATATAATCGAACGCAATTTTGTACTTACCCATAGAACTAGCTTCAGTACGATAAACAGCTAGAAATACCATTAATAAAAAAAGTGTTACTGTTAAGCTTTGACAATAATTCATCGTATGTATAGGTACACAAATGTATCTTGAAAGGGTAACAGGAAAGAAGTAAAGATGGAATAAAGCAAATAAGGGTTACTTTATATAGAGTATCTCCATTAGGGCCTCTTGTAGAGCAATAATTAATGTCGTTACAGATGGCCATTGGCCTTTACGCACGAAAAATACAATTTCTTGTATAATTTTTATTTTTACATAAATACATCGACTTAAATATTAAATAAATAAATGCATTGATAATTAAATACTTAGTAAACTTTACAGTTTTTCTGTCAGTTAAATAGAAAAATTAAATTTATTCAAATCTAGTTCTTCTTGGTAAAAACTTGATAGCTTTTTGTCCAAACTTAGTCTTGGGTCCTTTTTTAAATTTACCCGATTTCTTCAAGCCAATATACCAACCCAAATGTGCATAGTGCCTGGACAAATAATTATTATACGATCCATGGAATGATTCGATGAATACTGCTCTAGGACACTCCGCATCCGCCTTAAAAAACATATACAAAAATAGATTTTAATGGATTTGTATTTATAAAATAACTTACTTCAGCATATAGTCGGCCTTTCTTATCCATTGCCACATATAAATGCGTTAACATTCCTTGTAGTTTGACGTGTTCCGGTAATAAACCTCCAGTCTTTCTTTCTAGAAATGCTTTCACATACATTTTTTGACAAAAAACTGCAACAATTTAAAAAAACTCTTACTGTGTGGGTCAGCTTCATCTTTAGTCCCTCTTACTCGCCCATCAGGATACACACCCAAAAAATCACCATTTTTACAATACAATTGCATTCTATTGCCCAATTTTGGATTTCCTTTGGGATCAACATAGGCGGTCCTGAAAGATGGTTGAGAGGTTGATGGTGGCGGCCATACCACACGTCTTATCATAGGAAAATGTGGTGAGGGTGGTCTGTTGGTGTCTTCCACTCCACACCTAAAATTTACCATCTAAAAAAATGTAATTATTGAAAAATCCAATTATTACCAAGAAACATTTCTTTTCTCTCTTGAAGTTGATACTCCTGCCCTACTGAAATCTTGTTCATCCTCACCAGATGAATCACTATCATCTGAACTAGATTCACTTAATTCCAACTGTTTTCGATTCATCTTTTGGCACGAACTCAACGCACAAAATAAGGATATAGTTATTATTCAATAGAGCGTCTGTGTGTTATAGTTTAATGAATGAAAAACTATCGGTTTTAATTTGAAAATTTCTCTATAAGCTAAAAATAACTAAGTGCGCGTTCCTAAAATATTTCATCGATATCGCAATATTATTATGGAGGACATGGATGGCGTTGCCTAAATATTTTCTTAGAGGACTAGACGGAAATAAACAATTAGAAGTGTAAATTTGTGTATCGCTTTTATTACTTTAAAATGTTTATATCACATCCAATAATTTTCTCTAAAATAAATGCTTGTATTAGTAGGTAACAACTTGTACAGGGTGTCCCGGATTCGATGGTTTTAGCGGGTTTCGGGTACCACTTGCGAGCCTCGATTTTCAGGAGAAGTTGACGGGTAAGTGGTGACACCCGTACCTTGATATCTCGATTCGTTTTTAAGCTACAAGAGGAAAAGTTGACCAAATTTTCATAAATAAAAATGTTATAGCCCCCCTGCCAAACTCCAAACTTTGCAAAAACACCTCATACATCTCGAGATGCGGTTTTCATCAGTCAATTTCTCTTGAAAATCGAGGCTTGCAAGTGGGGGTCAGATTTTTTCCAACTTCTCTAGAAATACCTGAAACCATCGAATCTTGGACACCCTGTACAGTTTTTGAACTAAAAGCACATTGATACAAAAATCTAGCTAAGAATCTTAAATTCCATCAGTCTCTATGGTTGTTTCATATTACAAAAAGCGCGCTTAGGGTCGTAATAATTGTCGTTTTACATTTATGCTGCCGAAATCTGAAATAGCCGTTTATCTTAGCAATTCACTGATGTGATTTGAATGGCTATGGTTTTGTTTTCTTTGTCTTTTTTTTATTTGAAGTTTATTTTAAGTACCTAGCTTGTATTGGTTGAAAGTATCTTGAGTGTCTCATGATTGTTTTTCAACAATTCTAAAAAAATTTATCTTGATTGAATTTAAGCAGTATAGGTACCTGCTTAATTGTTGTAAGTACCTCTACCTACTCATTCAGATTTATATTTATTCTATTCTGTATTTCCATGATGAAAGTGAATTTATCGTAACAAAATATATTGCCTATGCCTATAGTTAGAATAAAATATGAGGCTGGCTTTTATAAAGCTATTGGAGTCAGCAACAGGCAGTAAAACCAACGTTCAGGTTCAAAAGTGCTTTGTATATTAAAGATAAGGCTCGAGGGGTACTCAAACCACCTTGAAAAATGTGTAGGTACACCAGAATCCAACTTTTAACGAAATCCCACGAAATCCTACTGGAATCCTATATTGAAATCCCACGCAATCCTACACTATGGAATCTCAGGATATTCTATAGTAAATTCCCTCAGAATCCTACTGGAATCAAATGAAATTCTAGAAATTACATGGAATACTATGGAATTTATCGGAAGATATTTCACCTATTACACCGTTTCTCAGCAAATTTAATTAGTATTAAGAGTTTGAAGTACTTACCGGTATGAATAAGGCAAAAAATAAATAGATCGCTTTTGTATTTAATTTATATTAGTTTTATTTCTTGACCAATGTAATGTTTCAGCGAGATGATAGTCCCAACCTCATCGTTAGTTATGACTTCAGGAGTAGGCAGTAATGATTGATGTCTTCAGTTTCGCATTCATAATTTATTCCAGAGATACTGTGAGATACCATGAAAAGTCCTCTCCAATTTCGGTGTGAGTTCCTTGATGCACGACATGCTAAGGTCTTTAGCAGTTTTACAAATCTTAGATCATCTTGTTAGTTCCTCTTTAATGATATAGGTACTTTGTTCATGGGTCGTTCCAAGTCCAGTACAACTGGCCCAGGTGCTAGTATTCCAGCTTAATAAGAAGCGATCCAGTCTCAAATATGGAGTTGGTGAATGTTATAAAGGCCATCAAAGCTTTTCTAGGCAGCTTCCATCTACTTGATAATCTTGCGAAAGACTATGCTTGGTTAAGGAAGCCAGGCTAACTTTTAGGACTAAAAATTATTCTTCAAATTCCGTGTTTCTGATTCTTGAAATCCCAGTTGTCTTCTAGATTCGATTTCATTGGTCTTGTAGTCGGGGCCGCAACTAGGGGGTTAATATACAACCTAAATTGAGTCAAATTACCTACAGTGGGTAGAATTATTTTCTATTATCAGCTTTCGTGAAAGATTTTCTACGTTAAAAACTAGAGAATAAACTATTGAGCACTGTATCTTTATACAGTGGTGGAATAATTGTTTTTAATTACCAGATTTCGTGAAAGATTTCCTACAAGAGCCGGAAATATTAGGATATTGATCATTCTGTATCATTTTAGAGTGGCATATTTTTGTTGAGTCAAATTACAGTGGGTAAAATTGTTTTCTGTACGACCCACACTGTAAGAGCTTATTATGTAACTCATTTTCATTTTAGCCTGTTTGAATTACCTACGTAATAAGTTGTATTATCGTACTTAGTGATGTAATGAGCTCATTACATTACAAGTGCGTTTATGAATATATGATTACAATAACGAGTGTGAAATATTTAGAACGACGAGGTCGTAGACCGAGTCGTTCTAATCACACCAGTTTTGTAGGCATGTTTAAACGTTCGTGTGATGTACAACGTTTTATCTACAAACCGAAAAATAAGAACGTTTTTTTCAATTATTTTGATTTATTAGTAGTTGTGTACCTTCATTTTACCTTTACAGGTTTAACTTTGGCATTTATCAAATCACCAAAAATAGTTGTCTTATAGATTCACAACCTAGTCCATAACATCACTAGTTGTGTTATGAATTCATAACCTAGTCCATAACACCACTAGTTGATGTGTTATGAGTCTCATGACATAACTCAAATACCACAATAGTACATTAAAATACAAGTTTCATAAGACGTCATTTTATCGCACGAGCCCTAGCGAATATTTTATACTATTTTTTCTATTTTTACCCCTCGATAAGGCCTAAAAAAACTGTAAAAAATCAAAAATTGTGAAGCTGTCCCAAAGAGTATAAGATTATGAGCGACAATAATATGTTAGTTGGAGAAAATATGCTCAGAAGTATTCTGCTAAACAAATGTCCCAGAAATATAGTCCAAAATCCTAGAAAAACGTATACATCCAAAATCCCACATAATTTTCTTATCTTTCACCTAATTTTCTTATCTATACCAAAAGGCTTCCAAAATTATCAAATAATACTTGATAGGTATTTACATAAAAACTTATGAAGAAAAATAATCTAAACAAATTGTTAACCAGCAGGATAATTAATCTGAAACTGTCTACATTGTAGAAATCTTTTGAAAAAAAAAATACAATTATTCACTCGTGATGGCTGTACCAGCTTTTACTTTGGACAATGGGCACACATTACCCCTTGTTGGATTTGGAACTTCTACAGTAAGTTTGAATTCTATTAGGATTGTTTTTATTACATAAATGATAGCTGAAACTATAAAGGATAGGTAGCCGTGAAATGTTATCTTGCCCATTGCCGCTGATTTTTTTCTCTATCAGTAAAAATTATTTTCAAGATTTCAGATGAAAAAGATCTTAACGAAGCCCTAAAAGCTGGCTACAGACACTTCGACACTGCTACCCTTTACAAAAACGAACACATAATAGGTCGCGTGCTAAAGAGTTGGTTCGATTCAGGAAAATTGAAACGAGAGGATATTTTCGTTACAACAAAATTAAATTCCAACGCAGTCCATCCTGACCTCGTAGAAGAACACATTTTGAAATCCTTGGAGCAACTTCAACTCGATTATATTGACTTATATCTGATTCATTTTCCTATTTATGTACAATTGGAATATGTTTCGGCTTCTGTAGTCCATCCTACAGATCATATAGCAGTTTGGAAGGTACTCAACCATTTCTACCTTCGAAACTTATTTGAGCAGTATTTTTCCAGAAACTTGAGGAACAAGTTGAACTTGGCAGGACCAGAGCCATTGGTGTGTCTAATTTCAACAAAGACCAAGTTAGCAGGATAGTTGAAATTGCAAAAATTAAGCCAGTAGCCAACCAAATTGAATTGCACGTGTATTTACAACAGCCAGAATTGGTAAATTATCTTAAAGCCAATGGTATTTTGCCTATATCTTATTTTTCGCTTGGCAATCCTGGTTTAAATGAGTTTTTGGCTAAAAAAGGAAGACCGTAAGGATTTTTAGTAGGTACCTAATGTTTTCAATTTGTTTCTTAGGTTTGCTATTTTAGGCTACGTAAAACGACCACAGACCTTCTAGACGATCCAGTAGTCACGAAAATTGCTGCCAAACATGGAAAATCTTCGGGACATGTTTTACTCAAATTTTTAGTGCAAAACAATATTGCTGTCATACCAAAAAGTTCAAATCCGAAAAGAATTCAGGAGAATATCAATTTGTTTGATTTTAGTTTGGATGACGAGGATGTTAAACTATTGACTGGTCTAGATAAAGGCGAACAGGGACGACGTGTTACATTGGCTTTTAGTCAAACGTAAGTGTTTTATACATATTAATTAAGAGTTTTATAATTGAAATTTCATCTCTAGCATATTGGATCATCCAGAGTATCCTTTCCCAAGAGTACCAAGATATATTTGAGCTAAATTGTTGGTTTTTTTCTACTAATGATAATTTTATCAAATAAAGACAATACTATTTTAAATAGGTATAAAATGTTTTCAGACTTCTACTTTTTTTCCTCTCAATCTATTCTATTTCACATTTGCACAAAAAGAATCAAAAATTGAAAAGCTCTCCCAAAGAACATCATTTTACGAGCGAGATTTTGAAAATATGTTTAAAAGTATTCATTCATAGATCTGCTACACAAATGTCTCAGGCATATGGTTCAGAATCCTGGAAAAACCTAGAAAACTTCTTCCTTTTTGAAAATGATGACAAGTTTTGTATAAAAATCTTCTACAAGCTTCTAATGAAGATCATTAACAAACTAATTCTTGATTATTATCTTGCAAAAGGGCAGACGGAATGACGTTGATCCCATGGAAAAATGGAAAACAGTTAAACTTGTTGCCATACTTTGGCAAAATCATGTGTCAATAAATCATCAAAAGCATCTGAGTCAGCTGCTTTGCTGGCTGAAGAAAAAAAAAACATAAAAAGTATTCTGAGCTTGAAGACCGCTTTATATTTGTCCCTTTTTCCGTAGAGACCTTAGGTCCTTGTGGTGATGAGGCTAGAAGATTGGTTTCGGAAATTAGTTTCAAAATTCCAACTGATCAGTCTTGTAGTTTCCTAACTCAGAGGATCAGCATAGTCATTCAACGAGGTAATGCGGGTTTAGTTTAGTGATGGGTAGGGAAGAGCGCCCAACAGTGGTCACCCTTTTTTTATTTCTCAGATATTTTTTTATCTGGTAAGGACAATTAGTTTTTTTTCAATCTACATATTTGGTTACGTCCTAAAATAAAATATTTAATAGTTCAATTAGTGAAAAAACTTCCTGTTTTTTTTTTGCATTACTTTTTTGAAAATTTGTTAAAGTGGCCACTGTACGAACCTGGATTGGTACAGTGGCCACCACGGTATTCTTACAGTGGCCACAGCTTTCAACATTACAATTTGTTATAATTATTGTCATAAATAATCACAAATATCATTTGAAAAAAATTTATTTCGAAAATACAAAATTAACAAGATGATGTTAATCAAATTTCAAGTGAATATAGATAGATTGAGCTAATATAGGTATAAACTGAATGAAGATAAATCGACTGAAAAATAATGGAGGCTTTAAGCTCTTTGCAATTCCTCCTGAAGTTATAGGTGTGGGAAGATGCGTTACCATATTGCTAAAGACGCTAAGAGAAACAATATATCGTCTTGGACATCTCAGCTCAACAGTGGCCACCTCTATCTATTCCAATAAATAGTGGCCACTGTTGGTTTCTCGAGATATGGCCACTGTTGGAAATTTACCACTAGAAAATCAAACTTAACCCTTAAAAAAACCGTGCATAAATTTCATGTTCTAAATCTTCGAATCTCGTCACAAATAGCATATTTAAAAGTAGGCAACGGAAAATGACTTAGAAAACTCACCAAAATACTAATTTTCAATGGCCGAATATTCACACAAAAAAAAAGAACTATCAATAAAAAAAACAACTTTCTTCTTGTGGCACCTTCAAATTGCATTAAGGCAAACTTTCCATCCAGGATGGCGCTAGGCGTTTCATTTTGTTGCACCTGTTCAAGCGCTGTAAATACCAAATATTACCTGTGGCCACTGTACCGACCCTGGCCACTGGTGGGCGCTCTCCCCTACCATTCCGGAGGACAAAGGATTGGACGAGAGTTTTTACATTTGATAATTATCTCTCATTTATGTATATTTATTATCTTGTGAAAATTTTGGATTAATTTTCTTCGCTTTTCCATCCACAGATGCGTTTCGATCTATCATATCTCATCAGTGTGGCTAAGAAAGCAAAGACAAGCAATCCAAGTTTAGTGTGTCTGCAGGCAAATTTCGCTCGTCACTAATTCGTATGTGATAATCAAGATTTTTAAATGGAAAAATCCCATTATTTTTCTACTGGAAGCTTTTTCAGTTTTCAAATTCCAAAAATGACCAACATTTTGAGTTTTATCATACCAAAAAAGGTATGAAATTTAATTTATAAATAAGCAAAAAGCTTAGAGCCAACATTTTGATGCGTTTGCTTTATTCAATACAACATCTGTATTTGCCCAACTAAATTCGGACATTACTTGTCAATGAACTTTGGTTATTTCGTATCGATATAATGTTGTAAAGGGTGATATTTTTTGGCTTGACAATATATGCCTGAGCTCACTTACTGCCAGAATAAATATGTACTATCAAAACAATGAACATTTTATCTTAATTCTTAATTCATTTTATTAGAAACCAATATATCTAACTAATCATTTTCTAGACGCAACAAAACAGTTAATTCGATTATCCAAACTCTTCAGTAAAATTCATTCCAAATAACAGTCATTTGAATTAAATTTCTCTAGGTATCTATACTAAGCACAAAAATATTCAAAGTCAATTCACTCAAGTTAATAATATTTATGCAATAAAGTTTCATAGTCAATTCACTTCATAGTCATTTCAACATTGATACAGTCATAATAAAACTTGTCACTAGAGTACTTACATTTAAATTATCGCCCTTAAAGTCACTTAATTATTCTAATTATTATTCACTCCAAAATAGCTAGAGCACGCACATAAAAACTGGAAAGTTCACTTCTTTCTTAATTCGAGTTATTTACTGCAATTTCTACATTTCCGAGGCCCGACTTTTTATACTTGGGATAATTCGCCACTTCTGAATATGTACTACTAATTATTGAGTCTAATTCTCGATAATTGATTGCTGATTGCTCTCACTTACTATTATTTACTCACCACACCACAATCGACAATATGGGCGGTCGTTTAACCATCTGTATTCCAATCCTATTGGTCGACCTAGATATTATTGCAAAAAATTTAACTTGCTCATCGGATAATGACGAAATCTGTGTCGAAATTGTATGATTATTTGGGGTCAACGAAATGGGAAAGAGTGTAGAAGACACTTAAATTCAAAGAAAAGCCGAACACGTGCCGGCAATAAATTATAGAGTAATTTCGGGGAATATGGAATACCATTTTCGTTTTGTTGAATATCTGGGAAAATAATACAATTTTCACTCTGAAATTTAGTATATGAGAAGGTCAGGGTATTATCTATAAGTAGCTTATGATCAGATTTGATCCACCGCAAATGACACACTGCACCCACATCTCTTTGCTCTTACACATTGTGAACCTCTCTTCACAGAAAATACATTCCGTGTCATCAACAACTTGCGTGCGACTGACAACGTCTGACAAGGGACTATCATCATCAGAGGAGTCTGCGAGAAGAGCTTCAGAATGAGTTTCTGATGAAGATGTCGTTGATGGAGAACGTTGTTTCCGTTTTTTCTTGGTGGAATTTTTTAGTAAACTTGGACCAGCTTCATTGAGTTTTTTTAGAGAACTTGGACCAGCTTCATTGAATATGTTTCTGGTAACTTTATCACGCGAAAGATTGATAGACTCCTGTAACTCGTCCTTATTGGGAGTTGAGGTTACAACTTTTGCGCGACATGGTATTCTTCCTCTAGTGCCAATTTTCTTCGTTAGTTGTGGTATGGGTATGATATCTTTGGGGAGAATGTTTGGTTGTTGACAAGGCACTTGTTCTGCATCTGCTGTGACATGATGACGTTCTTTTTGCTGTTCGGCTAGGTAGTCTTCATCGCCAAAAATATCCCTCCGAACCGGGTATATGCCAGTTGTACTGAAGCCTTTTATAGACCTTTCTGCAGTCTGGACTTTTATATAGGCTCGTCCAAATACCTCGCTCATATCATAATGTGTAACTGCTCTATTAGTCTATTATGCTCACGCATAAAGACCCTGACTTCCTCATTGTGAAACGTTTTTAGGGCACCCATTACTGTCTTATCTAGGGATTGCATTTTGTGTGAAGTATGTGCGGTGGCAAGCATAATATTGACACAAAATTGTCCCGGGCTTTTATAATTACGTCCAAATTTCTGGTGTGGCCATCTAACACAAGAAGTACTGGACTAGCTTCAGTGGGTTTTGTCGTTTCCAAGAAATGATCAAACCATTTCGTGAAAAGATCAGTCTGAATCCATCCTGAAGGGTGAAAAACAATGTTCCTGAAGGCGCTCCCTTTTTCAGCTGCTCACTTGCATTTTTCCGGGGGAAAATGATCAAGGGAGGCACGAACCCACCTGCAGCATTCATACACAAAACTGCTGTTACTAGGGAGCCTCGATCGGCCGATGTGAGTGCACCAACTTGTCGTTTGACCTTCCTTGAAACCACCTGGGGACATTTAGATTGTACGATGCACAAACCTGTCTCATCAACATTGTAAATTCTGAGGCTTAAAGTTCTTTTCTGTCATAAGTTTTTCGAGAAGATCAAAAAACTCACCGACGCTTTCCTTATTAAAACCGAGAGCTCTGTTCAGAGAAGTTCCAGTTGGGCTTCAGAAACTCAGGGTAGTTTCGTGCCTTTTCATGAAAGCGTAAAGCCAGTCTTTTCCAGCGGTTTCGCGTAAAAATGAAAACGGGGATGTCTCAGATTGTTACGCCGAGTCAGCTGAAAAGCCATAGAGCGCAAATCTCTTTGAGCTAAATCAAAATACCTCTGATCCATGAGCAACAAATATTCAACAAGTTCTTTTTCCAACTCTGGCGTCAAAACTGTTTTTCTGCCCAAAGTGGTTATAGAAACGGTGTCAGGAGAACCATCTTTCTTACACAGACGATGAAGAGTAGCACGACGGACGTTATAACGCTTTGCAGCGGCCAAATAGCCCAAAGTTTGGCTTCTAACTGCTTCAATTGCTTATCGCATATCATCGGCCCGCCACTGCTTTCTTTTTTTTGCAGAGTTTGACGGCATGGTATCTGTAAAAAAAGTTGTCTTTTGGACAGAACATTTTATATTTTCCCCTTAATAAGCCCTCTAGTATCTTTATAAGTTGTTAAATCTTCGACTGAAACCATCGGGAAATATATGGGATACCTATGGGTAGGGAAATATGGAATATCCCATAATACCCGAAACACTCCCTGGAGAAAAAAAATATTATCGTTTGACATTTTGCGAACTTAAAAAAGGCAACTGTTGAAACCTAATGAGGTTGATGATAGCTTAGGGTGGGAATAAAGTCAGTTTAGGTATAAAAATGCAGATGTCGCCACCTACAAAAAAAATAGCAGCTATTCCATATTACCCGGACTATTCCATATTCGCCGAAATTACTCTACGATCCAGTGGCGTATTAACCCAGCTCCGGGCCTGTGTGCCAAAATCTCCGCGGGCCCATTACAGGTCCTCCTTTTGGGTGCCACGCCAAAATTTTGACCCAAAAGTCGTTCAAAAAACACTCCTAAATTTTTTTTTAGGTATATTTTTCCTCAAACGTTAAATTGTGAATTCATTATTTTCGAAATTGGTATGAATAACTATGTATAGTATTTTTAATCCGACTTGAAACACTTGAAAAACCTCTAGTCGGCACACATCAAACAAAAAAAGGGCATGGGCGTCACATAAATTTTATTTCTTTAAATGGTGATAATCAATATCAAACAACACAACTAAATAATACGTGTAATAAAATAGTAAATAATATATAAATTGGGATGACACTGGTTATAGAAATCGCGTAGTTTAGTTGCACCTACATCGTTCCCGGGAAGACATGAGTTGCCCACCCCAATAATTAAACCTTAGGCACGTGCCGACTCAAATTATTAATTTGGGCTACTGTAGCGTTATTTCGTCGCTTATATTTTATACCGGGACCGGGTGATTGTCTATGTTTTGCACTCATACCTATCTCACCTGCTTGAAGAGATACCCAGAAATGTCAAATGTTAAAGTTCTAGGTAATATCAGAAACTTTGCAATTAAGTTAGATACAAGTATACAGGGTGTATCACAAAAGTGTGGCGAAGCAAAGTTATACTTTTTAAATGGAACACTCCGTATATTATTGACCTATCGGATTAGTCTTTCAAACCTGATTCTAAATATACTAGGTTTTTAAGGTTTATTCCTCATAGTACAGCCTCTGAATTTCCCATTTTGAAGAAATAATACGGATTTTTAATTGAATGATTACCTACCTTTATATTTTGCTGGTGATCTCTATACTTCACCTTTTTCAATAAAAATGCAATTATTTCGCCCCTTTTTTTCTTATTTTCTCCCGGACTATAGTCTAGTACTCATAATAGCGAAATTCGCTCTTTTTTGACATTGCTTCGACAATTTGACGTTTGATTCACGCATAAAACGTCAAATTGTCGAAGCAATGTCAAAAAAGAGCGAATTTCGCTGTTATGAGTAGGTACTAGGCTTAAACCTAAAAAAACTAGTATATTTGGAATCAGGCTTGAAAAGCTAATCCAATGGTTCAATAATAAATGGGGGTGTTCCATTTAAAAAAGTTCAACTCTGCTTTGCCACACTTTTATGGCTGTACAGTGTACATACTTGTAACTAACTTCATTGAAAACTTTCTGATATCACCTACAACTTTCACATTTGAAATTTCTGGGTATCTCCTCAAACAGGTGAGATAGGTGTGGGTGCAAAATATAGACAATCACCCGGTACATACAGGAGGGAAACTTACAATAGATTTTCTATGAAATTAATAGAAGAAGAGCGACGTGATGTTGAAACATCCTTGTATAATGCAGTGTTTCAAGTCAGAATAAAAATACTATACCTCTGCCGGTATTTTGTTGCGCGTAGATAGACTATTGCCCATACAGTAATCATTATTATACAAGCAAAAAAATAAAAAGACAATTAATAATTTTAGGTCTTTTGAAACATTTTTTTGCGGTTTCGATGTGGAGCTCACGGGCCCCTTTCGGGGCCGGGCCTGTGTGTTTCGCACACATGGCACACCGGTAGATACGCCACTGCTACGATCTTTTGAAATTTCTGTCATTTTGGGACCTAATTTAATTAGGTATACCTAATCTTGTATTTAATCTTTTCCGGGTTTTGATTTTTAGTTCAACTAACCTGATGACACACACCTGGGGCCTTATTCTGTAAAGGACGAACCGTTCGATTCGGTAGAATTTCTTCGATTGTGACGTCATTTTCGGTTTGGTTTTCGCGCGACGAAACCAATCGAACGATTCGTTCCTTACAGAATAAGGCTTTACTAATCATAATCCGATACTCTGATACTGCACTGACCTCTTGCAGTTTTGGACATGCCTTTTTATGCGCGATCTTTGCATTATTTTTGACTTTGACTTCCACAATATTAGAAATTCCTTTTTCTGTGAATTTATATAACTCGACGGAGGTGCTCCTAAAGTTTTCAGTTCATGGCGCATCTCTAGTACGAAAATATGTTATTTGTTTCCATATTAAATTCTTTTACTTCAAAGATTCGCGTTCGGATGCTGCCAGAAATCTAGAACAAATTTGCCTCAGAACTCCTGATCAGAAGCTACAAATATATATAAAAAAAAATATTTACCCAAATAAAAAAGATGGGGGCAATACTAAAATAAAACCACATTAATACTTTTAAAATGTTTATAGTGAATATAAATAAACTATAATTATAATGAGTTTTTAAAATCAATCTAAAATAAAACCCAATCAACTCCATTCCATTTAAAATCGTTGTTGAAAATTAGGTTGCTGCTGTTGCTGATTACTGTTAAACATCATTTGTTGCTGATGGAACTCCTGCTGTTGCTGAGAAATGGGCATTTGCTGCAAAAAACCAGCGTAATTACCATGCGCAAACTAAATAATGAATATTTACTTGTTGATTAACTTGTCCAGGATGACCAGGCGGTCCTGCAACTCTCATCCTCTTAGCAGGGTGCTGATCTTGTTGATTTTGCTGTTGCTGCTGCTGAGGCTGTTGCGATTGCTGTTGTTGTTGCTGTTGTTGTTGTTGTTGTTGCTGTTGTTGTTGTTGTTGTTGCTGCTGCTGCTGCTGTTGTTGTTGTTGCTGCTGGTTTTGTCTTTGTTTGTTATCAGATTTTTCTTCTTGATCGTCGTCCGTTAGGAATTCACGTTTTGGGTATGGGATTGGACAACCTAAAAAAAGTCAATAAGCTGGTTATTGAAATTTTGAGACAAATTTTTATACCAGCAAAAACGTCTTGGGTATGTTGCGGTTCCTCAGAAAAATACGGATCAAGCATGGCTTGTTCTGAAGTAATTCTTTTATTTGGATCCATGAGAAGTAATTTTTGTAAAAGATGGAAGGCTTTACTGTCTGGTTTGATTTTATGTCTTTCCATATATTTAACCAAAGAACAGTTAACATAACTAAAACAATATATTTTTTTAATTAGGTACCTAATTTCCAAATTACCTAAACCAAACATACTTTGATTTTTTGAAATCCTTTGTCAAAGTAGGATGCTCGGGCATTTTTTTAATATCCTCCCAATCTTTTTCATGTGGAAAACCCATAACATTAAATATCCTATCCAATTGGTCATGATGGTACGGATTGCTTGTTTTAATATCCTCTTGCCGGCAATGGAAAATAGGCTCTGATGTTAGAAGTTCAGCAAAAATACATCCAATTGCCCATATATCTAAAAAAAATATATCTTGCCTCTATTCAGCCATAAAAATGAGTCCTTACCAATAGCTTTAGTATAATGTCTAGCTCCTAATAGAAGCTCAGGAGCTCTATACCAAAAAGTAACCACAACTGGATCTAAATCAGCAAGAGGTTTCAATGGAGCATTAAATAATCTAGCAAATCCCATATCAGCTATTTTAACTCTGCCCCTTTCGGGCCCTTCTCCCATCACCAAAATATTTGCAGGTTTTAAATCCCTATGTAAAACCCAATTGGAATGTAAATAGTGAATTCCATCTAATATCTGATAGAGCAGAGATTTGACCATGCCTTTAGGTACCATAACAGGTTTTTTATTAGCTTTTGCTGCTCTGTGGAATTTAATTATGTGCCATAAATCGTGTTCGGCAAAATCAAACATGAGCCACACTTTTCGGTCATTGTGTGATAGGAAAACTCTCACTAGGTTTATTACGTTGGAGTGTTTGAGCTCTCTGAGAAGCTAGAAATTGTTTAGAAGATTGATTTTATTAAAGTTTAGTGCAAGGTATACTTACAGCAATTTCTCTGCAAGCTGACATAGATAATCCGGTGCCCTCAATCTGTTTGAGGGCGTAATCCCTATTATCCGACCCGTCCTTCCGTCTGCCCTTGTAGACGTGACCGTAAGTGCCTCGGCCCACTTTGCAGCCCTCGTAGTCGAACAAGTCTTCGACTTTAACCCGTTCAGTTTGAGTTTTCATTTTGAATTCGTAGTCCATCATGAAAGCAGTCATAATCCTCTGAACACTGACCATAAAAAGCACCAGAAAGTGCTGATAAGAGATTCTTACGTTTTACTTAAGAGAAACTTGAGTTTTACTTAACAGGATTGTTAGGTTTAATTCGGAAAAGCAGAAAGCAAAAGCCCAAGGTTTTGTTTATGTTTGGGTCTTTTAATTTATTTTTTTTGAGGTTGGGTTTACTAACACAGCATCTTGCAATATGAAATTTGGCAACAGTGTACCGACTATACATATCCTTTATTTTTTTCACAGCGTAGTAAAGGACGGAAATAGGTTACGATGTCATGTTTTAGGATTAAGGATCAAGACTAATGAGAAAGTTCGGCATCCTCGCATTTTTGAAACTTGTCTGACATCAGGCAGGGACATCACTTTCTCAGCAGTTTAAAAATTAGATTTTCAAAAATAAGCATTTTTATATGGAAACAAAATCATTCTTTGAAAAAGGTACCAATGTATGAATAATATTTGGTATTTTCCAGGAAATAAAACTCAATCCATAGGTCAAAACTTATAATAAAATCAAAACATTTTATGTAGCTGGTCCAGAGTTGGAGTTAGGTCCACGCCTACGTCCAAATGAAGCAACAACATTTACGAATCTCCTATTGTATTGAATACGTCTCTTGGCTCTACCAGTCTTCTTCTTTTTCTTCTCTTGCTTTTCTACTTTGGGTGTTTGACCTTTTACTTTACCTAAAAAACACTCAATTTGTACAAAACTTTAAAAACAAAGTTGAATATTTTTACCTGCACGAGCCAAAGATCCGTGAACTTTACCACCAACAAGCCCAACGGACAATTCAATGTCGGTTTGTTCGAATTCGCCAACAAGTGCTTCATCGGAAACTGGAGCTCCAGCGGCGTAAAGTTTCACTTCTGAAACTTGGAGGCCTTCGAGAGCCGAGATACGTTCCTAAAATTTACATTGGGTAAATTGAGGAAACATGAAAATTTGGATTACTTACTTTGATTTGGCCAATGGAGTCAGACTCCTGGCAATCAAGTACGTGAGTGCTTAGACCACGGAAAACCAACTGCATTTTGCTCTGGAACATAAAAAAAATTATTAAAACGAGGAATTCTTGGAATATTTAACTAAAGAAAGCACGTTTTTATTGGTTTGAAAAATGGGGCAGTTTAAGTAGTTTTCACGCAGAGAAATTAGGCCAAAGGTAAATATGGGAAAATGGCACATGGAAAATTACCTGGATTAGCAATAATTTGCAATAAAACTAGGAAAAATCTGGAAAATTTAGGAAAAAAAAAATAACCTTACCCTTTGGTGCACACTTCAAATGTCAAAAGAAAGAAAATGGCGGCGACGGAAATAACGCAAATAGGGTGGGAGGATTAGGGGTTTTCATTTGTATGTGTTCTAAGCAATCTAAACTATTTAATACAATTTTTGATACAGGAGGTGGGTTCGGCTTGCTCACTCCGAGTGACTCCATTTGCAACTCCGAGTGACTCCATTTGCACTCCAGCCGTTTGGGTATTGCTTTTTCGCGTATTAGGGGTGACTCCATTAGCGTTCGACTATACGGAGTGGAGTAAATGAAGTTCACTCCAAAAGTTCTACGTCGGAAAGAGAATTTTTTAGAGTAAGCATGTAAAATATCGGTTACGTTCCGGTTCCGGTCCACAGCGTCATGACAAATTTCGGTGCCGTTACGGTTTCGGTTCTTAAGTGATCGATCCGGTTCGGACCAATTATTTCAGTTTTAACGGTTCATACCTGTATAGTTTTCCACAAATATCTAACAGAAAAATGTATGTAATTTGTGGTTTATTTATTATTGGATTTCTCTACCTATCTGCAACAACTTTAATAAGTATTAATTATTATTATTAATAATAATACATTTTTGTGCTCCCGATCAGTTAATTACGGTTTTTATTTTTTACACAATTTTACAATTGTATTGCCAACATAATGTCATTTTGACCGTTTTTGACGCTTTATGTGTGAATCAAACGTCAAATTGTCGAAGCATTGTCAAAAAAATGCGAATTTCGCAGTTATGAGTACTAGGCTTTACGATACGAGCAAACAACAAACGGGTAAATTTATGAAATCTTGAAATTGAAAAATACCGGGTGAGTACCGATTAATTTATATCGGTTCGGGTTCCGGTTCTGCTTGCCTTTCAACATTTCTATGAAATATTGGCTTTGTTCTGGTTCTGGTTCGCAAAAAAAAAAAAACGATTCCGTTCAGGTTTTTGGTTCAATATCGTTCCGGTCCGGGTCACTGATCGACACAGGGATGTTCGGCAAGGATATTGCACTAACACAGGAGCCTATCCTCATAAGGCCTGTGTAAATCAAAAAAACTCCATCAAATAGGATTGCTCATTATTCGCCAGTTCTCGAGTCGGCAGAGTCTGTGTATGACGTCACCACGCAGCTGATAGTGTTGACCGCACCCGCAGACCTCGATGGAAAAGTGCTTTCGATTCATCCTGTGCTTATGAGTGTGAGTAAGAGAAAAGTTTGATTTTACCGTTCAGGAATTCGTTTTTTTTGACCTTACGTGTTTTATACGCGAATAATGCCTTTTACGTTAAGAGTTGAGGTCTGCGGCTGATGTCGCAATTAGTAGGGAGTTGTCGCGTAGACATCGAAGGCAGTTTCAGCGCAATAAAGCTCTATTAACCTTCCGTTCTGTATTTTGCCCAAAAAGCAGAGCGGAGCCGCAATCACGTGACCAGTGAGCGTACAGGGCAGTTAAACGCTGTATCAGAGGGATGTCATTGATCAGAGGGCTCAAAATTTTAATAAACGAACGCGAATGAGCCCGCACCGAGTACACTTTTTAAATAAACGAACGATAAATTCATGCTTAGGGAACTCAGATCGCACGGTATGTACATTCGTAGTTTAGTTCTTTTTTGAAGCATCCCGATCTGTGAACGACTTATCCGGACTCTGAAGCGCGCACTGAACGCGCCGGGAATGCGCCCGGGCGTCTTTGATGAATGCAGTGAATGAAATCGCTTTCTAGAAGTTGTATTCCTTTCACACCTAAAAGGAACTTCGGAGCGTTACGCGCTTACTCCTTTCGAAAAGTATTTGTTGCACTTGAGGGCTCAAACCCGAACTCAAACTATCTGTGCGTTCGGTATTTTGATCTGAGTTCTCCTAGCATAAACTTACCGTTCGTTTATTCAAAAACTGTACTCGGTGCAGGCTCATTCACATTCGATAATTAAAATCTCGAGACCTCTGATACAGCGTTCAACTGCTCTATGCACTGGTCTCTTGATTACGGCCCTGACCTGCACGCTCTGCTCTTTGAGCAAAATATTGAACGCAAAGTGTTTAATGCGCGAAAGCATAAGGTGTGTTTTTTTTAAAGATAAAACTCAAAATGACATTATGTTGGCAATACAATGTAAAATTGTCAATGCTTTGAAGTTTTTTATGTAGAAAAGGCTGGTGTTGCCAACATAGTTACTAAATTTTTGACTTGGGGAATTATCTTTAAAAAAAAACAGACTTTACGCATCTGTTCCTTTCAAATCGGGGTCAACTAGCACCGGAGCGAGTAGCTCTGTTAAAAAAAAAGCCGCTTCCCAGTATGAGAGTGTGACGCTCGGAGCAACTCAGAGCGTTGAACTCCCAAGCAATGAATTAAATTACGAACGGACAAACGTTACACGTTATGATACTACTGGAACGGTACAGATCTAGTGCGTAGCACTCCCGGGGTGCTCTAGAGCGCGCAAATGTGCATACTGAAAAGCAGCTCTAGTGTTCTAAACTCTTGAAAGGAATACAACTAATAAAGCCCTATTAGGCTATATAAGTGTTCTAGCGGAGTACTTCGGAGTACCTCGGCAGCGCTCAAAGAGTAGCACCCGAAAGCAGCTTTAGTGTGTATATCAAATCTTAAGCCTCCATCACGCCCAAAGTACCAGTGATGACGTCGCAGCGTGTCGTTTCTCGCCCTGAGGCCAGGGTGTTTGCTATGATTCCGCTGGGTTTTGCTTTATGCATACTTGGTTATAGTACATTAACTAACAATCTAAATCAATCTATTTTCTATATCTCGTATGCATATTCCTCTTTGCTTATTATAACCGAATTTTCGCGACGAATGTAGTTCATACAAGAATGAACTATAGTTTGTCTGTGACGTCATGAGTTTGAACGCTGGCTTGAAGCTGCGTCTATTCCTCCGTCGAACTACTTTCAATTTGACGTCATGAGTTTCTTGCGAAAACGTTTGCGTTCGTGAAATCATGGAAGTAGTTCGTCGCGAAAATTCGGTTTATGTTAATCAAAATTAAATAATATTTTCCATCGTAAATGTAAATTTTAAACCACGACCGTAACGACCGTTGGCGCAAACAGCAAAGGATACCTTTGATGACGTTGACAACGGTCAACAATATATTAAATCTGTTTCTGCAGAAATCACAAACCAGTCAGAATGAATTTCATTGGTTGAAACTAGTTTTCTGACTGTTTCTGACTGTTTTCAACCAATGAAATTCGCTCTTACTGGTTATTGACGTTTTCAATTAAAAGAGATGGATGATAAGTATGAAAACATTCATTTTCCCGCCAACATTTGCTTGCTTGTCAATGTCAATGTGTATTGGGTGTTCAGCAATCCCCTCGTTTTTATTCGAATCGGTGAGTTCACCGATGAGTTAGCTGTCTTTGTTAAGTGAATGGAAAATGACAATGACCGACATAGAAGGGTTTGAAATTGAAATTGGAAAGAAAATGTGGGTAAAATTGTTAGGTAAAACCGGGAAAAACCTTAAAAAAACCGAGGAAATAATAGTTTCTTTCAAAAGTCTTGTCTACAAACCACTGTCAACGCCTGTCAACCATTGTTTTCATACTCTTTTGGCGCCTGACAGTTTCATGCTAGAGAGAGAGGCTTTTAAATTGAAAAGGTCAATTCCCCGTCAAAAATTTAGTGACTATGTTGGCAACATACGCCTTTTCTACATACAAAATTTGGAAGCATTGACAATTTTACATTGTATTGCCAACATAATGTCATTTTGACTTTTATCTTAAAAAAAAAAACTGACCTCAATATGACCTTGATTCCAAACATCGGGGCCGATGAGCAATCCTGTAGTAGTGTGTAATATCCTTAGGGGTTCGGTTGATTTTTGAAGTAGCGTTACTTCGTTCAGTATACACAAATGGCAATACGTTCCTTTGGACTCTCGAGTACTAACCTTGCGTTCGGTATTTTGCTCAAAGAGCAGAGCGTGCTGAGCGGAGCCGTGAACACGTGACCAGCGAGCGAACAGAGCAGATGAACTCTGTATCGGAGTGCCCGAATTTTTATTAAACGAACGCGACTGAGCCTGCACCGAGTATACTTTTAAAATACAGAATAGTAAATTCAAGCTCGGAAAACTCAGTTCAAAATACCGAACGTACGGGAGGAATGTCCAAACGAGCCATAAATAGGCAGTTTCGTCGATTATTCAATCCTTTTTTTTTTCACTAAACGTACTGCACCGCTCGTTTTGAGGGAAAAACATGACCTGTGGTAGCATTTTTCAGAATTACTATCCAGTGTAGGTCCATAGTGTAGTCAGAGCAAACTTATAGCGAATTCCAGTGGCAAAAACAGTGTCGCAACGGTACGGCATTCACATTCGTTACGGCCAATTTTTATCTTGCACTGGTGCAATCCTAATAAGGTTCACTTTTGATTTGACCTTAAGATTGGATGTGTTACCAAATTTAAAAATAGGCTATAAAGGCCGCTTTCCAGCTGTGTGCTTCAAGCACGGTGCAGCACAGTGTTCTGTGTTCGAAACGCAAAAGTTAACAGCTCTCGAAGCGCAGTACGGCTGGAACACGAACACGCGCTTGAAGCATTTGCGCGCGCAAAAGCTCGATTGCGTGCTTAAAATGGTCAGCTGGAAAGTGGCTAAAGTCTGTTTTTTTTTTTAAAGATAAAAGTCTAAATGACATTATGTTGGCAATACAATGTAGAATTGTCAATGCTTGCGTCGTTTTTGCTCGACAAGATTTGCTCGTCGAACAAATCCGTCCAACAAAAACGTAGTCTGTAACCTTTGTTTATAAAACTACAGGAAGGAGCGTTTTCTATCTGTCACTACAGACAAAGCAGGGACGGAAACGGCCATATTGAGCCTCCAAGTATGGACTCATCATTTGTTTTGGTGGTTCGCTGTGTCCTCATTCAAGTGGATGTTTAATGGATTTCAGCGGTTTTAAGTGATAATAAGCACTGGGATTAGTGCGAAAAGAGTGAGTCATAATATTGACAATCATATTTAAATGAATATACGCCACTGCCAAACCGGAAATACTAGTCGACCATATGCAACCTCCACATATTTTGGTCGCGCAGATTCGAAGTTATGCTCCTTCCTGTAGTTTTATATTCTAAGTCTGTAACATTTTGATAGGCTATTTTTCGCGACATAATTTTTTCAAAGGTTATGTTATGTTCGATTATATTGACTAATTTGAGGATTACCTAATGACATTTGCATTACCCAACATAATCGAACCATAGGGCACCTCAGATGACGTCATCTGTTTCGAGTATTTTCAAATTGTCAGTTGTTAGGTTAAGATGTTAAGAAACTCCAAATGCATTATGGCCTTTTGGTTTCACTTATCTACTCCAAAAGCCTTTTGGTCGCGTGTTAAAAACGCCACTTCAACTCTACTCTAGTTCCGCCCGGCTATCCCGAATAACTGAGAATGAAGCTCTAGGGCTCAGAATCAAATAAGACGAATTCTACTCCAATTCGAATCAAAAAACGAAAACGCTATTTTTACTTTTGACACGTTTGACAGTTTTCAATTGGATGTCAATATTGTCAATCTACTTCATTAATCTGACGTCAATTGGCTATATTGATAAATAATAAACAAGAGCACTTTAATTTAATTATTCAAAAAAATCAGTATAAAACACAACATAATTAGGTGAAATTCTTACAACACATAAAGCAACCAATTTCCAATATGGCCCACACCAGTCAAAGTTTGCCAGTCTCCCAAATCCTCAAAACAAAAACCAACGATATCGAGGACGATGACGAACCCAAGAAAAAATCCAGAGAAGATTGGAGGAAAGCGAAAGAACTGGAAGAAGCTCGTAAAGCTGGTACCGCCCCCGCCGCAGTCGACGAAGAAGGCAAAGATATCAATCCTCATATTCCCCAGTACATTTCCAATGCTCCTTGGTACTATGGTACTAGTGGGCCTACGCTCAAGCATCAAAGACCTCAAGAGGAGCACCAGAAGCAGTTTTCTGGACTAGACGAGTGGTACCAGAGAGGATTGGACACATCAAAAATTGTCACCAAATTCCGAAAAGGTGCCTGTGAAAATTGTGGTGCAATGACCCACAAAAAAAAAGATTGTATGGATCGACCCAGAAAAATTGGTGCCAAATATTCCAAATCCAACATTCTGCCAGATGAATATGTTCAGAAAAACTTGGCGTTGAGTTTTGATGGCAAGCGGGATAGATGGAGCGGATACGATCCAAGTGAACACAAAACTGTTATAGAAGAGTTCCAAAAAGTTGAGGAAGCCAAACGCCAACTAAAAGCTGAGAAACTAGATGCTGAGAACTCAGATGAAGAGGAAAAGGATGAGGACAAATATGTAGATGAAGTTGATATGCCTGGCACCAAAGTGGACAGCAAACAAAGAATTACTGTGAGGAATTTGCGTATAAGAGAAGACACTGCAAAATATTTGAGGAATTTAGATCCAAATTCTGCCTATTATGATCCTAAGACAAGATCTATGAGAGAAAATCCCAATCCTGGAGTGGATGAGACACACCAAGGAGAAAACTTTATTCGATTCACTGGTGATACTAAAAACCATGCAAAAGCTCAACTTTTCGCTTGGGAAGCTTATGAAAAAGGTGTTGACGTACATTTACTTGCTGAGCCTACAAAACTAGAACTGCTCAAGAAGGAATATGAGAAAAAGAAAGAACAATTTAAAGATACTGTTTCTTCAAGTGTATTGGACAAATATGGAGGGGAGGAGCATTTAAAAGCCCCACCTAAAACACTTTTATTGGCTCAAACTGAGGATTATGTTGAGTATTCACGTTCAGGCAAAATTATCAAAGGCCAAGAAAAAGAGGAAATCAAATCAAAGTATGAGGAAAATGTTTACATTAATAATCATACAAGTGTATGGGGGTCCTATTGGAAAGGTGATCATTGGGGGTATAAATGCTGTCATTCTTTTATAAAAAGCTCCTATTGCTTATCAGAAGCTGGCAAAAGTATAGAACAACCAATGCCTGAAACTGTTCCGAATGAGGTCTTGGAGAAAGTTGCAAGTGAAAAATCTGAAAGTTCTTCTTCAAGTGAAGAAGATGTTAGAACTGCTTCAGAAAAGTCTAGCAAGAAAAAGAAGACTAAAAAAATTAAGAAGAAAGATAAAGATAAGTTGGCAGAAGCTCTAAAAGCAGAAGAGCAACAACAACAACAGGCAGATCATTTGTTGTCGATAGATGAAAGAAAACGCCCTTATAATAGTATGTTTGAGGCTAAAAAACCCACAGAAGAAGAAATTGAAGCTTATTACCTAAAAAGGCGCAGGGAAGATGACCCAATGAACCAATTCATGTGAAATTAAATTATTTATTCAAATATCACAAGTTTCAATAAAACTAGACAAGGATAAGAAAAAGTTTATTTCGACTTTGTAGTGTCCTTGGTCATTTTCATTATTGCTCCATCAGATATCATTTTGCCAATTAACCTGGCTGTATTTTTTGCGTCGTGTAATCCACAATGTTGGCGTCCTTCAAATTCTAAGTTTACATGTTTTAATGCACCCTCTAAGCCTTTTGGTCTCATTTCATAATGGTCCTTAGAGAAAATGTGGTTTGTTATAGATAAATGATATTTATGTGCAACTTACAACAAAAATTGATCGAACATCCACCCATTTATCAAAGACCTCATCTTTAGGTATTCTTTTTCTTTTAAGTTCTTTTTTCAGACACATCCCCAAGTCCCAATCTGACCACGTAGCAATAATGCAAGTTTTATTATTTGCACTTTCACTGGAATTGTCAAACGAGATGTTATATTTCTCTATTAGTTGTTCCTTTCTCCATTTCTGGAACAAATATAGACATGTTTTGAGGGGGACTCCTTCATCAACTTCAAATTGTTGTATACCTACAAAACAAACATTTAAAAAACTATTGGAAAATTAAATAGGCAATTATTGCCTGTTAGTTCTTTGCAGAATTCGGTTAATTTGGGTCTTTCAGTTGGTATAACGTATTGCTGAAACTCCTCCAGTAGTTGATCGTTTCGGACATCGTACAGGACACAAGGGAACTCGATGATTTCTGATTGGCCTTTGTCGTAAGCGGTCTTTTCCCAACAAGTAGCTTCAAAGTCCAAAACCAATAAATAATCAAAAGGTTGCTTCTTTCGTTTATCTCTTCTGCTTTTTGTTGGTATTGTGAAAACACAATCTAGTTGCCTTTTGAAAAAATTAATTAGTTAATAAAGGGTTAGTTAAGGCATATTTTTTAATTTTTTACCTCGCCAATTCCAGTGTAGTAGTCATGCTTTTAGCTTATCTTATTTTATTTTTTTTTTCGTTTTTTAAATTATTAGAAATAAATAAAAACATTCTAAATTTAAAACAAATGTCAGCTGCTCAGCTGTTTTTACTAGCGATTTCTTTTGGTAACAGTTCCGTCAGAAATTGAAGGTTCAGTTTGCACTATCGATATACGGAACAACCCGAATAGAAATTATTGCTCCGCCTGCACTCGATGATGGTAGAATACGAGAATCGAGATATATCTGTCAGGTCACGACCTGAATCAAGCCGCACTTTCAAAATCCGAACTGAGTTCGCATTAACCAGGGCCTTACTCAAACTTAAGCCGTTTATGATGATGCATATATTTGAGCAAATCAAGACATAGTCATAGTGATGTGTTTAGCTAAAAAAAATCGATTTTCCTAAAAATTTATCAGGTCTAGAACAAAAAATTCCGAAGCTAATTCTGAAAATGAAAAACTAGCGCTTTCGACTTTCGCCTCAAAACTGCACCCGATTGATCAAAAACTGATCCGAAACGAATTTACATGTTCGGCTTAACACGGAGCATTGCTCTCGTGTTTGATATGTGGTTCGATTTGAGTATTAGAACGCTCTCAAATCTCGCATACAAGGGCGAGTTCAGACAATTCAGGCACACCCATAAAATCGCACTCGCAGTACTCGCACCCTATGCGTTATTTCTGAACTCGGCCCAGCGCTGATTCTTGCTCCGTCAAATTCCATGAGTCATTATAGAGTTCTATCCAATGACATCTTAATAGAGTGATGTTGGCTCTATCTCAACGGTTTGATCAAAACAATAAAGTGTTCGCCGTACGGCTATTGATTTCATATGGTATGCCCTCGTTTGGATTCTAATCGCTCTCGAGTAGTCCCGCAGAGATCTGTGACGTCACCGCCTAGATTGGGAGAACTCTGGGAGCAGTAGAAAGCCGAAAATGTTAAAAGTAACTTGTTTTTATGGTTTTCGTCCGACAAGGTAACTTGACGGATAAATGACGTCATGGACGAGTCGTTGAGCGATCGTTAAATTGAACGCACAGCACCCCTATTCTTGAAACAGGGAAGCAGTGTTCCCAGGAGAACGAGTGTTCCGTCTTTCTCAGTGATATGCAAATTATAATATAGGTAACAAAGACGGAGCACTCGTTCTCCTGGGAACGCTGCTCCCCTGTTTCAAGAATTAAGACCCTGGACGCTTGTTGCTTGCTTGTGGTTTGTTGACGTTGACATAACCCCAGGCTGTTTATACAGCTGGGCGGAGTTCAGAAATCACGCACAGGGCCCAGATTCTAAAATCACGATTCGACACACGACTCGACAACGATACCGGCCTTGTCGTCTCGAAAGGTATAATTCCAATGAGATTTCTAACCTAGAATCGTCGGAAAAATCGTCTCGATGTCGAGTCGTATGTCGAATCGTGATTTTAGAATCCCCAGCCAGGGTGCGAGTGCGAATTTATGGGTGTGCCTGAATTGACAATTGGCCATTGGGCCCATAGCACCGTCTAGCATTTGTGAACAGCTAGGGCGTCGCACCGGTGTCACACTCACACTGACGACTTGTTATGACGTCGGAAATGGTAACACGCCAATATGGCGGCGATTACCAAAAACGAGGCCGATAAGCAATCCTGTAGGTGTAGGTCTGTTTGTTATCCTCCACTAGTGCACAATAATTTACACTTTTCTGCACTGAGGCGTTTGTTATACGGTTAGTGCAAAAAGTGTAAGGCGTTTGTTATTTCAGTGTAGGGTGCCCAATCTTGCACTACCTACACCTGCTCAAGAGGAGGTGTAACAAGTGCAGAATGGAGAGTGGGCAATAGTAAAGTCTGTTTTTTTTTTAAGATAATGGGGTAGTATACAAGTGATTTTTAACTACTACCTAGTGATATACTCGCCGCATCGTACTATTTAGTGTAATCAGTTGCTTTGTAAAAACCGCAATACACTGGAAATTTGTTTTTAAAATTTCCCCTTAGCCCCGCCCCAACGTGAAAATGAAAGTTCGTGACGTAGTTAGTTTTTCCAATCTAGCAACACATCACGGTTTTGAGAACGCACAATTTGCATTGTCATTGATCGTCAAGAACGAAACATCAAATTTACTACATCAAACAACGTAAACAAGTCTATGATGTCACATATCACACGATTCACACGACACCACACGTCGTTGAACTGTTGAAGTCAGCTGTCATGTTGAGCAGCGTTGCCAGATAGTCAGCGGCATGAATACTATTGGTCGCCGCTGTGGCGCTAAGTTCAAATTACAGTTTGTTTTTCTCTGACTAATTCTATAGACACTATGCTGGAAAATAATTTAGTATCTCACTATACCATCACCATTTAGCCTATAGAATAATGTCGAGCAGTTTTTTCACTGATTTTTATACATAGTATACTACCCCATTCCCCGAGTCAAAAATTTAGTAACTATAGGCGATTACGAAAAGTAATCTAAAATGGTAGAGTAGATCCAATCAGCTGTTCACAGGTTTACCCGATCCGAGTTATACTTTTCGAACGTGTCCAGTCGAACCAATAGTCGAACAAAGATCTTTAAAAACGACACGGATGGATTTTGGTGCAGTGATTATGGCAAAGTACCGTAAGGTGGGGTTAGTTGCAACATTTTCAAAATTCTTTTGCCGATACCTTCTTTATTTTTTTGTCGAATTTGACCTAATCGGTGCCAAAATTTTAGTCTTGTGGTCTAGTATCCGATGCTAACAAAAAACTTTGAACAACATTATTATTTGATATATATTTTTTAAAAAAACTGGGTGTTGCAAGTTGAACACCTGCAAGGGGATAGGTACTTTGCAACAAGTGGCTTTTTTCAGTAGTAATTGTATTTAGGAACGCGTGTTAATTTACTTGCAACACAAAATATTTAAAAAAAATAAATTTGGCTAATTTTGGCCAATTTTGGTCAATTTTTCCTCCTCTTCCTTTGGAAATACAGGCTGCCTACCAGGATCAAGGGGAAACAAGTTTCTTCTTTTCCGAGAAAGCGTTGATGGGTCAATCTCGAATTCTCGCGATGCTTCCCGAATCCCTGATCCGTTTTCGATGGCCCTTAATGCATTTTCCAAAGTTTCGTTGGAATAATTACGGTAGGTCCTACTCCCTAACTGTTTTTTGTATTTGCGAGGCATGTTGCAAGTTACCCACTTTTGTACATGCAATTTAAAAAAAAATCTATTTACGAAAACCTTCAAAATTAACTCAAAACTAGATATTCAATGTTTTAGACTAAGCATTCAAGCACATCATATCAAAATTTGATACAAATCCTAGGGTAAATAAGCTCTGCACAGGAGAAGTTATATTGCAACAATTTAGAGCACTTACTAAAGCTGTCAGAAAATGGCGCCAAGTTTTTCGTGTTTAAAATTTTTCAACGCTAAACCTACTCACATTTCAACCTACTGATCCGTACTAAACGGTAACACGTTAGCGGTTGACGCGCGACTCGAGCGAGAGGAGGGGGAAAGCAAAAATTCCACCCAATGAATATTGTTGCAAGTTGTGCCACTGTTGCAAGTACCCCCACCTTACGGTACTTATTATATGAAGGCAAAGATAAAGAAGAAGAAGAAGAAGCTGTTATTGCCATGAAGCTGTGTGGGAAACACTTCAATCTTGTGATAATCCGCATCTGTGGAGAGGATGTTAAACTCCTCTTCTGTGTAGGAGTCAATAACAATTGCACAATTGCCTTTTTCGCCATAAGAATTCAATTCTTTACTTTTCTGATTCTAACTTTAATTGGAAAAAAAAAATCTCAAAAGCGATCAGTTGATTCAACCGTAAATAAACCTTGCGAACCCTGCTCTTTTGTAGGGTTAAAAAAGTTTGCCCCGAGTCGTGGATCAGGGGGCGAATTACGAACTCTCGATTCGAACCGAAACCGCCATGGATTTCGAACGCACTCCATGTGAATGCATAGGAATGCGTTCGAAATCTATGGCGGTTTCGGTTCGAATCGAGAATTCGTAATCCGCCCCCTGATCCATTTTCAGACACAGGTCAGGTTTACTCGATCCATTTTCGAACGCCCTTTGGGAGATCGAGTTAACCCCGGGTTACTTTTCGTAAACGCCTTATATTGGCAACACAAGCCTTTTCTATAAAAAAATTGAAAGCATTGACAATTTTACATTGTAAAATCTGTTTTTTTTTTAAAGATAATTCCCCAAGTCAAAAATTTAGTAACTATGTTGGCAACACAAGCCTTTTCTACATAAAAAATTTGAAAGCATTGACAATTTTACATTGTATTGCCAACATAATGTCACTTTGACTTTTAACTTTAAAAAAAAAACAGACTTTATTGCCAACATAATGTCATTTTAACTTTTATCTTTAAAAAAAACACACTTTATTATAGGTAAAGTGCGTTTATGAACATGATTACAATAACGAGCGTTTGGTTATGACGTTTTTACATAATTATTTTTCTACTTTGAGTTATGTCATGAGACTCATAACACCACTAGTTGTGTTATTAATTCATAACCTAGTCCATAACACCACTAGTTGTGTTATGAGTCTCATGACATAACTCAAATACTAGAAAAATAATTATGTAAAAACGTCACAACCAAACGCTTGTAGATAAAAGCTAATTCAATGAAGCTGTCTTCATGGTTGGAAGATAGGGAATCTCCATCTTCCTCTATAATTTCTGACAATAAAACCTTGTACATTTTGTTCTTTTCATTAATATTACATATTTTTTTCTCGGTTAGTTTCTACTTTATCTACTTGAATAATAATTTTCTGAGGTTAAAGAATTATCTGCTCCTATTGCTGCACGAACTCCACTAACGCGTTTGGTAGTTTTCCTTTAACCTGGTGCCCATCAGCTACACCTAGCTGCACCAGCTGTCCGCACTGACCTATCCTACACGTAAATAACAAACAGACAGGCGTTTTCTCGCGTCCACTTTTTTGAAACTGGTTCAAACTGTTTTGAAACAGTACATTCTCGCGATAAACCCATGATGTCACGTCATAACTGGTTCAAACCGTTTCGAAATACCATCCAATCCACGTTTTCAAACCATTTTCTCGTGCCGAGAAATTATGACGTCATGGTGACATTATTTAAACCAGTTTTGAAAAATGTTTTGAAACATTTGAGACGCGAGAAAACGCCTCAAGTGTGTACTAGTTAGCAAATAGAAAGGCAAGGATGATAAAAAGGCATGCCTCGTATTGCACGCGCATACAAGTAAAAATAGATATGGTATTTTGAATACCCTAAGCCCATTCCTATTTATCAATCACGAATCAGTGGCGGCTCGTGTTGTCCAAGTAAAAGCTACATCCTCAATCAATCTGGTAGCGAAGTGGCACTTCGGCACGCGTGCTGGGAAATTGATACCCATCCTCAATGCTGTCAATTTTCAGTCTGCTCTTCGTGTAGTACGGTCACGAACCGTGCGTTCGGTATTTTGATCTGAGTTCTCCGAGCATAAATTTACCGTTCATTTATTTAAAAAGTGTACTCGGTGCAGGCTAATTCACGTTAGTTTATTAAAATTTCGAGCCCTCTGATACAGCGTTTAACTGCTCTATGCGCTCACTGGTCACGTGATTACAGCTCCACTTTGCTCTTCGAGCAAAATACGGAACGCAAGGATAACCTGAATTATTTTTTACCGTACTGCGCATGACACAAGTCAGCACGCGTCGAAAAAGCTTGCAGCTTGCATGCTTGCACTTCAAAGTCGGCGTGCATGCTAGCACGGAATTGAATTGAGGATGCCAACGTTAAACAACGTTGTCCTAGCATGCGTGCCGTAGTGCCAATTCGCTGATTGATTGAGGATGAGCCTTAAGAGTGGGCGACAAAAATAAAAAACAGCCGTAGGCGTTTTCTTTTTTAGATTTTCAAGGTCACGGCTTTTTCAAATATTGTATTAAAAACATTTTTTACTTTGCCATTCTTTCTCCAGGGTGGCGGTGCCCACTTCCATTCTTACTCCAGGGTGGCGGTGCCCACCTTGCCCATATGGGCGAACCGCCACTGTCACGAATCCAGATGAGCAAAAAATTACAAACAAAAACGAGAACCGACATACGTTAAGTCACTAGAACCACAGAGAACGACTGGAACTTCCAAATAGGTATCAAAAACTCTATAGGTCTACAATTAACAATGCAATCTTTTTTAGATCTCGTTTGCATCTTCGTTTTCACCTTTTATGATAATCAATGTTTTATTCTTGGATTGTCGCGAACAAGAAAAATAGGATAGATTATGAAAACGAACACACTGCGCATGCCTGCTCTGGCACTTGGTAATGACGAGGTGGTGCTTTCAGAGTCAGCTCTTTTGACTCCCGCACTTCCTTCCCGAACGCATATCGTGGAGTTACTCTTTTAGCTCGAAATGACTATACCCGAACGCATCGGAAGTTGCTGCACTTGGAGTTTGTAGAACATATCCCGAAACCACCTATTTGTTTTTTTTTTTTGACGTCGACAAAATATTGCACCCGTCACAGGGCAAGTCTAGTTGGCAAAATTTGAAACAAAACTCTGTTGTGTCGTAGCCAATATCAACCAGTAATACACAAGCAACCATAGAGACATCAAGTTTTCAATTTTAACCCTCCAAATTTAAACGTAAAATGCTTATTTAAAACAACAAAGAAACGGCACAAATATGTTCATAAAGGGCTGTTTGAGGCGGATCAATTCGCTTAGGCCAGGAACTTCGCGCGCCGCATTAACGCGCGCGTTTTGCTCGGACGAATGCCCAGACGATAAGGTAACGGAAATTTAAAAAAATCGCTTTATTTCGCTTAGTATTACGTTTCCAGAAAGGACTTATACTTGGTGTGTACGAGGGTGACAATGAGGAACCCATTTTTACAAAGGCCGCCGCCAAATTTAACGATCATTTAGGCGGAAAATTGATGGAACTGGTTAAACAGTGAGTATGTTGTGGAAACTGGAAACGCTTGTCAAATATTTTGATGTGTAAACATCTCTTACGGCGGTATGAGGTTGAACGGGACGGAAATGTGAAAGAGGAAGTAACTTCATAACACATGCGCAGTGCTTAGTGCGCAGCTACCTCAGCGCTTGCGGCCTAAGATGGCATTAGATTTTCATGTCGATATAGAAGATCGCTATAAAAACATATTTATTGCTCATGAGATGTTTAAACATCACATCAGCATAGCTCGAATACTATCAAGGTTCGATTTTGATTGATTTTTTCTAATACGCTCATTTTCAGTGGCGGATGTGAACTAAAAAAAGGCGAAGGAAGAACGTTCAATAACATTGACAAAGAATTTTGGTCGGTGGCAATTGTAGGCTTGGGCAAAGAAAAATTGGCTTATTGCGAAATGGAGGCCATCGATGAGGGTTTGGAAGCGGTGCGCGAAGCTGCGGGAGCTGGAGCGCAACTTTTAAAAAGAGAATGCGTCGGTAGGATACTGATTGAAGGCTTGGGACATCCAGAACAGGCGGCAGAAGGTAGTGCTTTAGCTTTGTGGCGGTATCAAGAAAATAGGTAGGTATGATTTTAGCCTGAAAGTAAATTTTTAGTTAATTTGAAAGTACCTATCTTGATCTTGTCTACACCACTGCTTGCGGTGAACGACACTCCCAGAGCACTCATACGCAATTAGATTACTTAGAGTTACACGGGAGTACTTCAACAACGGCACTCGGGAGTAAAATTTAGTGAACCATTTATTCGAGTAGACTTGGTTTGGTAGGTAGTTGAATTTGAGTAATGAGAAATTAAAAAAAGAATGTTTCGTGAAGGCTGTGAAGCGGATTTCCTGATAAGTTTCGTTTCTTTTGAGTTCTTGCGCTTTCGGTGGGCATTTTGTAAGAGCAGTTCAATAAATCCGGTTCGAGTTGATTCACATAATTACGGAGCAGAAATTTGTATCCGAGTAATTGACATAGCACACCATTCCAGCTTTGCTGAACTATGATTTTCGGCAATACAAATTTATTTTATGAAAGCTTTCTGAAAATTACAGGCGAAAGCGAATGTCTAGTCTTAACATAAATTTGCAACAAGAAGCCAGTTCAAGTTTTATCTACCTGTTCCGTCCTGGTCCTGGATCGATGTTACTCCGATCTCTCTTACTCTGAGCCGCTTTCGAGTGCAAAGTGCGAAGCTTCTAAAGTCTGTTTTTTTTTTAAAGATAATTCCCCAAGTGAGAAATTTAGTAACAAATTACAATATATTTGCATCTGCAAATTTGCAGTTCTGCAAATATGGCCGACTTGCATATGTGCTCTATTTGCAGAAACAAGCCAATTACAGAAAAAATCTGCAATTTCGTCATATTTATCGGAAAAAAGTGTTTGGGCGCTACTGATTTACCATTGGATTTACCAGTTTAAAATGTCAAAGTTGTCAAAGTGATTGCAAGGACTTGCGGGACCGTTTTACCATGCGCAAATTTGCAGGCGACTTGCAAATGCATTCTGCTTCTGTAATACGAAAAGTCAGACTTGCAGGTCCTGCATTTGTATCTTGGTGTTGCAGAGCTTCAGTAATTCCAGGCTATAGCCGCTTTCCAGCTGACGTTTTTGAGCACGCCATCGAGCTTTTGCGCGCGCAAATGCTTCATGCGCGTGTTGGTGTTCCAGCCGTACTGCGCTTCGAGAGCTGCTAACTTTTGCGTTTCAAACACAGAACACTTTGCTGCACTGTGCTTGAAGCACACAGCTGGAAAGCGGCTTATGTTGGCGACACAAGCCTTTTCTACATAAAAAATTTGGAAGCATTGACAAGTTTACATTGGGCGCGTTTGGGTTGACGCTCGGTGGAGCGAGCAGAGCGATTACGGAGTAACCTGACGTCACAGGGAGTACACTGTGTCAAGCCAAATAAACTTGGGCAAAAATGCTGGGTTGAGCCATTATTGTTTATTTTTCTTAGCATATATTTTTTGGAGTCCGGGCCTGCATTCCGCATTTGCACCAATTTTCTCGTTTGTTTTGCATTTGAGTCGATAATTTTCAAACAGCCCCTTTTGCTTTGCAGAAAAATAGGTTAGGTTATACAGACAGATTAAACTGCGCATGCACGCTCCAGCTGCCCACCCCACAAACTCGGAGTTTATCGAGCTCTCTCTGAGGGCTCAAAATATGTCAAACCAAACACAATCAAGTGTTGTCGGAGCTTCAAAAATAACGGAAAAGAGACAAAAGTGCAAGCTCTGAGTGCACCGAGCGTGAACCCAAACGCGCCCATTGTATTGCCAACATAATGTCATTTTGACTTTTATCTCCATGCGTTTTGCACTCGAACGCTTGAAACCGAACGAGTCAAACTATAACCGGAGTACTTTGGAGTAACTCAGTAGCGCTCAAAGGGTGGCACCCGAAAGCAGTTCTAGATTGCACTTTTTCGGTACGGATCAGTGATTATTTCAATCAGTTAGATTCAGAACGACCTTCGGCTGAAAAGAAACTACTCTTTATTTCACGAGGGTTTGTACTTTTGACATAATTTGCCTTCCTTTTTTGACAAATAAAATTTGACTGAAACAAATCAATTTCATGTCAAAAGTACAAACCCTCGTGAAACAAACTTTTCGTGCGTTCGATCTGAGTTCTCTGACCTTGAATTTACCGTTCGTTATTTAAAAAGTGTGCTCGGTATAGGCTCATTCGCGTCGTTTATTGAAATTTCGAGTGCGTGATCACGGCTCTTTGAGCAAAATACCGAACGCAAGATGCCAAGTGGCGGGAATATCAATTTGAATAAAAAACCGAATTTTCGCGACGAACTACTTCCATGATTTCCTGAACACAAACGCTTTCGCGAATAACGTTATATTATAGTTTGACGGAAGCTTGGACGCAGCTTCTAGCCAGGTTCGTCCTTGGATGAACTACATTCGTCGCGACAATTCGGTTAAAGTCAATTTTTATTATTATTATACAGGGTGTCCCACGAGGTTTTACCAGGTGATAACTTCGGAACGCGTCATGAAATGTTCCACATTATAATTTTACAATTTCAACATCATTTTCTTTAACAAAAGCCGTTCAAGAGCGCCAAACTCTGTTTACCCGAACGAGTAAAATGTAGCTGGAGTACTTCGGAGTAGCTCGGGACTCAAAGCGTGGTAGTCGAAAACAGGTAAAGGCGGTAAAGCCTTAAGGGCGGGTATTATAAAACTGCTTTGACAGTTAACTTGAAGTTAACTTTTTGAATTACATGTAATTCCAGAAGTTAACTTTAAGTTAACTCTCAAAGTAGTTTTATAATACCCGCCCTAAGGCTCAAAAAGCGGAACGAGTAGAGCGTGCGGAAGTAAGCTGACCAGCGAGCGCACAGAACAGATAAACGCTGTGTCAGAGTGCTCGAAATTTTAATAAACGAACGCCAATGAGCGTGCACCGAGCGCACGGAGAACTCAAATCAAATTACCGAACTCATGGTATGGAATCTACTTTTCCAACGAAAAATGCCATAATATACCGTAAGTTGCATTCAAGATTCTCGAGTTGCCATCACTTGACCGAAACTGAAGCGAAGTGGTGAAGTTGGATGACACATGTAAAAGCGGAACAAAAAGTAACCCAGACCCAAGGTTGTTTCAATGCCAAATCTTCATAAGAAACCCAAGATAACGTCATCAATTGAGGTACCCATTACTACAGTGACTCTATAACCCACAGTGGCGACAATTGCTGTCTCATTTTTGATTGGTTCTAAAATCCCATATATTTATATTGAAAACACCGCCATCTTGTTCCCAACCCCTTGTTACTTTTAAATATGAATATATGGGATTTAGGTGAACATTCATCATAAATCATGGAAAACAACGTATTTGATGGACCTAATAATGGTCATCAAATACGTCGATTTCAATTTTTTATGATAGATGTCCATTTAAATCCTATATATATTAATATTTAAAAGTAACAAGAGGTTGGGAACAAGATGGCGGCGAAACCTCTATTGTCGCCACTGTATGTAAATGTTTATTTAGCCACTGTACCCATTTCCAGTCAACCTATTAAAACCCAGACCCAAGGTTTCTAAAGTTTATAGGTTGTCTGGTAATGAGTAACTGAATGACAATGACGCATCTGGGGGGTGGGGTGCCTTATGGAAATTTGCATTATGTTGAGGCACCCCCAGATGACGTCATAAAAGTTATCAGGCAACCCACCTTTCTCAAACAACTTTGAACAAGACCCAAGGTTCCGTGAGCATTCACACCCAAAGTAGCATGTGACGTGCAACTTGCTGCTGGGAAGCAGGAAGCACGAAAACTATCAAAATATATGACATACGTTGCCACGTCGCATTTTTTGTGACGCCACTCCGGTGTGAAGCCTGCCATATAAGTTCTAAAAAAAGTAGCATGCTTCTTGCTTCCTGAAGCCTTGACTTTAACTAGGTAGAAAATTTGACATTGTTAACAGTTAATGCACTGTTTAATTGTCAACACTCAAATTTTCTCTCGAGAGAAAGACAAGAATAAGGCCTCTGGCAACAAGTCGCAGATCGCATGCTACTTTGGTGTGAATGCTCACTAAAGTTCATAGGTTTTCCAGTAACAAGGACGATACAGACTACTGCTACAGGAAAGCCTATCCTCATAAGGCCTGTGTGGAACAAATTCGCCCTCCCCCCCACCCCGCGATAAATCACCAGTTGTGACGTAGGCAGCATGTTATTTCTCTCCTTGACGTAGGCTGTTTAAACAGCTGACGACTTAGTTAATGACGTCGCCAATGGTGATTCACCAATATGGTGGCGATTATCAAAAACGAGGCCGCGAGGCGATAAGCAATCCTCAGTAGTGTGAATCATCCTAGTGCCAAATTATAGACCGACTGATAAGTGTTAGGTTGTTACCTAGCAGGTACTTTCTATTCTCTAGAGCATGGAAAGTACCTGCTAGGTAATAACCTGACACTTTTCAGTCGGTCCATAATTTGGCCCTTAGTCTGGTAATGGATAACTTGATGACGTATCTGGGGTGCCTTATGGAGATTTGCATTATGTTGAAGCACCCTGGATGAAGTTATAAAAGTTATCAGGCAACCCAAGGATAATATATAGCCTATTCTCATAAGACCAGTGTGGAACAAATCTGGAGCCCCTCACCTCGCCAAATCACCAGTTCTGACGTAGGCAGCATGTCCTTTCTCGCCTTGACGTAGGCAGTTTGCAGCACAGGCCCAAAATTTGATGGGGAGGGAGTTAGGGGAGTATGACACAATCATGATACAATTGACACATCACATGATCCAGCATAATCAGATATGCTTGATTATTCTTGCGAAAAATTGCCTTATGTTGGATGACGCGCTACGAAGTTATCACTTGTGGGTCGTGGGTCACTCTGTATACTGGGTGAATCCGAAAGTGAGGTTTTTTTTTTAACGGGATATATATCTCACCAAAATAAGTTGTTTGGCAAAAAATTGTTTATAAAAAAAATTTAAGATAACGGAGTTACAGGTATTTCAAGGTCTTAAGAAGACTCCAGGGTCCTTATTCTCCAAACATGGGAGCAGCATTCTTATGAGAACGAAGGTCCTATCTTCGCCGCCCTATTTGCCCATACTCATGTTTGCATAACACTGACAAAGACCAGATCAATCGTTCTCATGAGAACGCTGTTCCCCAGTTTCGAGAATAGGCATCCAATTATAAAACATTTTGCTTACATTTTCTCGGAAAAAAGCAGTTATTTATCCAGCATAATGGTTTTTTTCCATAATAGATAATCTACAGTTGCATTATTCCATCAGAAAAATCAATCAAAAACTCCTTTTTCCATTTTCAACTTAATTATTTTTATATCTTCAAATACCTGTACCTCCGTTATCTTAAATTTTTTAAGTAAAAAAAATTTTGCCAAACAACTTATTTTAGCGAGATATATACCCTGTTAAAAAAAAAGCCTCACTTTCAGATTCACCCTGTATATTGATCACATTTTGTATATATATATTTTTTCTATCTTGAAGAAATGGTACAGGCTGTAGGTATGGGCTTAAATATAATCAAAAGACCCTGTACATATTTCTCACAATCTTTACACAATCACACACTACACTATCGATACACAACAGTTCATATTAAAATGATAGGTAGTTACCCGTTTTGTTGCACTATTTCACAAACAATAAGAACTGAAAGTCGGAACTAATCTAAGTTATCAGGAATCCTCCCAAGCAAGTGTCCATATTTTTTCTATAAGGACCACATACTCACCATCAGGCATCGACATCGAAAAGACATTAAAAGCAAGGCTGTAATAATTAAATTGTGGGGACCAAGTGACTGATTCATATAAAAAACATTACTTATGACCGACACGAGTTTTCGGCATCCTTTGATAGCTGCGGCCTCACATTTTTACGACACCCGTTGACTCCGATAATCAAGGATATTGCGTTAAAACAAATAATTATATTTCTCAGAAATAGCGGGAGAGGAATTTAGGTCAACGTATATCGAAATCACCAGAGTTCCAGGTGGGACTAGAAGTATTTAAACAACCAAGTAGATAGGACAGGAGATGGTCTAGAGTCTAGAGTTTAAAGTCGAAGAGAAATCTTCACTGAAAACGATCATCAGTTCAGTGAAGATAAAATTCGCCTCGGATATCAATTTAAATTTACTCTTAACATCTTCGCAAATTTCCTTAAAGATTGTGGAATTTGGCAAATCAGCTATTCCACCCTTTGGTTTAATTGCCCATTTGCCGTATATTGTATCTCCGGTATCTCCCCTCACTCTCAAATTTCACTTACAATAGATATAGCAATATAGGAGCTTTTCAAAAAGTTTTCTTTGAATTGTTCCATGAGGCCTTGGCGTGCGAGGACATGTAAATCATTTTTATTAAATTAATAAGTATCTTTTCAGATCACGACAGCATTGGAAACCTATACCGACCTTGGAGCTGTTCGACGACAGTGACGCGGAAAGTTTTCAGCGGGGCCTTTTCAAAGCGGAATCTCAAAATTTAGCTCGACGACTTTCCGATACACCGGCCAATCAAATGACGCCCCTACATTTCGCCCAGGAAACCGTCAACGAGCTGTGCCCGTGCGGCATCAAAGTGATGGTCCACGACAAGGACTGGGTGGAAAATAAGAAAATGAATGCCTTTTTAACGGCAAGAGATACTAGTTTTGATTTCACTGGAAATTGATGTAAAATTGTTACAGGTTGCTCGAGGTTCGTGCGAACCGCCAGTGGTCGTTGAAATATCGTATTGCGGTGCCAATCAAGATCAAAAACCCATTTTGATGATCGGTAAAGGCGTTACGTTCGATAGTGGCGGATTGTGTTTGAAAAGGTGCGAAATAATGGACCGATATCGGGCCGATATGATTGGCGCGGCTTCCATTATCGCTTCTATTCGAGCGGCGTCGGCGCTAAGCTTGCCCATCAATATCGACGCTGTGATTCCTTTGTGTGAAAATATGCCTAGCGGTAAGAATTATTCGTCAATGTGTGGATGAATTGAATCTAAAGCTTCGTACAGACCTGAACATTACGCCGAACAGCAAACAACAACGTTGTTCTGTTTGTTGTTCGGCGTAATGTTTAGTCAGGTCTGTACGAAGCTTAAAAACTACGTCAAAATACAATGAGACCAATTGTGGTAGGTATGGGCTGCTTTAAAGAGTGCACCATGTTTTGAGTTATAGTAAGAACCGGCTAAGAAGAAGCCACTGTGTCATCACTGACGAAGAAGAAAAACTTCATTTTCTCTAAGTGCCCTATCATTTGAAGTGAGACAAACGATAACTCGTGTGTATTCTTAGTTGGTTTGAACATTACTGATGGTAAAGAGGAAAATAATGATTCCTATTCGTTACTTTAATGTAATGGGAATTCATAATGATCTGTGTGTGTCACCGAACTGACATCAAATGTTGAGCGAGCACTATCGTGCCATTAGATTCCACGACTCAAGTAATCGTCTGGACGAGTATTAATATTATTATTTGAAGTACAACAAATACTTACTGCAGAAAATGGATAAAATATTGGGGGTTTCTTTTCCACGAAGGACTGCAATTTCCACTTATTTCAGTTGAAATGTCCGTTCAGTGTTACAGTGTTTGAACATTCCTGTAATATTCCTATCCGGGAAACAACCCTGACAACACAGAGACGTCTTAAAGATGGCCCTAAGATATCCACGATCGGCATTTAAGATGTCTTCAAGACGTCTTAGACCTGGGATCCACACCTCGAAAAAGTTGTCCAGAAGGATAAAATATCCCTGGGGAGATGCAGAACGCTTTTTGGAAAAAGCTGGGGACTTAATCCAAAGATGTATGGTTATACAAAATGGTAACAAGACCAATGATAATCTATGGTTCGGTTGCCTAACCGCAGCTCTAAACTGGAGGCCAGGGTCCAATTATCAAACACCAAAGGACCATGAGCTGTTTGAGATGCCCTCAGATAAAGCAACGCCTATTTTCATCTTCAGCAGGAACTTCTGGGTTGCCAGTTGCCACACCGGGGTAAGGAACTTAAAGAAGATTGGAAGGCAGGTACTCCAATCAAAGCAAATCACATCTAGTAGACCGACGGCTCCAAGACAACATAGGAAGTCGGAGCCACAAGTCTCGGACAGTATGTCACGGGGTGTTTCAGGCGGATATCAATGCAATAATGCACTGTTCCATACTGATGAATGGGAGGAAAGTTGAACGTAAGAACATCGTTATTTACTCGGACAGCCAGGCGGTCCAGCTCCCGGAAGATCAGCTCCAAGCTGGTTGGGAACTGTATACGTGCCCTATAGGAGGTGGACTTGTCCAGCAAACTTACTATTGCTTGGGTACCAGGGCAAGAGAAACTTCCAGGAAAGAAAAGGCCGACGACTTAGCCACTGGGATGATAGGCACAGAACCATTGTACGGAATTGTTGCGTTGCATAGGATTGGCTGTTTTTCGATGTGGACGTTGTTGGTGCGAGCTACCTCATAGGTACGAAGACAGAAAAGAGAGAGCCAACGTTACAACACCTCGGGCGTGAAATAAGGCTTCCGGAGAAGCCCAGTTCGTCGCAAGGAAACCCGCATTAATCCTCGCACTGGAGGTTGATGTCCTGGGGAAGTACTTCGTATTAGCTTACCACCAATCCCCGACAAAGTCTTTTTCAGGGCAACTGTCTGGAAAAAAAAGAAAAAGTCGTTTGATTTCTGGTTCTTAATTGAGGCCCACGTTTCCAATTCGGCACATTCGTGCAGCTTTCCGTCTAGGAAATCTAGACTCCTCCTCCGCGTTTGTCACTTCTTTTGGACACCTTCTTCAAAGGTTCCCGACCTCCCGTGTACGTCCTCGACGATTTTCGTGAATTTTTATGAAAATTCTCATCTCTTCTGCAAGCTCAGCATACCCAGGTTCGTTCAGTAAGATTGAACGATGAGAATTTTTATTACCTTTCAAACAACAAATCTTCTGAAAAATGACATGAAAAACAAATAGGACCTACGTTGTGGAAACTTACTCAATTTTACTTACTGGACATGCGCCCGACATAGCAAATATTCGGGAAATTTAAGGGAAGCTGTAATATATAAAAGAAATGCAAAATTTGTGAAACGCCTCCTTTATTTTCAAAGAAAAACGTACCGTTCTCGACCTGGAATTAACGAGGAAAAAGAGAACGGAAGAGAAAACCTCGATTCCCCAAAAATCGAAACATACTGTGTCATTTTAATAATAATTGTGAGTCATTAATTCAATAATTTAGGTCAATAAAAGTTCAAATTAGGTACCGCCCCTGTTCTTGTGCTAAAATTTCAATTACACACACTACATTCAATCAACACTACCTATATTCCAAACTGAAGAGTTTTTGGTTAGTTAGCCGGTCTGCCGGAAGGTACTGAGGTCCCATACGGGAAGCTACTCAGCTATAGTTGTTTTTGAGCCAATATCTCTAGATTGATTATTTCAATTTGTTAGGATATTCTCTCGTCAGGGTAGGAAAATGTTAGTAAATTCAACAAGGCTCTAATGCACGCTTTAAATTCAAAAAATCAAAATCCTAGCACAAAAGACAGCACATAATTTCTTAGGTTTTAATTTACTCTTAATCTGTGTTGTTTACAGTATGAAACGATTTTGGTTAAATATAGAAACAATGCACATGTTATAAAAAATTGTTATAAACAAACAAAAAAAACATAAAAATTGGAAAAAATAAATAATACAGTTTCATTATCCCGTATATGAGAGTATGGAAATTAAAGCTTTTTAAAGTGCATTTTGTAGTTGTTTTGTGAACGAAATCTGTTAATTTTTTTATTTTATTGACTTCATAAAGTGTTTCTTCTAACTAAAAATGCCACAAACGTGTCTTGTAGTTGATTGTGGAAGTAGTTTCAACAAAGTAACAAGGATGATGTCAGACTTTTTTCATTGCTCTCTAGTTTCTAAAGTTTCCAGTTAAAACGTGGAAATCTTTCACTACCACTGTTCCTGCATCTGAAATTAAGCCAGCCTCAAAATACTTGTGAGAATCTAAGCTTTTGTAGGCCTTCATTTGCTCATTAATGTGAAAACTGTGGGTGAAAATGTCAACTGGACATTTTTTCAAACTAACCGTTCGCCCACAGCTCGATTTTTCTGCATTTAAATCTTTAAATATTCACTCTGCATCTCAAAAAGTAGGTACCTATATTAGAACAAAGTAAATTGTAATTAGCTTGAAAATATTCCAAATAAACTCAAGATAAACAAACAAACGTCAAATTTTCCACGCTCGCCATATTGAAAAATCACGTGGTTTGGAGAGCCTAATTTTTCAGATTCTAACCTCACATAATTTGTTTAAATTTTTTGTTTGTGTTTTGTTGATGGATAAAATCGAAAAACATCATTTGCACCCTCTAGAATGGCAGTTTCTAACTTTTCTTCCATTACAATTGAGTGAACAACGCGACACTGACGCGAAAAAATTATCAAAATAGTGCCAATTGAACATGTTGTGCCGTAATTCTATTTATCCACGAGAAATAGTGACTGACAGTAATTAAATAATAATATGCCGTATTTAAGCAAAAAAACTTTATATTTATTTGAAAGCTCGTCTATAATCGCTAACTTTTCGTTAAGACTTAAAGTTTTGTGTTTGCGTTTAATATGTTCAATTTTCTTTAAAAAAAAAACCCACACAGTCAGGAAGGACGCCGCGTATTAAATGATGCGTGTAGACATGTAAAAACTACCTATCCACTTGAACGCAGTTACAAAACTACAAGTGGAAACCTGTGCTTTTATTTTCAAGAGTCATGTGAATGAATTCGAATTACCTAATCAAGTAAAACCCTGATTACAGAGTACATTTATTGAGACACTACTGTACTTGCGTAAATTGAACTCTCAAAAACCAAATAATAATTAATCCACTAACCTGTACTCTCCTTGCACACACACACTAATAACAAATTGGATTGAACAAGTTAGAGCCCTGCTCCCATATCATACAAAAAACGTCAATACTCGCTTCCTTTTTTTCTGGAGGCTGCTGGTTCGCAAGCTCATTCCTTAAACTGTGGTTTTGGCGGGACCTCTTCTCAGTACAACTGAGAAGTTGTACAAACACCCGTGGGAAACAAAAAGGGTTGTTGTTTCACCAAAACAACTGGCATCCCAAACCGGCTTCAGACAATCGACAAAAATGACGGACAGATATAGTGCAGACCTATATGGCGCAACTCTAGATAAGTTAGACATGATTATTAAGTCAAAGCACCATTCCTGCGGCCGTATCAGAATCCGATTTTAACGAAAAAAAAAAGTCGAAGCTGAGAAAAGCTTATTGCGCAACAGAATCTCTGCACGCGTTTTTAAAACATCTATCAAGAACTGGATAGACAGACAGTTTCAGAGCTGGGTGGCAGCAAATACCAGGACAACGACAGGCAAAGCAGTTCATCAAATCCTGCTCGTCCAAGTTCACAGCGGACCTACTAAGACACAGTCGCAAGATTGTTAGGATAACGGCAGGGCAATTACCAAGGTATAGCAAATTTGGCAAGCACCTGGAAAAAATGAGTCTGCCAGGAGGCGGAAGAAATTGCCGTACATGTGTGATGTCACTGCGAAGCGTTATGCATACTTAGTTTTGCGACACTTGGAGAGGAAATGCCCAATTCGGCAACCTATATGGCGTGGCCAGTAACATGGCTCTGGAGTCTAATAAAAAAAGACGGGCCAGAATGCACTCTTAAGGAAAGATCGAAGATACCACAATAAATCTGATAAAGTTACAGTGGTAGATGTTGCCTCTGCGCCATCTCCATTCAAACAAATCTAATCTAATATAAGGCGTCTTTGAAGACAACTTAAAGACGTCGTTTATTATAAAACCCAACGTCTTTCAACGTAATTTTTTTGGTCTTCAGACGTAATGCAGACCTTAAAAAGACAGTTTTAAGACTTTGTGTGGTATCTGGACTCAGACAGAACAGAGATATCTTGAACTCGTCCCTGAGAAGACGTCTGCATAAAGATCTTTTTAGGACTTTGTGTGCTGTCTGGGAAGACTTGGTTCCTAGCAAAATCTTTTGCTAATATTGAAACCAAATGTCGCCCTATTTATACACTAATCATATTATTCTGATTTAAAGGTATGTCAATGAAGTGCGGAGACGTAGTCATGGGCCTGAACGGTAAGTCCATCATGATTACCGACACCGACAACGAAGGACGTCTCATTCTGGCGGACGCCCTCGTTTACGGCCAGAACGCTTACCATCCGCGACTGATCATAGACGTTGCAAGTTTAACACCAGGAGTAAGAGCCGCTTTAGGGTCAGCAGCGTGCGGGGTCTTCTGCAATTCGCAAACTATGTGGTCACAGGTTCAAACGGGTAATTTGTTGTAAGAATGTTATTGTGAATCGTTTTATTGTTAGGTCAGAAAAGCTGGTGTGATTACTGGCGATCGGGTGTGGAGGTTACCTTTATGGAAATACTTTACGAAAAAAGTCACGAGATTCAAATCGCACGATGTCAACAATAAAGGCTTGGGTCACGGTTCATCTTGTATCGGTGCCGCATTTCTGAATGAATTTATCGACTGTGTGGATTGGATTCACTTCGACGTGACCGGAGTCGGATTCAAAAGCGAAGAAAAAAATTATTCATATTTAACTAAAGGCCGAATGACAGGACGACCTACGCGTACTCTAATTCAACTATTATATCAACTGTCCTGTCCTTCGGAAGGACAAAGGAAACTCGAATGATCTAAAAGATTCTTTAAGTTGACCTCTAACATATATAAAAAAACATTTTCGATGTCAGTGTGATTAATGCCTCTATATTCGCATTTCATCGTTGAAGCTTTAAATCTTCACAGTTCAATTTTTTTAAACTGTAAAATTAATTGTGAATTAATTCGCTGGCTCAAAAGTATTCTTTTTTTTTTCCCGGCCGGGTTCGGTTTTGGGGTTCTACAGACTAATAATGTTACGCAGGCCTGGTCTCCTGTGACAGTTTCGAACTACCTAAATTAAAAACAATATGGCATTATGAAAAATCATATTATAATAAAAACATAGGACGTACTGTTAAAAAAAAAAAAATACTTAAAGGGACTGTGCTTATGAGTTTTTTGTGTTCATAAGAGTTTCTACATTTGTGCGACAAAACCTATGCTACAAATAACCTTCATGTTCTTCTATTTATTACTTCTAAATGTATCCCGTAACTTTGCGTAAACAAAATAGGAATAGCAAATGGTAATAATAAATTGAAATTATTTGGCTGATGCAATCTGGCGCCAAACTAACATCATATCGTCATCCAGTTACAACGTGTGTATTTGAGATTTTTTTTGGGTCACTGTCTTGCGGTCTTTTGTATAATTTTATTTTACAATTCTCATACTTTTATGAAAAAATATAATATGCTTATACCTATAGATATTGGAATTATAATTTTAGTTATTAATTAGAAATAGTCAGTTTTGAATAACTAATTCTTTGCTACGTTTACATATTCTGCAAAAACTCTCCATAAGAATGCATTGAATAATCATTACAAAATCTGAAGATGGGTATAGGAATCCTGTCCGAAATTTGCTTATAAAGTGGAAGTTACAAAACGCCCACAGGATTATTAAATATAGCAATTCCAGGTCAAAAACATGCTCATGCAGAAATGATTTGGAACCCACAAAGTCAGAGACCTTATTTTGAAGTCAGCGTCCGCGAACGGTATAAATTGTTACATTATTCGAATTTTTGTTTTGATTTGTTGAAGCAAAATCGTATAATGAAAATGTCCAAAACTGTTGTTTGTAGTTATAGTTTGAGTCCTGGAAATGGCATATATTACATCACTTGTCTATGTTAAAATGTGCCAAGGCATATAAATTGATACTGAAGGACAAATTTTTGCGCATCGACGCATATTTAATTTTCTAATCCTTATATGCATAGATATTAACATAAAATCACACAATTCTATAAATAATTTATTTATTTTTCCAACTTTACAATAATTACAAGCAGATCAAGAATGTGACATCATGCACACGTTCGTTAAGAATCTTGATACTTTCCACAATGAATTTATTATTAATCAAGAACGGGTTTTAAGACCTCGCGGGGGCTATAATATAATCAGTTTTGTAAGAGTTTTACTCAGTTTAGTTGCTGACTTTGTGCTGTGCTTTTCAGATAATCGAAATTTTCTAGTTATGTTTAGAAGTCTTGTGTGTCAATGAATGTCTTAGATTTTTTAGTAACGTCCAGATTTCAGCAAGTTGAAAGGTAATATGAATGAAAATATAAAAATTTTATAAATTCACTTTTGTCGAGTAGTGAAAAGTATACATAAATGTTCTGTTACAGTTTAGAGAAAAACCTTGCAACTAAAAAAGGTAGCCGTAGAGGCAATTCAGGCAACAGAAAGGAACTTCAAGTACTAACCCAAATACATCACGTGCCATAGAAACTTATTTTCCTTTGAAAAGTGCAACTTTTTATTCAAAGAAAAATGGTGCAAGGAGCAAACCCAATGTCAATTGCCGAACAACAAATGTCTAACGATTGGAGCAAATCAAAGTAAGGGGAATAACCAATAATCATTAAAAGTGTGATAAGTAGGTAAGTTATTTTTTTGTAGAAAACCTATTTTGGAAGCAACCCTAAGGTACGAGCAAGAAAAACAGAAAGCGGAAAAGAAAAAAATGGATTCGAATTCAAAGTATGGGGCATGGGGTTCCACCTTTAAAAATAAAAATCATTTTGCTAGCTTGCATCATTGTTGAAACATTTATTTTAATTTAAAACAGTACAAAAATCATATTATTTATTTAAATAACAAAATTTATATTTGCATGTTATCTAAGTATACGAATCATATTTATTTTAAATTTATGCAATAAAAGGTTGCACTACTCTTTTATTTTTTTTGTTTTTGATTTTCTTGAACCACAAATTTTCTACCGCCATTACCAGGATGGACATGACAAAACCTAAACAAAAAAGTTCCAGTTTTATGCACTATCTCCAAATTAAGGCCAGGTTTATTCATCTGGTAACTGTCGACAAGATAAATTTACCAATCTATACCCAGACAGCAAACAGACATCTTAAAAACGGCCCAGACGTCTACCTAAAGACGTCTTTGGGACAAATATTTCATTATTATTATTACTCATTTTATAACTTTCAATTTTTGTCTATTCCAGGCGCTGGGCTGTCTGAAATAATTCTAATAATAATTGTTCTGAAGTCTTTCAAAATGCTGTGGGAAAGTGTTTTGGAACGTTTTAAATGGTTTATTTGAAGTTCTAAAGCGTTCTAACTTGGCTTGAAGAAATGTTCTGGCAAATTTTTCAGTATTTTAGAGTCCTATTGAAGCTCCAAAGTCACAGAAGTGTTCTAAATTGGTTTAAAAAAGTTCTAAAAGGTTTTCAGTTCAAATTGAATCCTAATTGTTCTAAAATAACTCTAAAAAGTTTTTAAATTGTTCCAAAACTCTCCTGAAAATTCTGATTTGGATTTGAACTGTTTTGGATGCTAATTAAAGGTCTAAAGTTCTACAAAAATCTAAATTCGTTCTCAAAAGCCTTACGAATAAAGGTGTTTTGTAACTTTTAACCTCAATCGTAATTCTGGCGCTTTTCAAAATGTTTCTGGAGATTCTAGATTGTTCTTGTTTTGCAGCGTCCTAAAATGGGTTTCTGAATTGTTCTAGAGGACTTTTGGAGATTTTAAATCAATTTTTCCACAAACGTCACTGAAAGTGTAATTTTTAACGTATACTGTCCAGTGTCTAAAATGCCATTTTATAACACTGGTGTTAAAAGTGATTACTTTTAGCACTGAGCGCTAAAAGTAATCCCTTTTAGTTGAAAAAATTGTGTATGATATTCGTGCTAAAAGTGATTTTATTTTGTTCAAAGGGATGGAACACTCCGCCTTCGGCGTCGTGTCCCAAACTTTGCTTTTTACAAAATAAAATGTCACTTTTAGCACTTATATTATAAATAACTAATTTGAATGTTTTGGGACATTCTAAAATGGTTCTGAAATCTCCAAAACAGCAGAGCTAAAAAATGCTTTTGGAAATTCGGAATTAAATTTTGAGTGTTTTGAATTTTCCAAAAGGCTTATTAAAATTCTAAAGTGTTTTGTAGCATTCTAAATGGTTTCAAGTAACTTCTAAATTGAATGAGAAACGAATTCTGTGGGATAATTTCGTAGACATCTAATGGCCGTTTGCACCGACCATTTTAAAGGTTACTTTTCATGCATCCATTTATCCGTCAATCCGTTAATCTGGAAGTATTCCTATTGGTCTAATATTTTGGCGCCAGAATATTGGTCCAATAGGAATACTTCCGGATTAACGGATTGATGGATAAACGGATGTATGAATAGTAAGCTTGAGTGATCGATACAAACGGCCATTGAAAACGTTCCTAAGATGTCCATAAACGACATTCAAAACTGTCGTTCGCGGTAAAATAAAATCATGAACTGACGCATTTATTAGGAGTGCGCTCTAGAAAAATCCTCTGATAATTCCGGAATCGGTGCAGTAATCCGCGAACAAGCTCCTTAATTTAAATAACGGATAGTTCCGAATCAGTTCTGGAATCGCCCTTGTCATGCTCTGTTGACGGTACACATACTAACCTAGAGATCTAGTTCTAAATCAAGTTGGAACCGATTCTAGATGAATCACGAAAAAAGAACATAAACAAATAAAAATTCTGAATTTTACAGATGGTCAATATTTGAACTGTGCTTTCGAATCTATTCTGAATCCCTAATTTATTCTCAAATTGTTCCGATTTTTTTTTTCCGAAGTCGTTCGCGGTAGAATAAAATCATGAACTGTCGCATTATTAGGTATGCGCTCTAGAACAATCCTGTAATAGTTCTGAAATCGGTTCAGTAATCCGCGAACTCGTTTGAAAAATCTAGAACCGGCAGAACTAATTCATAATCGATCCGGAACCGATTCCAGTTGAACAGCTACAAAGAATGCAACCAAAACAAGATTTATGGCCATTTGCACCGACCACTTCAAGGGAGGTTTAACGATAATCAACGTTTAAAGTGACATTTTTACATGCAGAAATGTCACTTTAAACGTTGATTATCGTTAAACCTTCCTTAAAAAGGGTCGGTGCAAACAGCCATTAGTGATCTATGAACGACTTGAAATTTAAATTACGGATATATCCCAATCAGTTCTGGAGTCTCCCTTGCTATGTTCTGTTCACGGTACACATAAGTTGTATTCCTTTCAAGAGCTTGAACCACTCGAGCTACTCGCTTCGGTGCTTAGTCGCCCCCGATTTGCAGGGAACATATGCGTGGTGCAACAAACACTTTTCGAAAGGAATAAGCGCGTGAAGCCCCGGAGCTGTTCCGGAGCTCCTCCTAGGTGTGAAAGGAATACAACTATACTGAAGCTACTGGAACTCCAGTTCTGAATCAATTTGGAACCGATTCTAGTTGAATCGCGAACAAAGAACTTTTAACCAATAAAAATTCCGAATTTTAGTGATGGTCAATATTTGAATTGCGCTTCCGAATCAGTTCTGAATCCCGAATTTATTCTCAGATTGTTCCAACTTTTTGTTAGCAAAGACTCGTAAGTCATTCGCGGTAGAATAAAATCATGAACTGCCGCAATAGTTGTATTCCTTTCAAGGGTTTGAAACACTCGAGCTACTCGCTTCAGTGCTTAGTCGCCCCCGATTTGCAGGGAACAGATGCGTGTTGCAACAAACACTTTTCGAAAGGAATAAGGGCGTGAAGCCCCAGAGCTGTTCCGGAGCTCCTCATAGGTGTGAAAGGAATACAACTATTATATGGTATGCGCTCTAGAACAACCCTGTAATAGTTCTGGAATCGGTTCAGTAATCCGCGAACTCGTTTCAAAAATCTAGAACCGGCAGAACTAATCCAGAATCGATCCGGAATCCACTCCAGTTGAACAGCGAACAAACAATGCAACCCAAAACAGGATTTAGTGATCTATGAACAACTTTAAATTTGAATTACGGATATATCCAAATCAGTTCTCGACGCTCCCTTGCTATGCTTTGTTTTCGGTACACATACTGAAGCTATTGGAACTTCAGTTCTGGAATCAATTTGGAACTTATTCTAGTGAAAATAGCTTTTGAATTGCGCTTCCGAATTAGTTCTGAATCCCGAATTTATTCTCAGATTGTTCCGATTTTTTGTTATCAAAGACTGGCTAGTCGTTCGCGGTAGAATAAAATTATGAACTGCCGCATTATTAGGTATGCGTTCTAGAACAATCCTGTAATAGATCTAAAATCGGTTCAGTAAGGGTGGATTTTCATGCATCCGTTTGTCCGACGAAAGATGTCCGAAAAACATTCTATTCTGACATAATCGTAAAAAAATATGTCAAAATAGAAGATTTTTCGGACATATTTCGTCGGAAAACGGATGCATGAAAATCCGGCCTAATCCGCAAACTCTTTTGAAAAATCTAGAACCGGCAGAACTAATTTCGAATCGATCCGGAACCGACTCCAGCAGTTGAACAGCGAACAAAGAATGCAACCACAATAGGATTTAGTGATCCATGAACGACAATTTGAATTACGGATAGTTCCGAATCAGTTCTGGGATCGCTCTTAATTGTTATGTTCCGTTCACGATACACATACTGAACCTATTGGACCTTCAGTTCTGGATCAATTTGGAACCGATTCTAGTTAAATAGCGAACAAAGAACTTTTAACTAATAAAAATTCTGAATTATAGTGGTATTTGAACTGTGCTTCTGAGTCAGTTCTAAATCCTTACCGAATTTATTCTAGGATTGTTCGGAGTTTTTGTTTCCGAAACCGTTCCAAAGCGTCTTGCTTACGTCTTCAAGGCGTCTTAAAAGCATCTTGAAGACGTCGTATGTTACAAAACTCAACGTCTTTCAAACCTCTGCCTAGAGATGTCTTTAAGGCTAAGACATTCTTCGAGGTCTTCAACGAGATGTCTTAAAGACGTCTTCGAATCTTTTTTCAATACCTACATAAACCATTATTCTATTTTAGGCCTGATTGTACCAAATATTTGTTTTCAAGATGTGAATTAACGACATCTTATGGACGTCTTCAAAGCAACGTCATTTTTTGGTCTTCAGACGTTCAGAGTCCTTATTCTTGAAACAGGGGAGCAGCGTTCCCAGGAGAACGAGTGTTCCGTCTTTCTCAACGATATGCAACAGATGATATAAGTAACAAAGACAGAACACTCGTTCTCCTGGGAACGCTGCTCCCTTGTTTCAAGAATAAGGACCCCAGATGTATTGTAGACTCAAAAATGACGAGACTTTGAGGGTGTCTGGGTAATCACATTAGTCCATTGGTTGGCAATATATAGATTGAGTTTATATGCGTCAAATTGCATTATCTGACAGTTTATCAGAAGGTGAATAAACCAGGCGTTAGTTTGAAGACAATAAACTTGATGTAAAAAAACTGAGGGGGATTTCACTGGGGATATTTGGTGTTCATAGCCAGGGATAACCGGGAATAACTTGAGATTCTGGGGATCACTGGGGACAACCCGAGGAATAACTCGAAAAATGCGAACATACTAAATTTAGAATATCACATTTGGCAACGTTAGACAGGGGGAAAACCAGAAATAGCTAGGGATAACTGAGAATAAACAGGGATAACTTAAAGTGAGAAGGAAGTTTAGTCTACACAATTTTGCAATCGCAACCTCCCTAAGGGGATTTCATTAGGGATATTAGGTGTAAAAATTCCTGGTATAATTTAAGTTAATAAACATAACCCAAATAATCTTTCAAAATTTCATATTGTTGAAATATTTGAAGGCGTTGGTAAGTGGCCAGGGATAACTTGAGATTCTGGGGATAACTGGGGACAACCCGAGATAACTGATAAGGATAACCCAATGATAAACGATGATATCCAGGGATAACCAAAGGATAACCTGCTGAGATAACCCAATGATAATCGAGGATAATCAGGGAATAACTGATGGAAAAATGCAAACATACTAAACTTAGAAAATTACATCTGGCAACTTGGACAGGGATGACTAGGAATAGCTAGGGATAACTTGAAGCAGAAAGTAAGTTTTGTGCACACAATTTTGCAATCTCGAAACCCCCCTTGGAAAAAAAAAACCAATATTACCAATAAATAACACGAAAAAGCTCCCTTGCATATCGTCCAGATTCACCGTATGATTATTCACTTCGACGCTCCGTTTCTTTTTCCAACATTTGTCTTTTTTCGGCAAATAATCCTCCAACCATTTTTGTATCAAACCCACTTGGTGCAACTTTTTAATCCTGAAAAAATACAATCAAAAAACTCAAACATCAATCATTATCCTCTCATACTCTTCGTTGATTTTTTGAAGATAAGGCGTATCTGGAGCGACAATCAAAGAAATTTTCTCGTCGGCAAACTCGTCCATTCCCAACGCGAAACTGCAAGCTTCGTTTTCCAAAAATTGCTGTTTGATCAAATATTGCAATTTTATTTTCCAATCGATGTAAACGTGTTTGCCTTTTTTGATTTCCGCAATCAGCTCGCGTCTATTTCGTATATCTTTAGCGTTGTTGTATATTGTTTTGTAGGTGGGATCAGTTGTAGACTTGAAAATACAAAATTGATAATAATTAATCTTAATAAAGTAGGTACCTGTAATAATCCATATAATTAACAAATTTTCAAAATATTGATTGAAAATGGAAATTTACCTGTAATCGCGACTCAAAAAGAGTATTCTTGGCATAGCTCCAAGTGAGAGTCTCTCTATGAGCCACCAAATCGTCGAGCGTGGTAATGGGCACCTCGATTTTCGGAAAAGTCAAATAAGCAACCAAATTACCACAATAAGTGGTTCCTATTACCAGTACAACCAACCACCAAGCACCAACTATAATTCTGGCGCTGTCTGCCAATGGCAGATGCATACCACCTAGAGAAATGTGTTATTGCAACAACTTGACATTCATCGAAAATACTTGCCTTGCTGTAAAAGTGCTCCGTACATGTACCAAATGCAATTTTGTACTGTCGCTAGGCCTCCTTTGCTTCGCATGCCTTTGTATTCGTAAACAGGACTGCATTTGTGGATGTAAAACAAAATGGGGCCCATTGAGATTATGGTTGCCGATAAACAGAGCCAAGTCTAAAAAAAATTTAGGTACAATGAAACTTTCCTGATTCGAAATTTCACTTATTTATATTTTAATAGAAAATACCTACGTCTATGGATTTTAAGCTCCTCCCAGTTTGCAGCATTACCAACCAAAGTTATCAATAAAAAAATTGTAAAGTGGGAGGTATCTAAAATACATAGGCGTACGAGCTATTTGAAAAATATTGCGTTGTTTGTTTTAAACTTAAAAAGTTACTTACGTCTCCTCTAAAAGGCGATATAAAAAGCAAAGCCCTACTAAGTTCTTTGGGCCTCGAAGCTAAAAACGTATAAGTTTGTATGCTTATAGGATCGGTGAAATTAATAATCCTCTTGTTTTCCTCTGTGACAGTGAAAGCGCACGCTCCCATAGCGACAGTTTTATTATGCACCATTTCCAATATACCTTGGGGCACTCTGAATGTGGTGATTTGCGAGTTTTCAATCATATCCGAAAAAGCGTTAGAATCATTATTTGTATTGTACGAAAAGTTTGCTTGATGGTTTCTGAAAATTTCCACGCTATAAGTGAAGTTCAAATTTCTCGCTAGTTCTTTTACAATGTCGAAAACGATGCCGTTGTATTCGATTACGTCGCCGGTGGCGTTGGTTTTGAGAATTTGCCATGGAGGATTCTAGAAATTGAATACTTGTATTAAGGCAAACATTGGAGATTGTAAACTCACATGAAACGATACCAGAGGTAAAAGTTTGCGCCTAAATCCGTGAGCAATATGGGGAAAAAGCACATCAACCATTGAAGGACCATCGCTGGGTCGCCAGGAACCGATTTGTAGAAGACTAGCCATGGATGAGTCTGCTTGATTTTGATATTCTTTGCCCCAAGTTTCACCGGTTTCCAGTTTCCATTTGGTGCAATTTCCGCACGTTCCATAATCGGTAAGATATTTCTGTTGGAAATGAATTAGGGAATACCTTTTTTGATCGGTTAAAATGGCAGCCCTATCGAAAAGCCTACCCTAATAGCAGAAAAAGGTACGAAGGACGTTTTTTTTTAAGTTCATTTGACGTCGAAACGTTAGAACTTTCCAAAAGCAATATATTTTTTTCTACAAAGCTTGAAGCATAATCGATACTTTTATCTTTATTATCTTCTTCAGGAGAAGAGAATCTTGTTCCACAACGTCTAGACTTATATTTTGTCTTTAGAAGACTCTAAAAGCAATGAATCTTCATTTTGTTTGTCGTTCTTTTCCAGATTAGAATTTGCTTCTATCTTCTATAGATTGTCCCTCTTCTGTGCCATGTTTTTGGACTTTTAGAACTTTCCAAAGACAATATACAGGGAATTTGGCAGAGGGTTAGCCAAACTTGGTGGGCGTATAGATAGGCCCATTTCGATGAAATTTTATCAATACCTTGAGTGCCCTTAAATTCCCCGTTTTTTTTTTTATATCATTGCTTTTGTATTATTCTGAAGAAGGTTCGAAAATGGGCCTTTTAACTTCTGTAACTTTTTTTTCAAATGTTTATAAAAATGTTTGTTTTGTGTATTTTTAGCCTGTAGGGTATCCTTGATCTAATAAAAGTAAGAGAGCTTACAACTAATTATTTCGGTTATACAACTCACTGTACGTCATTCCCATATAACACGAGAGTCTTAATAAGTGATAACCGTTTTAGGATTATTGCGCTTGGTGTATTGAAGTTTAGTTCGTTGTATAACCTTTTGATTACCACTCGATGTTTCAGGATTACCTAATACTTTTAACTGACACTCAACGCGTTACCAGCAACACCACACAGGTAAAAGTATTATCCGGTAATCCTAAAACCTCTTGTGGTATTCACTTCATAGTCAATCATCATTTATAAAGTCAAAAAGTTTTACTAGTCACTCGAGTACTTACATTAACTTTTCACTCGTAAAATTACTTAATTAATTTACTTCAAAATCAAAATCTCCAGAGCTCGCACATAATGTTGAACGACGTTAAATGTTCTTTCTTTCACAATTTTCCGTACTTTTCAAGGATTCAATTAAACGCGTTTTCCCGAGGCAACAAAATAAAAGAAACTCTTCGCGAATTTTATCCGGACTGGCTCATTAGGTATTGTAGACTTTAACTCAAACAGGACTGAACTGCCAACTGATCTGATCTGCCCTCCACTTCTAAAACCACTGTATTTATATTTTTCGGTCCCCCAAAAATTACAATTTTCATCATTCAATAACCTTCCTCTTTTATTTGTTTAAAATCGAACAATTATGTCGCAATTTCCTGGTTTATCGAGGTCAACAGAATTGGTTGTAAGAATTGGACATATAACTCAAAGAAAACCGACAACACGTGCGGCCATAAATCACCTATTTAATTACTTTAGCCTCGCTTTTAATATTCTTATGGATTTGATTTAGATGATGAATAAATAATAAGAAATTATACCTACGTTTTTTTTTTAGATCTTTTATTTACGACTAATGTATAATGTGCGTATTATATTTGTGATTTTGGCAGTATAATGACATATGTTATTCCTCCAGGGATTAATGACGAGTAGCGGGATTAATGGTCATTATTCCACAAAAATGTCAGTGTCAAACGTGTAGTGCTTGTGGATTTGTATTGAAAATTATGAGACGGATGAAATTTGTTTATTGAAAATCTCAAATAAATTAATTTGTCGTCAATAAAGTAGAGTATAGGTACTACTCGCAATAATGGCTATTATTCCCTCGGCTATCATTATTGACTCGTGGTATAATCTACTATTAATTAATTTGGGACAATTTTTTTATCAATTTAGACATTGTAAATTACGGGTCTATTTTCCTGGGTCATTACACCCGCATGGTGTATTAAAGTTTAGTTCGTTGTATAACCTTTTGAATACCACTCGATGTTTCAGGATTACCTAATACTTTTACCTGACACTCAACGCGTTACCAGCAAAACCACTCCTCCTTCGGAGTCGTGGTGTTGCTGCAAAACTTGTTTAGTGACAGGTAAAAGTATTATCTGGTTATCCTGAAATTTCTTGTGGTATTACATTCAATAGTATTTGTGCCTAATTTTTACTTTATTAGATCAAGGAAACCCTACAGACCAAAAGCACACACATGATATAAAAAATGAGGAACTTAAGGGCACAAGTGTATTAATAAAATATCTTCAAAATGGGCCTATCTATACGCCCACCAAGTTTGGCTAACCCTCCGCCAAACACCCTGTATATCTTTTTCTACAAAGAATGAAGCATTCTCAAGACTTCCATCTCTATTATCTTATTCAGGAGACTGTAGTGAATCTTGTTCTACGACTTTTTTTTATTGTCTTCAGAAGACTTTGTCTTTAAAAGACTTTTTTCATTGTCTTTAGAAGACTCCAAAAGCAATGAATCTCTCATCATTGTCGCTCTGTCCCAAATTAGGATTAGCTCCTAGAGATTGTCCCTCATGTGTGCCATATTTTGGGTTTTTAGAACTTCCCAAAGGTAATATATTTTTTTTCTACAAAGCTTTAAACATAATTAAGACTTTGATTTTCCTTGGGAGTTTACAGTTTACACACAACATCTTCTTTTGAAAGCAAATATTTCTCTCCTATAAGGTTTGTAGCATCCTTTGAACTGTCTCCTCTTCTAGGGGAGCCCAAAACCAGTGAATCCTGTCCAACACTGATTATAGCAGTTTTTGGCGTGTAAGCTCCTTTCTTTGGGAAATGTGACAAGCAATGAATTTTCTCTCAAAAGTTTTGTGTCATCTTTAGAAGTTTCATTTCCTCCTCTATAACATAGTCCAAAAGCAGCGAATCCTCTTCACAACAGATTCTGGAGTGTAAACTTCACTATTTTCTTTTGCAGACTCGATAGGTAATGAATCTTCTACTACAACCTCCTCTGTACTTTCATCTCCTCCTGTAGAGGAATCTAAAACCAGTGAATGCTCCTTAACACTACTTGTAAATGGAGTGTTAGAGGAACTTCATAAGCGACGGATTGCCTTTTACAGAGGCCATAAGTAGTAAATCTTCTTCGCATAGTTTATTGCATATTTTGTAGTCCTCATCAACATCACTGGTACTTTCTTGATTGATCTCTTCATTCATTTTTTGGACTTTGATATTCATCAATTTTATTGAACAACTTCAAAAGCGACAAATTTTTTCCCACAGAACTTTCATTTTTGCTACCTTCTTTGGAAATCGATGAATCTACAGAGATTGTAGTACTCTCTGGACTATTTTCATTGGTGAACTCTCTACAAAGCTTGGAACAATCTCTAGACTTTCACTATCATTTTCATTGGTGTACTCCCAAAGCAATGTCATTGATCAATGAGCATAAATCATTAATAAACATAAATGAAAATGTTTCGATACCCAAAAGTATGTTTCATAAAAAGTCATAAGAGAGACGTTTCATAAAAGTTTCTGTTGGTCGTTTTCAAAAACAAAATTGAAACATGTATTTTGGATAAATATGGATTGATGTCTGAAACTTAGTTTGAATTAAGACGTCTACAAAACATCCATTTTTGACTTCCACGTGTTGTTTGGTAACTACATCTACAAAACATCCATTTTCGACGTCCACATGTTGTTTGGTAACTGTGTAATTTCCACTAGGTATAAAAAATTGATTGTTGCGTTGCATGGGATTGGCTGTTTTTCGTTGTGGGCGGAGCTTGTGAAGGGTATCGCCGGAACATATAAAAATAGCCGTTTTCAGGCCAGAGTCAGTCAGTTCTTTTCAGGCAGTGATTGAGACTTCATTTCGCCTGTCTGCCCCGTTCTCTACGCCAGAGACAAGAACAGCTCTCCCCTCATTTGTTCGACAGAAGTGCTGTGACATGTACCCAGCACTTAGGAGCGCGGAGGCTGGCAACGCTTTGCTGTGGGTCACCTTGCCTTAGGGATCACTTTATGTGGCCGGTAGACGAACCTCTTAGAGGTACGAAGACAGAAAACAGAGAGCCAACGTTACAACCCCTCGGGCGCGAAGTAAGGCTTCCGGAAAAGCCCAGTTCGTCGCAAGAAAACCCGCATTAATCCTCACACTGGAGGTTGATGTCCTGGGGGGAGTAGTTGGCATTCATTAGCTTACCACCAATCCCCGACAAAGTCCTTTTCAGGGCAACTGTCTGGAAGAAAAAGAAAAAATCGTTTGATTTCTGGTTCTTAATTGAGCCCCGCGTCTCCAATTCGGCACATTCGTGCAGCTTTCCGTTTAGGAAATCTAGACTCCTCCTCCACGTATGTCACTTTATACTTTTGGACACCTTCTTCAAAGGTGTCCGACCCCCCGTGTCCGTCCTCGACGTTTCTCGTGAATTTTTATGAAAATTCTCATCTCTTCTGCAGGCTCCACGTCGAATTAAAACTCAAAAATCAAATGATCATTTTCTTCCTCCAAAGGCTCACCAAGTTGGGACGGAATTTGCAAAAAAACTAGAAAGTCTAAATTATCCAAACTTGACTTTTTCTTGAGGCTTTTTCAGGAAAAATCTCAATTTCAATTTAACTTAAAGCAAGATTAGCTTCGCCGAGTTGGGACAGAGTTTTATAAGAAGACAACAGTCGAAACTTGGATTTTTCTTGAAATTTGTTACGGAAAAATCTCAATTTCAAAACAAAGACAAAGGCAAGATTGCCACCGAGTTAGAACAGAGTTTTATGAGAAGACAAAAGTAGAAACTATCTGTAGCTTGAATTTTATGGAGGTTTTTTCAGGAAAAACCTCCTTTTCACGAAGTACAGACGAGTCTTTGACAAAAACACATGAACCTTCAAAGGTTAGAAGGGTTTTCGGACCTGGTGCACCGTTTCTGTTCCCCCGTGTTTTTATTTGCCATTTAACTTCTCGAAGCCGCTCGACGGTTTCTTCAGAGTGCCATCTGAGTTCAACGTACTGTCGTTGCAAATAAAAGTTTCTAGACACCGTGTTAATACAACTTTGGTACCCTTGGACTTCAAAAAACCGAGTTGGAGCCCTGCTTTCATATCATACAAAAAACGTCAATTCTCACTTCCTTTTTTCTGGAGGCTGCTGGTTCGCAAGCTCATTCCTTAAAGAACCAGCGGGGTGGTTTTGGCGGGACCTCCTCTCAGTACAACTGAGAAGTTGTACAAACACCCGTGGGAAACAAAAAGGGTTGTTGTTTCACCTCGAAAACAACTGGCATCCCACTTGATCCCAAACCGACTTCAGACAATCGACAAAAATGACGGACAGATACAGTCCAGACCTATACGGCGCCACTCTAGACGAGTTGGACATGATTCTAAGTCAAGGCCCCAGTCCTGCGGCCGTATCAGAATCCGATTTTAATCAGCGCTGCAACAAGCCTAAATCCGCCCGACGCAGCGGAACTTGATTTTCTACGCTCACTTTTTGCTGAACTCGACTCGACTTTAGAAGGCAAAAAGAAGTCGAAGCTAAGAAAATCTTATGGCGCGACAGTCTATTGGAGTAGACCTTCTAAAAGACGTTTTTAAAACCGTTTCTGTGCTACTAGGGTATGAAATGTGAGTTGTTTGATATTTTTTACTGAAGAGCGCAAAGAAGATATAGGGACACATGGAATCGATTAGCCAGTTTATATAACTACTCATAAGTACCTTAACTTTATCAGTCAAATATTTAGTTCTTTCGACTTTCGTAGGTCGAATAGCTTCCCATTCTTCTTCAGAAACTTGCGCTGCCATTTCAAATTCTTCCACAATAGCATCGTCCAAAGACTTGATGAAACCGTGAAGAGTTTCTTCAACATGGCATACAATACCACCCTAAAAATTACTCATTTTTAGTGATTTTCTTCAGGGTTTTTCAAGTTCATTATTCACCACACAAATATTATCCACAACAGTGTTATTGTAAATAAAGGCAACATTATCACCTTCCCTTAATTGTCTTTTAAAACTTTGCATGTCTTTGATTTTATTGTTTGTGTCGGATATTAGGTATAACCATTCACTTTGGGTGTTGACCAATCTCAAGTCTTTGGCATATTCCATTATTATGTCTATTAAATCTAAACTCACTATGACTACAAAGCAATTATTATCAATCTTCAGAGTAAAGAGAAATTTTTACCTAAAAACTTTTCTCCAACCATTTTAGTGTTAACACCGGCCAATTTCCCTTTCAAATTTGCTCTCAAATCGTTAACAGTTAATGATTTGTTCGAACAAAGGCTCATTAGTGATATTCCTGTAGCTTCGATGCCATTAGCTTGTTTTGTGATTGATTTGATTACTCTTGTTAATAAATCTTCAGCTATAGATAGACAAAAATCAATGTGGTTGATATAAAAATGTTTCTACTTACAAATAGTATCGTCATACATAATGACCATATTTTTCCACTTGTAAACCTCAAAAGTGCGTAAATCTAAAAGCAATTGAGGAGTTTCTTGACCTCTGTCGATTATAGGGATGGTTATGGCGTTGTTTTGAGGAAGTCTTTCACAGTCTTGTTCTGCAATAAATTATGTGGAACTTCCTCTATAGGATATTATTATATTATAATTATTACCTGAAATAGCAATATGCAACAAATTCTCACTGGCAGCGGCTCTAAACAACCTCCAAGTATCCTCGCAAGAAGTTATACTCAAAAGCGCACTAAAATCTCTTTTCACATTGATCGCAGACCAAGCGAATAGTTGAACATTGACTCCCCCATGTCTTAAAATATCCCTTTTAGCATATTCCAAATAATTTTCGATTTTCGTTTTCACATTTTCGTAATCTTCCGCTAAATATTCTTTGTCAATAACTATAGCTAAAAATCTTCGTAAAAAATAGGCAATTATACATATTATATATTTTCTCTTACCTATTGATGCATTAGTTGTTAATAGAGAAGGAAAAATATCGCTGCTGGCCAAATGACAAGAAACCAAGATTACAGCCACCCACGCAAACATTTTATGAAATACTCAACCATTTTCGTCCTGAATTTGATTTAATATCCAATCATAAAAATTTCATTTCAAAAAAGCCTGATATCGAAACATAAAAATTAGATATTGTCCAGGTGTGCCCCTACTACGACTATACTTACTAAGAAATAGAGAACATCTATTTAAAGCTTTCGAGTTAGGAAAGGTTAATCATTAGATATTCATGAGTTTCTATACTCTATGGAGGGATTTTACTTTCTGTGGTTTTTAATTGATTGATTCGGGTCAAGGATGCAATGGAATAATATGCCTTAAATTGGGGAATGGGATCATGTGCTTCTATTTGGGTTACCTAATTAGAAAGAAAAAAGGCATTTGCAGTGAGCTAGAAATTGGAAATTAACTCAAATAATTAAACTTTAGAATGGATATTTCCAGTGCAATTTTGACCATTTCACACTATTCCATTTCCAATGTTTCCAAAAAAGCTTTCAATTCACGGTTCAAATTTTTCTGTAATTGTCTAAGATTTCTTTGTATTCATGAATTTTAGACCAAAAGCAAAAAAAGTGAAGCAAAGTTTCTTGGTCTTCTTTTCTAAATATCTGAGTATTATCCCTAAACGCAAACAAAACAATCCTTGTCCCGTTCACAAGAAAAATGAAGCTTAATTTGAAAGCCCCGACCCTTAACGGTACACAACTAACATTTTCCAACGAAGTGAAGTACCTTGTCCGAACCCTCACTTGGAACAAACAGTTAGAGAAAACATGCTCTCAAGTTACATCAGCCATTTGGTCATGCCGAAAACTTGTTGGCAAAACATGGGGGCTAAAGCCAAAGATAGTATTCTGGATCTACCAAACCATAATAAAGCCCATGGTCACATACGCCTCATTGGTGTGGTGGCCCAAAACCCAACAAGTCACCGCTCAGATTAAGCTAAGAAAGGTGCAAAGGCTGATATGTCTAGGAATAACGGGAGCAATGTCAACTTGCCCCACCGCAGCCCTAGAGACGCTACTCAACATGCCCCCACTTCACCTATGTGTGAAAAAGGAGGCAATAACCAGCGCTCACAGGCTATTCCAAATAGACAAGTTCAAGCCTGGCGATCTGAGGGGACATCTGAGAATCCTTGATCTAATAAACTGGAGAATGCCAGCAAACCAAGTGACCACATGATGGTCAGATTGGACTTAGAGATCCCCTTCGCAGTGGTAATAAACTACCGCCAATCATGGGAGAATAAAGAACTGCCACAAGCAGACAATGCATCTCTGTGCTACACAGATGGATCCAAGCTAATGGAAGGAGCTGGACTGGGCATTGGGAACGACTCCCCCGAAATCTACAATCTACAAGACATGAAAAACTGGTCTTTTCACCAAAATTGTGAAAAATGTCTGATTGATGCATTGTAATTAGTTTAGTTTAAAAAAAATATATATATATTTTTAAATTTTTATATTGAAGCTTAGGTTTTGTTAGTAAATAACACACAAAAATAATTTTCAAAATCATTGTCATTTGTATAAAACACATAGAAGATAAAAAAAGACCCAACCCTTACTAAAAACAGATAAAATTTCCCTATTTCTGAAAAGAATCAATTGGATAGTGTTCTTTATACTTTTTCAAGTGTTCAACCATTGAATCTCGTTGTTTTCTAAAACAAAACTGCAAATTAGACTTTATTCAACGATAAATTTTCACTTACCTAATATGAGCTGGCAAAAACTTGTAGACATCCTCATACATTTCGGTCCACTTTGGCTTCAGTTTCTTTTCTCCGACACTAAAAGCACTCATAACATCTTTCTTAGTCTGCTCCAACAACTGTTTTTCTTTATCCCCATTCCACAAACCTTTACTTTCCAAATAATATCTGAACTTTTTGGTCGGGTAATCATTTGTAGCCCAGTCTGCTACCTCTTTGGGTGATCTATAAGCTGAACTATCGTCTGAAGTTGAATGATCTCCAACCCTAAAAAAAAATATTTTTGAAAAGCAACTAAGCATATTTCATAGAAGTAGGTACCTATAAGTCATTGCTTCAATTAACACAGGCTTATTTTCTTTAACAGCATACTCCTTGGCCAATTTAGTAACATTATAAACAGCTAATACATCATTACCATCAACTCTTAAAGTATTAATACCATAAGAAACGCCTTTACCAGCAATACCATCGCCTCTATATTGTTCATTAACTGGAGTTGATATTGCATAGCCATTATTCCTAAAAACCCTCTCTTTAAAAACATTGCATTCAAAAACAATTATTATTTACCTGCAAAAAAATATCACTGGGCATTCCAGAGTAGCAGAAAAGTTCAGGGCAGCATGTGCGTCACCTTCCGAAGCACTCCCATCTCCAAAATAACATACTACAACTTTGTTGGTGCCTTTTAAAGCAAAAGCCGATCCAACTGCTTGTGGCATTTGCGTTGTCAAAGGGCTAGAAATAGTGACGAAATTTAAATCTTTACTGCCATAGTGTACTGGCATTTGCTTGCCTCGGCCTTTATCATCAGAATTGCCGTAGCATTGATCTAGAAGCCAAAAAATTGTAGCATTTATTTATATATATGAATTAATACATTTTTTTTTTACCTACAAAATCCTGTAAACTAAATCCTCGATACATTAGAACTCCAGCTTCTCTATATTGTCCGTATACTAAATCATCTAGAGTCAAAGCAGCGGCACTTCCAATATGCGTGGCTTCTTCTCCATAGTTGGTCATATAAAATGAGATTCTGCCCTGGCGTTGAGACTCGTAAAGAATTTTATCCATTACATTTAAAACGCTCATATCTTTATACATTTTAAGTAAAATTTCGTCTTTGATTTGAGGTTCTTGTGTAGCATCCAGAATGTTTCCAGTTCTATCCATGACCCTGTAGACTGGAATTGGAGTGTACTGAGATGGTTCTGTGAATTGGAGCTTCTCGGTCCATGATGTTTTTGCTCCAGGGAATTTTGGTTGAGTTATTGGTGACGATTTTAGCTAAAAATAAATATTTAATTTTTGGGACATGTATTTAAATTATTTTTATTGCTTACTTACAGTTGTTCGACTAAAATGTCTGAAAAACACATTACAGGCACACGATAAAGAAGTTTTGAAAGCCATTTTTTAATCGATTCGTTTCATTATTTCGTAAAACAATGAGCTAAATGTACGAATCGGTAATCAACATTTTACATCATGAATAAATGATATATGTCCAAATAAGTATCATAAACAACTGAGATATGATAAGGTATATGGTGATAGTTTATATTATCGTTTGACCTTCTTTTAGCAGGGATTTTCGATAAGTACTGTAACGATTTCGATATCCCAGTAATAATTGGAAATTTTTTTTTGAATATACCTACTAATGTTTGTTCGAATAAGGAATTTCTCAAATACGTCTCCGTGAACAAAGATTTTTGACTCATGATTTACACTTTCTTGGAACAAATTAAACTACGTAGTGATTTTTTTTCATATCCAAAAATAGTTCCAGAAAGCTTTAATAGAAATAAGGTATGCCTAAATAAATTATGCCTACCTGATGAGTAGAATTTTCGTCTATGGTATTCAATCTGGAAATAATCAATTATCTACGGATTAACATTCATCGGAAATTTTTAGATTTCCTAGAGCCCAATGATCGAAACAATTATCACATAAGCCCCCAAATATAAAGTCTCAGCCCTCAAACTATAGAAATAGCCCTTAATACAACTCTTTTTCTGAACTACGTTGCCTGAAATAATTTTGAAAACCTAAAAAGTGGCCCAAAATGTTTCGCTAATGTAAAATAATAGTAAATAATTATTAAATATTTCTCCGAAATTTGATGTGAAGGCTAGTTTTTTTAATTTTATGGTCGAAAATTAGACATTTTTCACATAGGAAAAAATACCTGAAAACCTTACTCCCACTGCTTCTAGACAAAATTTGAAAATTAGACCTTTTTCAGATATCTGGTGTTGGGTAAAAACTAGTAAAAGTACCTACCAAGAAACTTTACTTTATTTTAATACTTTTGGTTATTGGATCCACGGTTTGAACCAATTTTGATGTGACGTCATGGGCTCATTGCGAGAATACCTAAACTGTTTCAAACCTGTTAGACATTTCCACAAATTTGGAGAGAAGACAGAAAAACTTTACCCGCATTCTGTTTTTTATGCTTTTCAGCGAAAATAAGACTTTTTTCCAAAATATGGTGAGAAGACCAAAACACTTTTGGTCTAAATTTATATACAGACTGGATCAACCTACTAGACACAGGGAGTAATAAAAAGACTCGAGGCGGTGCTGCCGAAGCCGAGTACCTATAGCCGAGCTGCCGAAGATACCAGAACTTTACCGACATGCAAGGACGATCTACCGTGACGATCCTGCAGTGAAATATTTTCTGTGCTATAAGTCAACTGATTCCATTGAAGCCTATGTGCCTAGTTAGTTCAGTAAGGTACAGGACCTTATAGTCCAAGAGCCGGCAATACTAACGGGTATGTGATCGTTGCAATGGATAATTTCTACATAAAATAATAGTTCATAGTAACCTTTAAACCAAATGGATAGGTTATTGCCTCGATTCTCATGGCTGTAAAGTTGTTTTATAAAAAGATACTTCAAGAATCATGAGCGCAACAAATAAGAAGTACCTTGCGGTGTAGGGGGTTCTCATCATATGCGGCAAACACTTTATTAACACAATTTCATGTTTCTTTTTTTGTCTAAAGACCTACAGCTGTATCACAATTAAGCTGTATGCAAAATCCTCTTCACAGAGTCTTCTTTTAATTTTGAAAGTGACTTTAAAGACTGTCACTTTCAAAAATTTGTATTTAGCAAGCAAAATAACGCGTGCGCTCGACTTTCAATGAGGGTTGCCATCATTTTCCGGCCATCAAAATCGAGGTCACCCTATATATTATTTGAAAAGACATATTAAAGAATATATCTACCAATTTTCAGCTATTGCAACGATAACATTGTTCCTTCGGAAAAAGAGGGGTAGTTTACGCCCAGCCACCAAAGGGTTGCGGCCATGAGAATCAAGGCAACCCATCCATTTAGTTTAAAGGTAACTATGAGCTATTCTTTTATGTGAAAATTATCCATACGATCACATACCCGTTAATATTGCCGGCTCTCCTACTATAAGGAATTGCCTATGCCGCCATTTTTTTGGTGCCATAATACCTAGGAAAAATACACGGATGTTTTACGGACATAACAGTAGGCTGATTTGAAAATTAATTTTGGGTTTTTGGAAATTCTACTCTGGCTGTCCCAAGTGCACTGACTCTTTTTGATCTGTTCAACTGTCCGAACTACTTCAACTGTTTTAATTTTGTTCCATTTGCATTAACTCGATTTAAATTACTCTAAGCATTCCATTTAAATTTCTTCTATTGTTCGAGTTACTCTTAGTATTCCAATTGCTTCAATTACTGTTCCGTTTACAGTAACTCTCTTCTGCTTGCACTGCTCCGATTGTTACTGTTCGAACTACTTTAATATACTACTAAACAATGAATTTATATATGATCTAAGGAATTTATTCACTATACAGAAGGCTGATTTGAAAATTATTTTGGAGTTTTAATAGTTCTACTCTAACAGTTCCAAGTGCACTCACTCTTTTTGATCTGTTCAACTATCCGCACCACCTTGACTGTTCTAGCTCTGTACCATTAGCACTCACTCGATTTAAATTATTCTAAGCATTCCATTTGAATTCCTTCTATTGTTCGAGTTACTCTAATGGCGGGTATTTTAAAACTATTTTAACAAAATAACTAAAAGTTAACTTCTGGAATAACATTATCTCTCATGTACCAACGTCACCAAAAATAACTAGGACAAAAATAATTCATATTAATCTCCTGGACTATTCAAAGTTAAGTCCAGAAGTTAACTTTCAGTTAACTATCAAAGTAATTTTATAATACCCGTCTTAAGTGTTATTGCTTTAATTTCTGTTCCATCTACACTGACTCTGTTCTTTTTGCACTGCTCCGATTGTTACTGTTCGAACTACTCTAATATGCTGCTAATCAGAATTGAAGAGTATAATTTCTAAAGGGTCTAATGGCCGTTTCCACCAACTATTTTAGGGAAGCCCTAACGATAAGTATTTCCTAAACTGACATTTCTCCATGTAAAGATGTCATTTTAGGGAATACTTATTGTTAAGGATCCACTAAAATAGTTGGTGGAAACGGCCCTAAGTGCCAAAATTTTGATTTTGAGAAAAACAAGAAAAATACTACAAACTTGCTTATAAAAGCTTTTACTTACATCTTTCACCATCTTTTCGAACCATTTTCAAACATTATCCCAAAGATTACTAAAATGGAACTTATGGCCGTTTCCACCAACTATTTTAAGGGAGCCTTAACGATAAGTATTCCCTAAAATGACATTTTTACATGGAGAAATGTCAGTTTAGGGAATACTTATAGTTAGGGCCCTAAAATAATTGATGAAAACGACCATTAGACCCTTTAGAAGTTATACTCTTCAATTTATTCACTATAACAGAAGGCGGATTTGAAAATTATTTTGGGTTTTTAGTGATTCTATTCTGACTGTTCTAAGTGCACTGACTCTTTTTGATCTGTTCAACAGTCCGAACTACTTCAACTGTTTCAATTTTGTTCCTTTTGCACTAACTCGATTTAAATTATTCTAAGCATTCCATTTTTATTAATTCTATTTGAATTCCTTCTATTGTTCGAGCTACTCTTAGTGTTCCAATTGCTTTAATTCTGTTCCATCTGCAATAACTCTGTTCTGTTTGCACTGATCTGATTGTTACTGTTCGAACTACTCTTAATGATTATTTGCTATAACAATAGGCTGATTTGAAAATTAATTTTGGGTTTTTTGGTAATTCTACTCTGACTGTTTCTAGTGCACTGACTCTTTTTGATCTGTTCAACTGTCCGAACTATTTCAACTGTTTCAATTTTGTTCCATTTGCACTAACTCGATTTAAATTACTCTAAGCATTCCATTTGCAATAATTCTATTCGAATTCCTTCTATTGTTCGAGTTACTCTAAGTGTTTCAATTGCATTAATTTCTGTTCCATCTCTGTTCTGTTCGCACTGCTTCGATTGTTACTGTTCGAACTACTCTTATATGCTACCAAACAATGAAATTATTCACTATAATACTATAACAAAAGAGTGATTTAAAAATTGACTTTGAGTTTTTAGTAATTCTACTCTGACTGTTCCATGTGCACTGGCTTGTTCGAGTTACTCTAGTGTTGCAACTGCTTTAATTTCTGTTTCATTTGCACTAACTCTGTTCTGTTTGCACTGCTCTGATTGGTACAGTTCGAACTACTACTAATCAATGAACGGGCCACAACCTTCCCTTTTTAACTATTTTGGATGCTTAGACTGAAGACACAAAACAAATAGAAGGTAGAGTCCACTCAATGCTATTGCACTGTTACGTCATAATTTCTGACGTCATAAAAAAAGATTGTACGTCAAAAGCTTAATTGTCGAAGCAATGTCAAAAAAAGAGCGTATTTCGCGCGAGATTGACGCATTACGGCGGGTATTATAAAACTATTTTGACAGAGAGTAAAAAGATAACTTGTATGGAACTACACCGTTTCCAAATCCAAGCGGCAGTAAATGACATTAAATAACCTAAATTGTAAACAAACACCAGCTTTCCTATTGGTTCAAACGCCTTACCTGGACCGGTGCGCATGCATGGAGGACATTTGATAGGTTGTAATGAAATAATGAAAATGACCAGTTTGTCATTTACTGCCGCTTGAATTTGGTTCTACCATAGGTGGGTTCGGATTGCTCACTCCGTGCACTCCGAGTGACTCCATTCGCACTCCAGCCGTTCGGGTTAAGGTTCGGGTATTGCTTTTTACCGTATTAGGGGTGACTCCATTAGCTCTCTTCACTCCACTCCAACTCCGCGCTGAATAGCCGAACCCAGCTCATAGAGGAACATTTGACAGTTAACTTAAAAGTTAACTTCTGGAATGACGTTACTTCCCATAGTATTTCCACACGTTAACTTTTTGCTATCTTTAAAAATAGTTCTATAAAACCCGCCCTTAGATAGACTCCTACGTTATTTCTTATACTAGCCAAAAGATGTCTCTGTACCTATTTTCTATTCCAGAGCACGTGAAACGCACACTAGAGCTGTTTTCTCGCGTTTACTTTTGTTAAACTGGTTCAAAACAGATTTGAAACAGTATATTCTTGCGATGAGCCCATGACGTCACATCAAAATTGGTTCAAACTGTTTCGAAATACAATCTAATAATCTAATCCAAGTTTTAAAATCATTTTTTTGCGCCGAGGAGCTATGACGTCATTGTGAAACTGTTTTAAACCAGTTTTGAAAAATGTTTCGGAACTTTGAGACTTGAGAAACACCTCAGTGCAGACAGTGCAGTATAAATGGAAAACAGAAATGCAGGCTCGGATTCCCCAAACTTTTTTTGAAATTATGGAAGCCGGCAGCCTAAGAAGTTACACTTCCAAAAATATAAAGACAAAATCCAGCAATGGAATTTTATGTTGAATAGTTTTGTTAAAAACGTTTCGGCATAAGATTTGAACTAGATAGAGCTCAAGAAAAGAAAGCGCTACGTTTGTTTATCTGTCACTGTCACCATCATCATCAAACGTCAATTCGTCCATGTTTGATGTTTTTTAATTTTTTCACTATCATATTCCATTTTTTCTAATTAATTGTATTTTTCCTATTTTTCTTTTCTAATGCATGATTTATTAGCTAATAAAAGTTACAAATAAACATTTACCTTAGAATGTCGTACATAACAGGCCCCGAAGTAGTCAGCTACGCCTGCACTTGTGGATTGCTGAAACCGATTCCCCAATTGTACTTTTGCAGGCATTGCTCTCAGCTTCGTTGCGGTTTTTGCGTGTGTCACGAGGTAAATTGAAATTCTATCACTTATTAGACATCGAATTAACATCATCCTTCAACAGGTCGATTCAATTTTCTGCGGAAAATGCTCCGAAAACATACCTTCGGCCGAAGCCAGAGTGAAGAAAAATAGGTGCGCCAGCTGCTTCAATTGCCCCAGTTGCCACCAGGAATTGTCTACAAGAATTGCTACTAAAGGTCCTGTTGTTAATCCTGAAGATGCCAAACAACCATCGCCCCACAAGAAAACTTATTACCTAAGCTGCTACTTTTGCAGATGGAATTCTAGGGATGTTGGTATACCTGATCAAGGATCTGGTAAGTTTCAATAATAATTATAAGTTTCAATTTTAAATGCAAGAGTAGCTACAGGAGCCTGGCCAGAACGTGAAAACGTCCACGCCCATCGCCTACAAGAAATCATGGACACTTACAAGCAAGTAATGATGTCACAAAAGCAACAAAAAGAAAACGATAAGAAAAAACAGAGAGGTAAATTTGTGAGCTTCACAGATCGCACTGGGGTAACATCTTCGGCTATAAGAAAACGCATTGGCTTGCCAGATATTCCACATGCCATGCTCAAAAAACCCAATCCTCCAGAACCGGCTGTAGCTAAACTGGAAGTAGAAGAGCTACCTGATAGTTTATTCACTGATCCAGTTAATTTATTGGAAAGTAAGGCAAATTCTTGTTTTATAATACTTATAAGTTTATTAATAAAATACATATTTTTTTCAGTTACTACAATTGAGCAAAGGCACTTACAGCCTGAAACTCAAGCAGCTACAGTTGATATGCTGTTTCCCATCCACAAACAATTATCAATAAAAAGATCTTTAAGGTGCAGACGTTGCGAGCATAATGTGAGCAAACCTGAATACAATCCGAATTCAGTCAAGTTTAAAATTCAACTTTTTGCTTAGTAAGTCGCAATAAACTATGTTTCAATTAGCTAAAAATACATTTTTAGTTATCACATACCTGAAGTGAGGATAGTCACAGTTGAGCCTTTACGTGCAGGCAAAACTTGTGAATTAATTTTAAAATTCACCAATCCCACCCAACATGAAACTACAATAGCTATTAAATATGTGGATTTAGAACAGCAAGCTACGTATGTGGAAGAACAAAAATTGTCAGATGTGATTGAGGTTTTGGAGCAGTTGTCTTTGCAACAACCCACATCTTTACCGTCTTTATCTGGTAGTCAGCCTAGTAGCTTATTAAGCTTAACACCCCGACAACCGTCTATAACTGTTAAACCTAGGAAAATTAATGAGGAAGTTAATTGTGATGTAGCTATTCCTGATAGCTCATTTATTTTGCCTCCTAGAGATGATGCCGCTGAATACGACGACTCTACTGATACTCATAATATTGAGGACGATCCAAAGTAAGTGATTTTTTTGTGGCAATAAGATGTTTTATTTTTAACCATATATGAAATGTTGACATTACTGACTTTTTAAAAATTTGAAAATGTCACATTTCTGTCTTTTCATTTTCTTTTATGTTTCTCCATTTCCCGCACCAGGACGGGAATTTTTTTCCCGACCTTATTTGGTTCGATTTGGTTGTCACGAATTTTTTTTTTTTTCAAGAAATCATGGGTAAAAAATAATAGTACATATATTACGATCTGAGACGGGAAATGCTTTATTGCTGGTCGAGAGGTTATATAGTTTATCAAGACGCGTAGCGTTGAGATAAACTGAACCTTGAGACAGCAATGAATTTTTCCGTCAAGGGTTGTATTCTATTTTATTTTTAACCATAATTTCTTGAAAAAAAATATATTCGTGGCAACCGAATGAGGTCGGACAATGAGGAGGGAAATGAGGACAGGAAATATTTCCCTGTTCCATTTTCCGTCCGTGGACGGGAAATGAGGACGGAAAAAATTTCCCGTCCTGGGACGACAGGTAATGGAGCAGGAAAATGAAGAGACGGAAATGTGACATTTTCAAAAGTCAGTAATGACAACATTTCATATATGGTTAAAAATAAAATAGTATACAGACCTCGACGGGAAACTTCATTGCTGTCTCGAGGTTTTGTTTATCTGCGTCTCGATAAACTATAAAACCTCTTGACCAGCAATTTTCCGTCTCGGATTGTAATATACTATTATTTTTAACCATATATGAAATGTCATTACTGACTTCAAAAATTTGAAAATGTCACATTTCTGTCTTTTCATTTTCCTGCTCCATTACCTGTCCCAGGACGGGAAATTTTTTCCGTCCTCATTTCCCGTCCACGGTCGGAAAATGAAGCAGGGAAGTATTTTCCGTCCTCATTTCCTGTCCTCATTTTCCGACCTTATTTGGTTCTCACGAATTTTTTTTTTTTTAAGAAATTATGGTTAAAAATAAAATAGTATACAAACCTCGACGGGAAACTGTCTCGAGGTTCAGTTTATCGAGACGCATGACCAGCAATGAACAATTTCCCGTCTCGGATTGTAATCTACTATTATTGATTTTTTTTTTAAGATTGGTAAAATGGCGCAAATCTAATAAGGCGTTTATTAAGCTTCAAGTTACACCTATGGCCCATTTGGAAGTGGGCAAAGAAGTAATTTGTGGTTTCACCATGCAACACATTTATACCAACGTGATTGCTACTACTATTGAGAATAAGCTGCCTCAAAAATATGAGCACAATGTGAGGGTGTTTTTGAGGTTGGGCAATGTTGTTGGACAGGAATGAAAAATTGTTTTGCTTAAGTATAAAAATTAATCTGCACTAATCTTTTTAAAAAAAAATATATTAACAGTGTATTTTGCCGCGGTGTCCGGATCTTCCCCTCGGACCTTGAAAATCCGGGAGAGGGCCTATTCAGTGATTATTTATTTTTTGTTAATATTCTTGTATTTTTCAGCTTATTCGCACAATAAAATGCTTTTTAAAAAAATGGTCTATTGTCTCTATACAGTCCATTGCGTTTTCCTGCAAGACTCTCATGTCTTTGTCCAGAACGAGGTTCCTTGCAAGTTTTGATGAAAACCTTTGAACCAGTCTTTACAAAAAACTCAATACCAATAGGACAAAATAAAACACAAAAAAGTTTCTATTTACAAAAAATATAATATCAAAGCCAGAAAAAAAATAATACACGAAAAAAAATAAATAAATTAAGGAACTTTCTTGTAACAAAAATTATAACAATAAAACCAAGTCTATTGCTTTCCGGAAAAGCCGTCACACATTTAAATGCTGAGCGACGGTCGCTTTTTGCGATCCCCTTTCGAATTTTTACCGAAAATGTTGCCCAGCACTTTCGAAACGCTATTCACGCCCAACTTTCGTCGAATCGGTAGGGCTTTCAGTAGCTGAACGGACTTGGCTTCGCGTAGCAGCGATTGGAACGCCAGGGAAACGCCTGCGAAATTTTCCGCAGCGCTGACTTCATAGAATTGACAGTTGTATTGGAGGGAGAGTTCGTGGCCTTCGTCAACGCAAATTTGTCTGGAATAAGAAATGAGAGTTAGACGATAAATTCAATAATTCAAAAAAATCATAGAAATTAAAAAAATTAGGAAAATTTCAAAAATCATAAAAATTTACTAGTCACAAAAATCATGAAAATTTCCAAAAATCGTAAAAATTCACAAAAAATCATAGAAATTTATGAAAATCAAAAATCATGAAAATTTACAAAATCATCAAAATTTAAGAAAATTAAAAAAATACGAAAGAACCATAGAAAAATTCGAAAAAAACACAGAAATTAAAAAAGTCAGGAAAATTACAAAAATCATGAAAATTTCAAAAATCATAAAAATTCACGAAAATCATAAAAATTCACAAAAATCATGAAAATTTCCAAAAATCATAAAAACTAATAGAAATTTATGAAAATCAAAAATCATTAAAATTTACAAAAATTCGAAAAAATCATGGAAATTAAAAAAATCAAAAAAACTACAAAAATTACGAAATTCATAAAAATTTACAAATTCACAAAAATCATGAAAATTTCCAAAAATCATAAAAATTCACAAAAAGTCCTAAAAATTTATGAAAATCAAAAATCATAAAAATTTACAAAGTTGATAAAATTTTTTAAAAAATAAAAGATTACAAAAATTTGAAAAAACCATAAAAATTTAAAAAATCGGAAAAATTACAAAAATTCCGAAATTCATAAAAATTTACAAAAATCATGAAAATTTCAAAAATCATTGAAATTCAAAAAAATCATGAAAATTTCCAAAAATCAGAAAAATTCACGAAAAATCATAGAAGTTTATGAAAATCAAAAATCATGAAAATTTACAAAGATCATAAAATTTTAAGAAAATTATAAATTATAAGATTACAAAAATTCGAAAAAACTATCGAAATTAAGAAAATCAGGAAAATTACAAAAATTTAAAAAATCTAAAAAAATAAAAATCATGAAAATTTTAAAAATCATGAATATTCACAAAATTCACGAAAGTCATAAAAATTTACAAAAATCATGAAAATTTAAAAAATCACAAAAATCATGAAAATTTCCAAAAATCATAAAAACTAATAGAAATTTATGAAAATCAAAAACCATTGAAATTTACAAAAATTCGAAAAAATCATGAAAATTCAAAAAAATCATAAAACTACAAAAATTACGAAATTCATAAAAATTTACAAATTCACAAAAATCATGAAAATTTCAAACATCACAAAAATAATGAAAATTTCCAAAAATCATAAAAATTCACAAAAAATCCTAAAAATTTATGAGAATCAAAAATCATGAAAATATACAAAGATGATAAAAATTTTAATAAAAATAGAAGATTACAAAAATTCGAAAAAACCATAAAAATGTAAAAAATCAGAAAAATTACAAAAATTCCGAAATTCATAAAAATTTACAAAAATCATGATAATTTCAAAAATCAAAAAAATTCAAAAAAATCATGGAAATTTCCAAAAATCAGAAAAATTCACAAAAAATCATAGAAATTAAGAAAATCAGGAAAATTACGAAAATTAAAAAAATCTTATAAAACAAAAATCATGAAAATTTCCAAAAATCATAAAAACTATTAGAAATTTATGAAAATCAAAAACCATTGAAATTTACAAAAATTCGAAAAAATCATGGAAATTCAAAAAAATCAAAAAAACTACAAAAATTACGAAATTCATAAAAATTTACAAATTCACAAAAATAATGGAAATTTCCAAAAATCATAAAAATTCACAAAAAATCATAGAAAGTGGGTCTACAGTAAAAAGTGAGTAAAATTCCGGTCAAAAATTAATAAAACTCGCGATCAAAAATTAATACTATTCGTGGTCAGAAATGAGTAAAATTCGAGGTCAAGAATGAGTAAAATTCTTCGGTAAAATATGAGTAAAATTCCCGGTCAAAATCAGTAAAACTCTCCTGTGAAAAATGATTAAAACGAGTAAAAAGTGAGTAAAATTTTCGGTCAAAAATGAGTCAAGTACTTTGGTAAAATAAGTGAAATTCAATTCAAAATAAGTAAAATTCTTCGGATATAATCTCTGCCAAAAATGAGTAAAAAATTAAGTGAAATTCGCAGTCAATAATGACTAAGTAAAAAAATTTTGGTAAAAAATGAGTAAAATTCTTGTATCGGAAAAAAAATCCCTGTCGAAAATCAATGAAAAGTGAGTAAAATTCCCGGTCAAAATTCAGTGAAATTATCCTGTCAAAAAAATTCTCTGTTAAAAATTGGTAAAAATTACAAAAAATTACAATATTCAAAAAAATCATAGAAATTAAAAAATTTAGGAAAATTTCAAAAATCACGAAAATCATAAAAATTTACAAAAGTCACAGAAATCATGAAAATTTCCAACAATCATAGAAATTTATGAAAATTAAAAATCATGAAAATTTACAAAATCATAAAAATTTAAGAAAATTACAAAAATTCGAAAAAACCATAGAAATTAAGAAAATCAGGAAAATTACAAAAATCAAGAAAATGATAAAAATTTACAAAGATCACAAAAATCATAAAAATTTCAAAAATCATTAAAATTTACAAAAATCTCGAAAATTTCCAAAAATGATAAAAATTCACAAAAAATTATAAAAGTTTATAAATCATGAAAATTTAAGAAAAATATAAGATTACAAAAATTCGAAAAAATCATGGAAATTAAGAAAATCAGGAAAATTACAAATATCATGAAAATCATAAAAATTCATAAAAATCATAAAAATTTTAAAAATCATAAAAATTCTAAGATTTAAATTATAAGATTACAAAAATTCCAAAAAACCATAGAAATTAAGAAAATCAGGAAAATTACAAAAATTATGAAAATTTCAAAAATCATAAAAATTCACAAAAATCACGAAAATCATAAAAATTTACAAAAATCATGAAAATTTGAAAAATCATAAAAATTCACAAAAATCATGAAAATTTCCAAAAATCATAAAAACTAATCGAAATTTATGAAAATCAAAAATCATTAAAATTTTCAAAAATTCGAAAAAAACAAAAAAACTACAAAATTTCCAAAAATCATAAAAATTCACAAAAATAATGAAAATTTCCAAAAATCATAAAAATTCACAAAAAAATCATAGAAAAGTCTATAGTAGAAATTGAGCAAAATTCCGGTCAAAAATTAATAAAATTCGCGATCAAAAATTAATACTATTCCTGGTCAGAAATGAGTAAAATTCGAAGTCAAAAATGAGTAAAATTCTTCGGTAAAATATGAGTAAAATTTCTGGTCAAAATTCAGTAAAACTCTCCTGTGAAAAATGATTGAAACGAGTAAAAAGTTAGTAAAATTTTCGGTCAAAAATGAGTCAAATACTTCGGTAAAATATGAGAAAAATTCCCGGTCAAAATTCAAAATAAGTGAAATTCTTCGGAGAAAAATAATCTTTGCCAAAAATGAGTAAAAAATTAAGTGAAATGCACAGTCAATAATGAGTGAGTCTACAGTAAAAAAATTCTTGGCAAAAAATGACTAAAATTCTTTCATCGAAAAAAAAATCCCTGTCAAAAATCAATAAAAAGTGAGTAAAATTCCCGGTCAAAAATTAATAAAATTCGCGATCAAAAATTAATAAAATCCGTGGTCAAAAATAAGTTAAATTCTTCGGTAAAATATGAGTAAAATTCCCGGTCAAAATTCAGTGAAATTATCCTGTCAAAAAAAAAAAATCTGTTAAAAATTAGTAAAAAGTGAGTAAAATTCTCGGTCAACAATTAGTAAAATTAGGGATCAAAAAAGAGTAAAATTCGCGATCAAGAATGAATGGAATGAAGAGTCAAAAATGTTATGGAATTCAGTGTGACTGACTACTGACTAGTTTGTGATTTCTGCACGAATATTCCTATTGGTATACATGATTAAACCTGCCCAAAATCGGAGCTCGGGGATTTACCAAAATTTTTCCAATGTTGCCAACTTTACATTTTATATTACATTGAAGTCTTGGCTTAAAAATAAACTATCTTGTCGATGATGGTGTATTGTATGGTTTATGTTTATAGTATGGCAATGAACTAATGAAACACACTGGAACGGTGGCTACATAATGTTCCTTATGCAAGAGTTTGTGCCAGGAAGGACAACAAACAAGAGGGATTTGTATCTCTATCTGCACTATGGCGGTTATTGAGAAAAGCTGTTTGAAGTGTTTGGACCATTGAGGTAAGGAAGATGAAGAAGCTCTTCTTTCTTTTACGTTAATCGCAATGCGTGCGAGCGAGACAACAATCCCTCTGTATTGCTGGGTTGCATATATCAAAATTCGGCACACTAGGATAAAGCAGTGCTCCCGTTCCAGAGTGTTTGTTTAGTTCAATGTAGTATGGGAATTTTTTTAAAAAGTTATTTATATTTTCGGATTTTAAAGAACATTTGTCGTCCTTTGACACCTTTCAAAAGGACAAAGGACTTTAGTCCAGAATAAAGGACTGTCCTTTGAGATAAAGGACAAAGGACGGTTGGCAACCTTAATAATGTTAGTCATAACAATGACGAGCACATATCCTGCTGTTCCTCTTAATCTAGAAGCTATTAATATTTTGGTTTCAATTTTCATAAAACCATTTAAAATACCACTCTTAAGTTTGATATCTTTCATTTTATCGCAAAATATACAGGGTGTTTCATTAAAAAAAGACGAAGTTGTCTACGTTTCTCCATTTTTTGATGCGATTTTGTTTTTTCTGATAACGTTAAAAGAAAATATAGAAAAAAACTGTCAAGTTTTGTATTTAAATTTTTTTTCTATCTTAAATAGTAAAGGCTGTAGGTATGTGTCCAAATATAGGTAATCAAATGCCCTGTACTTATAGTCGAAATTTTGCCGATTATTCCACTCATGTGTTAGAAATCCCATAAGACAAGTGACGATTTTCAGAATTACATCGAAAATTCTCTTTTCCATTTGTTTAACTAGAGAGAATTAACGCGATAATTCTCCCATGTTATTGTATACATGGTTGTCATGCTAATTTTTGATACAAACAAACGGTTCCTGATAGCAACCATTTATTTATAGTGATTGTTAAGATGTTCAAATCATTTAATACATATTTATTTCCATATTTTTTGCATTCTCATACGTGAAATAATCCTGTAAATACCACTTGAGCTTTAAAATGAACCAGATAATTTTTCACTCATGCGTGTTTTCTCTGCAAATTTCACTCGTCCTACGGACTCGTGAAATTATAGAAAACACGCAATCGTGAAAAATTAT